GACCATAGACACAGGACCATAGACACAGGACCATAGACACTGGACCATGGACACAGAACCATGGACACAGGACCATAGACACAGGACCATAGACGCAGGACCATAGGCACAGGACCATAGACACAGGACCATAGACACAGGACCATGGACACAGGACCATAGACACAGAACCATAGACGCAGGACCATAGGCACAGGACCATGGACACAGGACCATAGACACAGGATAGACACAGGACCATAGACACAGGATAGACACAGGACCATGGACACAGGACCATAGACACAGGATAGACACAGGACCATATACACAGGACCATACACGCACTACTCTACTCTCTCTCATTCGCAGCTCTTCCTGCCCCACACTGATAAACAAAGCCCACTCCTGCCCCCTGCTGTTTTCGGTCATTACCTACAAAACAATCATCATCGTTAAAGGTCCAGTGTTACAACATATTTAAGCTGGAGTTCCACACTTTTTGAAACATTTCGTCTTGTAAAAGTACTATACCACTTCTTTTTAGAAAATACATTGCATTTTGCACAGTGCTTGAATTTTGAACAGTATACTTGAAAAGACTTGATTTCCTCAAACTTTACAGAGTTTTATTATAACATCAGGACTTTAGACTACGAGAAATAGCATTCGGTAGTTTTTCAAAATGAATTCCGACTCCATATGAATGACTCCAAAAGCGAATCCAATTTAATTCATGTTTGTCTGTTTTTTTAATATTATTTCAAGCGTCAGTTCCTAGAAACAGTTTTAATTTTAGTGTGAAAGTGCCTGAAAAGAGCTTGAATTTGACACAACAAAAGCCGTACAAACCCTGGAGAGAGTCCTGTGGGGTTTTGGCAGTGAAATAGATTTGTGCTGTATTTATAGAGTAACAATCTCCAGCGGGACTCTCCAGCGGGACTCCAGTCTAACTCCATGATAGAAGCCTTCATTACCTCATTTCCTTCTTGGTTTCACTTTCTACAAACCACCCAAACCTTGCAGCTGAAGGAGCAATAGAGTGATGCAGTGAGCGATGCATTAAGCAGACGTCCTCCAAACATCTGTGGAACATATTAAGAGGTTGTTCGAAATATGGAAAAAGAATCTAGATGGGACGTCTTTGTCGGGGATAGATTTGCAACTGAAAAAGCCAGCGGTGAACTCCAGATATATGTTCAACTGTATGTAGTGTTTTTATATGAAAGTAACACCTCTGCTGCCGTGACCTAAAGTGTATCTTACCTAAAGTGGAGCTTACAGGTCCAGTCTCAGACCTCCTTCTGGAAAATCTGACCACTCCTCTGTTCTCCTTCTTCCTTCGTATACTCAGAGGAGCAGGGAACATAAACCAACCTCTCGCACTGTGCAGTGTTGGTCTGAGGAGGCTAGCATGAAGCTACAAGGTTGTTTTGATGCTACGGACTGGTCTGTGTTTCAGTCAGAGGACGTCAATGAATTCTGTGACGCGGTGACTGGATACATACGCTTCTGTATTGGCTGTTGTGTCCCACAGAAGGTCATTGAAGAACATTTTAGTCAAAACCCTTGGATGAACGCGGAAGTGAAACTGAAACTTCATGAGCGTGCGTTGGCGTTTCAATCAAATGATACAGTTGCTTATAAGCTATCCTGTTACTCATTGAAACGTTCTATTAAATCTGCAAAGCGCAGTTACGGGGACAGGTTAAAGAGTTATTTTGAGGAAGATGACCCTCGGCGCATGTGGAACGGTATTAAAGCCATCACATCGTGGAAACCTAGCGCTGGGAAAATTGCATCTGTCGGCCAAGCTCAAACGAGCTGAACACGTTCTACTGTCGCTTTGAATCTGCTGATGCCTGTCCTACTGTATTCCCTGAGTGTTTCAATCAAGGTACCTTCACCGTGACTCAGGAGGAAGTCAGGCGTGTCTTGTCCAGGACCACAGTCCGGAAAGCCCCAGGCCCGGACGGCATCCCTCCTCGTGTCCTGAAACTGTGCTCTGAGCAACTTGCCCCTGTGCTAACAGACATTTTCAACCTGTCGCTAAGGAACTGTACTGTGCCGAACTGCTTTAAAGAGTCGACCATCATTCCAGTTCCTAAGAAAACTCCTGTGACATGTCTGAATGACTATCGTCCTGTGGCCCTCACGTCTGTTCTTATGAAAACTTTTGAGCGGCTTGTGCTGGACTTCATTAAGAGCCAGATCCCTGTGAGTGTTGACCCGCTCCAGTTTGCTACAGACAGAACAGGAGTGTGGAGGATGCATCTCCTTTGCTCTGAACTCTGTCTACAGTCACTTGGACACTGGTAAATCTGTTGCAAGAATGCTGTTCATGGACTATAGCTCTGCTTTTAACTGCCTTGTCCCAGGTAAACTGATTGAAAAGCTCATGTCTCTCGGTTTAAGTGTTTCCATGTGTAAATGGATTTTTAGCTTTTTAACTGACAGATCTCAGAGAGTGAAAATCAATGACTGTTTTTCAGATGTTGTTTCTGTGAGCACTGGTTCTCCTCAGGGATGTATTTTGAGTCCTCTACTCTTCACTTTGTACACTCACGATTGTGTGTCCTCCTCTGACTCAAACTTGATCATCAAATATGCTGATGACACCACCATCATCGGTCTCATCAGTGACACTGATGAATCCTCTTATAGAGCAGAGATACAAAATGTGGTTCAGTGGAGTAAAACTAACAACCTCCAGTTGAACGCATCCAAAACATGTGAACTGGTCTACGACTTCAGTCGCAATAGTTCTCATTTGCCTGTCGTAATCGACAACTCCCAGGTGCAGATCGTAGAGGAGTGCAAGTTTCTGGGTTTAACTCTGTCTAACGACCTGAAATGGGACAAAAATACTAACCGGGTTGTTAAGAAAGCACGTCAGGGTCTCTACTTTCTGCGTAAACTCAGAGAATTTACCACTAACTCTAAGATTCTGCTTAACTTTTATCGCTGAGTTTACTTGTTGGTTCTGTGTCTGTGTGGTTTGGAACCATCACAGATAAAGAAAAGAGAGCTTTAAACAAGGTACTCCGCTCTGCAAAGAGGACCGTGGGCTGTGAGCTTCCTGTTCTGGAGGTTCTTTATAAATCCAGACTTTTAAACAAAGCTCTTAGGATTGTCAATGACTCTTCTGGCCACCCTGGAAAAGCCATGTTCCAGCTTCTTCCCTCTGGCAGAAGATATCGCTCTCTGAGATGCAGGACATCTCGTTACGCTAACAGTTTTTATCCACAAGCTGTTATCAGTTTGAACAGAGCACTTTAATGATTTGCACTTGTTTTGAACTGTTTTAGTCGATCGATTTCACAGTGACACTTGTTTACTGTTTTATTTGTTTTATTTTTGTCTTTTAATGTTGTTTTATGTCTGTATTTGTCTGTGCACACTGGAGACTTTTGCTAATGTATTCCAATGTGGTTTTCTTACTGCAAATGGCAAATAAACTGAATCTGAATCTATCTATCTATTTATCTATCTATTTATCTATCTATCTAGGGACGTACTGATCAACAAAACAATAACAAGATTTAGGGGCTGTAAAACTCATTTAGAAATTCAAATATCTCTGAAGTATTGTTATCAGTTAAAGAAGTATTGGAAAAGAGCAGGTTTTAATGACGACAGATTAGGACCCTTTAATGATGACAGACTAGGGCCCTTTAATGATGACAGACTAGGGCCCTTTAATGATGACAGATTAGGGCCCTTTAATGATGACAGACTAGGGCCCTTTAATGATGACAGATTAGGGCCCTTTAATGATGACAGACTAGGGCCCTTTAATTATGACAGATTAGGGCCCTTTAATGATGACAGATTAGGGCCCTTTAATGATGACAGATTAGGGCCCTTTAATGATGACAGATTAGGGCCCTTTAATGATGACAGATTAGGGCCCTTTAATGATGACTTGACATGAAAATCTTACATATTGCTGCTTTAAAACTGTTCCAATTTCGAAGGTTAATTGTTTCACATTATAAAGGTATTTAGGAGAATGTTCTACTTCCGGGTGGATCATCAAGATTATTGGTCCTCCCACTTGTCAATCATTCTGGTGATACGTGCTCGTCCAATAAGACCAGAGAGTTTTCTTCAAAAGGTGGAGAGGGAGATTCTTTCAAAATTTGGGAAAATCTGAGTGGTTAGCACTCTCTCTTCTTTTCTTCCCCTTAATCCATTTCTGGGTCTGGGGGTGGCAGTCAAAGCACCAGCCCCTCACTGATCCTCCTGCAGGAGCTGAGTCCACAGGAGCCTTGGTCTTTCAGCGGGGGCTTCAGGCAAAGTGGGGTTAAGTGTCTTGCCCAAGGACACACCGACAGCAGACCTCCCTTTGAGTCATGAAGTAGGTCTCGTGGTGGGCTCAAACCTATAACCTCAAAGAGGGCTCAAAGGCCCCCAGCAAGAAGGTCTTGGATTCAAATCCCGGTCGTAACACAGTGGAGTTTACATGTTCTCCCTGTGCCTGCGTAGGTTTCCTCCAGGTGCTCCGGGTTCCCTTACCACTATAAACATACACAATAGGTAAAATTCTCCAGTTCCTGTAAAATCCTGACCAAGCTGAGCATCAACACATGGAGACTGGAACTACATTCACCTTTTGAGTTCATGTTCAGATGGAGGTAGTGTCACAGGGAGATTTGAGCAAAAATTATAATATTATGAAGTCATTATTTGTTTCCACATTTCTGAAATAATATCACATTTAAACAATTATGAGATTGTGCTAAATCCGTTTGTGTCTGAGTGACTTTGAGTCTCATGTTTTGTGTCAAAAGTGAAAGCGTGAACAGATAAAGACAGAAACTACACACTCGGCCTCGTTCATAAATATGATGAAACACGTCCAACAGTTTCCTGATAAGCTGCAATAAGGAAGATCAGTCGAGTGAATGATTGACAGGAACAGAACCTTTCGCCTGAAACTGCAGCAGGGTTTGGACACTAAAGAAACTCTGCTTTGGTCGAGGAGAATTTAAAAAGTTTGTTGGAAGATTGAGCTGAAAATGAGTGACATTGTGGAGGACGAGCATGAGATCACCTTCAGCGTCAAGGTAGTTACTCTTTTATTCATGTATTTCATTATTTAATGTTAAAGAAACATAAAGAAAGACATGGAATTACCGACACACTGAATCTATTCTTCTACAAATACATGAGAAAACGGTTTTACTTAAAGGTTTAAAGGAGGATTTTCCCACATTTCACGGGCAGCACGGTGGCTAAGTGGATCTCTGTCGGAACAGGGTCTTTCTGAGTGGAGTTTGCATGTTCTCCCTGTGTCTACGTAGGTTTCCTCCGGTTTACCTTACCACTAAAAACATGCTCACTAGGTTAAATCCTCCATCTCTGGTCCTGACCAAGCTGAGCATCAACATCTGGAGATAGTTCCCGGGCGCTGTTACTACGGCAACCACTGTTCCTGACGTAAGCCTTCGCGGCATCAGGATGGGTCAAATGCAGAGAATCACTTGCCTTACGGGGATTAATAAAGTGCACCTATACCTTTCATGAAATGGACCGCCCTCTCCACTTTTTGAACCAATCTCTCTGCTCTTATTGGACGAGCACGTATCACCAGAATGATTGACAGCTGGGAGGACCAATAGTCTTGATGATCCACCCGGAAGTAGAAAATCCTCCTATATCCTTAATAAATATAAGGATATATATAATTTAAATTACCTTAAATTTCCTTTAATGTTTTCTTAGTTTCTGGGTCGTGTGGAAGTGCTGCGGCCGGAGGGACTTCAGATCCTGGAGGAGGCAGCGCTGAGTCTCACGGTCAGAAAATGTTGTTTACTTCAGTGTTTGATCATAAGCACCGGTGCAGAGGTGGAAATACTTTTCTGAGGTATAAAAGTATGACGACAAATGATGAAGTATAAACTTGTTTTTATACAACAAGTAAAATGCATTTGGGTTGACTGTTGTTTATTGTAGAAGTGTTTCTGATTGTCGTCAAACAAACTGAACCAAACTGAAGACCATGTAATCTCTAATAATCACTAGAATGGACCATGTGGGACCATGTGGTTTGTGCAGTAACAATAACAAACGAATGTCCAATCAAGAATATTAATAAGAATAAGTTCAAAAGGTCAAACCTACAAAATAAATACAAATATATAAAAAATAACTAAATATAGAATAATATATGAAACAAAAAAAAACATATAAATCAGCTCGTGACGTCAATCATGTAAGTAGTGAAATAAAAGTGGTAGAAAGTAGAAAGTATAGATATTTGGCTTTGAAAGTTACCAGTTACTAGGAAAAAGCACTGTAAAAAATGTATACAAAAATACACGTAGTTACTGCACGATTGAGCCCAGGCCAGAACCCATTTTGTTATTTGTTTGTATAGAAAGAATGCTTTGTATCGCTGTTAAAAGAGCAGCTGTCAAAAGGTGGACCGGCTGGTGTCCTGGTGCAGTGGTAACAACCTGGAGCTGAACGCCCAGAAGACAGTGGAGATGATTGTGGACTTCAGTAAGAGCACTGTCCCCCCGCCCCCACCCTCCGTGATGGACTCCCCCCGCCCCCACCCTCCGTGATGGACTCCCCCATCACCTCTGTGGAGTCCTTCCGTTTCCTGGGCACCACCATCACCCAGGACCTCAAGTGGGAGCCGACCATCAGCTCCCTCATCAAGAAGGCCCAGCAGAGGATGTACTTCCTGCGGCAGCTCAGGAAAGCCAAGCTGCCTGCATAGATGTTGGTGCAGTTCTACACGGCCATCATCGAGTCCATCCTCACCTCCTCCATCACCGTGTGGTTCGCTGGAGCCACAGTCAGGGACAAACAGAGACTACAGCGCATTGTGCGCTCTGCAGAGGAAGTGATCGGCCGCAGCCTTCCATCGCTGCAGGACCTGTACGTTGCCCGAGCTCGAGGCCGGGCTGGTCGTATCACAGCCGACCCCTCTCACCCTGCACATGGACTATTCCAACCACTCCCCTCAGGCAGGAGACTGCGGTCCATCAGGACTAGAACCTCCCGCCACAAGAACAGTTTCTTCCCCTCTGCTGTTGGACTCTTGAACACTTCTTAACCTGTCCCCCCGCCCTTTATAAAGTCACTTTACTGCCCATCATACGTCACTTTACTTCACTGTACTGCTGTCACCTTACATTGTGTGCACCATGTGCACTTGTATACTGTAAATAGTAACTGTAACTCTATTTTAAATTTAAATTTATTCTTTAGAAGTGTTTTTTATTCTTATTTTTATTATATCTTTTTGACTGTTGCACTGAGCCAAAGCAATTTCCAAGTCTGTGACCTCCTGTTACTTACGTTGGCAATAAAAATGATTCTGATTCTGATTCTGATTCTGATTCTGAAAAGAGTAGATTATACTTCCACCTAGCGGTCAGATCATGTACTGCAGGCCGTTGGTACTCACTTTTTTTCTGCGTGTAAAGAATAGATTTGAAGATGGGCATTTAAAATAATTGTTAAAAAGATGTACCCTTTGGAAAAACACGTTGTAGTCTGTGAGTGAGTTCAGATTTGTATGCTATGGGACTAAAACAACAAGTCTCTTCAAAAGTGGTTATTTTAAAGAATTCTCATATATATATATACTACATTGTTTCTTTTATACAGACGGCTACGGATCCAACTTCTTCTGAAAAAGCTGCAAAAAACAGTAAAGTTCACCTGTTCCTGTCCCTGAGCGGAATCGACATCCTGGAAAACAAAACCAAAGTAGTGAAAAAGCCAAAACAGTAAAAAAAATAATCTATAATTAAAGCATAGATAATTCAAAGTGATCCTTGTTCTGTGCAGTTCCTGTTGTACTCATGCCCTTTGCCCTCCGTGTCCTTCTCCGCGGTGCTTCCATCTTCTCCCAAAGTGTTCGGGTTCGTGGCCAAGCACCCGGCTGCGGACATGTACCACTGCTACCTGTTCCAGAGCCGGAGATTTGTGAGTCCAGACTTTTCCAAAACCTTTTCCAACGAGAGCTTTCACTGCTACAAGTGTTGGCAACAGCGTGTGTGTGTGTGTGTGTGTGTGTGTATTTATGTATGGAAGTATATGTGTGTATATTTATGTATGTGTGTGTATATTTATGTATGAAAGTATGTGTGTGTATATTTATGTATGAAAGTGTGTGTGTGTGTGAATGTATGTATATTTGTGTGTGTATTTATAAATGTATGTGCATGTATTTAGATATATGTGTGTGTGTATTTATGTATGGAAGTGTGTGTGTGTGTGTGTATATGTATGTATGTGTGTGTATATTTATGTATGAAAGTGTGTGTGTGTGTGTATGTGTGTATATTTGTGTGTGTATTTATAAATGTATGTGCATGTATTTAGATATATGTGTGTGTGTATTTATGTATGGAAGTATATGTGTGTATATGTATGTATGTGTGTGTATATTTATGTATGAAAGTGTGTGTGTGTGTATGTATATTTGTGTGTGTATTTATAAATGTATGTGCATGTATTTAGATAGATGTGTGTGTGTATTTATGTATATATGTGCGCGTGTATTTTTGTATGTATGTGTGTATATATGTGCGCGTGTATATCTGTATGTACAGTATGTGTGTATATATGTGTGTGTATTCATATATACGTATGTGTGTGTGTATTTATGTATCTATGTGTGTGTGTATTTATTTGTGTGTGTATTTAGTTTTTATAAGTTTTTACTGAATTACTCTTGTGTTTCAGTCTCATGTGTTGGTGTCTGTGATTGGAGATGGGTTCAGAGCCTCACAGAAGGAGACCAGGGTTCAGGGAGGGAGGGATCTGATCGTGGAGGCGCTCAGACATAAGGTACGGGTCACTCATGATGGGATTCAAACCCTGCTTCTTATAAAAATACAATGGCTCTTGTTTTCCCCAGAACAAAATGCTGCAGAAAGAGAACGCTGATCTGAAGAGGAAACTGGAGGGACAAACCAACCCATTAGTATCGTTCTAAATCACCCTTGCCCCTAACCCGTAACCGCTAACCTTTAACCCCTAGCTCCTATCCCTAACCTCTGGCTCCTATCCCATATGAAGTGGAAGCTGGAGGGACAAACGAACCCATTTGTATCATTCTAAATCAACCTTACCCCAAACCCTGACCCCAACCTTTATCCTAGACCCTCACCCCTGACCCCTAACCCTAGACCCTTGAGATGTAATGCACGTTTTCTACTTTGTATTTTATTCTGGGACACAATCAGAGATTTGGTTGATTTTGTGAATCTTTTATTTTCAAACCAAGACATCAACATTTTATAATTCATTAAAAATTGATGTTGTTCTTCTGTGATGTCCATGTTTGTTTATATCTATCAGGAGTGCTATATTTATATCTATCAGGAGTGCTATATTTATATCTATCAGGAGTGCTATATTTATATCTATCAGGAGTGCTATATTTATATCTATCAGGAGTGCTATATTTATATCTATCAGGAGTGCTATATTTATATCTATCAGGAGTGCTCAGGTGTAGGACGCCTCATACATGCTTTTTCCAATTTGACAATAAATCTATTTTTTTTTACTTTTTAAAACTTCTTTGCACCAAATTCCTATGACTTATGGTAATAAAAATAAGTCTGATTCTGATCAAAAGAATCAGAAGTTGCAGGATAAGAATACTTTCCCCTAACATTATTTCACATCAGCCAAAATTACAATACGAGTGTGTTTTATGGCGGTAAACAAGGTAATGTTAGGAGATCCACTAATTGTTTGTAGACTTTAAAGTAGTAATATGTAAGATTTTCATGTCAAATCATCATTAAAGGGCCCTAATCTGTCCAAAGGCATTAATAAAACCTGCTCTTTTCGATCTGATAACAGTAGTTCAGAGATATTTGAATTTCTAAATTAGTTTTCCAGCCCCTAAATCTTGTTATTGTTTTAATTTCGATGTCCCGCCCTCCACCGTTTCACCAATCAGAAAGTCTGTGATCCGTTGCCAGAACTCACCGCGTGGAGCTAATTTCACTGGTAAAGTACCATGTGGCACAGAACTAAAGAAGGTCTCGTTATGATTCTCAAATCATTAACGACAAAACAAGGAATGAAACCAGGATTTCTATCTTTGTGAAAAAGGTGTTGGTTATAGATTTGTTGTCTATTCAGCTGTTATGGTCCCAGCTGGATTCGTCTGCATATCTGGCAACCTGAGTCAGGGAGAGTGGGAGAGGCTGCAGTACCACTGTTGGCCAGATTATTTTTTTCATATATTGCTCCTTTAAAACAGAATTCAATTATATATATTTTTTTACAGCCTTGACTCACAACAACAGGACTTTACACAGTGGCCAATAATCCAACAGAAGATTAGAGAAACAATCAATTAGAACACAGGAAATTCAATAATGAAAAATAAAAACACGTATTGTCCCAGAAGGCAGCAGGAAAACCATTGACCAATATCTAAAAACGTCCTGGACCATAAATGTCCTGGACCATAAATCTCCCTAGAACCTCCTGCTTCGGGAAAGGTGCAAGATGACATCAAATCTGAAATGTTTTCCCCATTGGGATCGCAGAGAGTGGGAACAACAGCAGCAGAAGTAGCAGCCGCAGCAGCAGTTGTTAAAATTCCGAGGGGACCTGAAGGCGGCAGTGCGTTGACAGCGTGCATACAGGAAGAGCGTGGTGTGTTGACGTCACGCCGCATTTGTCTCATTACTCGCGGAACGATAATGGGAGAGGTCCTGTCCGAGGTAAACATTTAGACATTTAGACTTTTTTGCTCCATTTACGCGGTTGAGTTGTAGTAAAAAGCTGTTTATAACGTCACATTGGACTCACATAGACAGACTGAGACAGATCCGTGGGTTCTGGATGTTTACGCCGCTAGTTCGTCATAAGATTATTTTACTAGTTTTAAGATAATAACACTTAATAATCTTATTAGAGAACAAATTCTAAGCAGTAAGTTTTTAAGCTAGTTTAAAGTATTTATTTATTTATTTACAGACAACTTTTCTTGTTTAGATAAAATTGGTCTTTTGTGCTATAGTTTAATAAGCGTTTCTCAAAAATGTTTAAGAAATCAGTAAATAGTACGTAATTCTATTATTTGGTTCTTATTTTTTCAGAGGAAAGTGTCGCACATTAATATACAATCTATGGTCGAAAACTGGAAAAAATCCCTTGACAAAAATAAGAAAACATACATAAAAATAAGTGCTTAAAATAATAAAAATGATCTGCCAGTAGAACAAGAAAATATGACATTGAAGATTTATGAAAATAAGGCAATAATACTAACCCCAACTGACTTGGTTCTAGTTTAAAACATACATTTCGAGTATGATTTAATTATTTCTTAAACATGTTTGAGAAATGTTTTCTTAAAATACAACATCACAAACAAGAAAAGTCTGAAAATAAGACAAAATACTTATAAAAAGCTTTAACACTCACTGCTCAGACTTTTTTTTCTCTAATAAGATTATGAAGTATCTTTAAACTAGTAAAATAATCTTATGACAAACAACATTCAAGCAACAAAACTCGCCATTAAAAAATAACCATAATTTATGTTATTATTTGTGAATAAATCTGACCAAGAGTTTGCTTTTTTCAGTGCATGATCCTGAGTTTCACTGCCTTTGTTTTTGACCTCGTTTCTTGTGACCCAACCCTGTCTCCTGCAGAGGTGCTGGTGACCCCTGGCCTAAGGGGGGTCGTGATGTCTCGGAGCAGCAGCAGGCGCTCTCTGCTCCCGGGCAGGAGGAGGAGGAGGCGGGAGTCCGACCAGGACCGGGATTTGAGCCCCGACACAGACTCTCTGGACGGGGACCGCAGAGAGGACATCGCACACTTTCCCTACGTGGAGTTCACCGGCAGAGACAGCATCACCTGCCCCACGTGCCAGGGCACCGGGCGCATCCCCTCAGGTCCACCACCGTTCTGACCCCTGGCCCACCTTTATTTTATTAAATTTTTTACTTTACTTAACTTTACTACTACTATATTTTATTTTATTTTATCTTATTTTATCTTATTTTGTTTTATTCAGATCACCACAAGTATTGAATACATTACATTTTGTGTATATCTTTGTGATTTGTGAAAAATGGACTTCCCGAAAAGCGCTGCAAAGCTAATAAATGGGGTCCTATTTAGAAAAATAGCATAAACATAAATAGTAGAATGGCAGAGTACGTTTAGGTTAAGTTTACACAAAAATAAAATATAGTACAAAATCACAAGCATCACAAACACATATTTACACTACCAGTGTTATACGCGTGTATGAGGGACGTAGGATGAATTTCTAATTTTGTGCACGCAGCAACGCGTCTCCATCAAAACACACGTGAAACATGATTCTAGCGGTGCTTGGCTGTAGATCGTATCCACAAACGCACACACAGGAGCAGCAGGTTTTACAGTGATTTTGGAGATCGTTTTTTTTTGCACAGAGACCATGAAGACAAACACATGCATGTGATGTGTGTTGCTCTACATCAGTCTCTGTACTGTTCTCTACACTGCTCCACAGACTACACAGAGACAGCATCAGTCTCTGTACTGTCCTCTACACTGCTCCACAGACTACACAGAGACAGCATCAGTCTCTGTACTGTCCTCTACACTGCTCCATAGACTACACAGAGACAGCATCAGTCTCTGTACTGTCCTCTACACTGCTCCACAGACTACACAGGGACAGCATCAGTCTCTGTACTGTCCTCTACACTGCTCCATAGACTACACAGAGACAGCATCAGTCTCTGTACTGTCCTCTACACTGCTCCACAGACTACACAGAGACAGCATCAGTCTCTGTACTGTCCTCTACACTGCTCCACAGACTACACAGGGACAGCATCAGTCTCTGTACTGTCCTCTACACTGCTCCACAGACTACACAGAGACAGCATCAGTCTCTGTACTGTCCTCTACACTGCTCCATAGACTACACAGGGACAGCATCAGTCTCTGTACTGTCCTCTACACTGCTCCATAGACTACACAGAGACAGCATCAGTCTCTGTACTGTCCTCTACACTGCTCCATAGACTACACAGAGACAGCATCAGTCTCTGTACTGTCCTCTACACTGCTCCACAGACTACACAGGGACAGCATCAGTCTCTGTACTGTCCTCTACACTGCTCCATAGACTACACAGAGACAGCATCAGTCTCTGTACTGTCCTCTACACTGCTCCACAGACTACACAGAGACAGCATCAGTCTCTGTACTGTCCTCTACACTGCTCCACAGACTACACAGAGACAGCATCAGTCTCTGTACTGTCCTCTACACTGCTCCATAGACTACACAGAGACAGCATCAGTCTCTGTACTGTCCTCTACACTGCTCCATAGACTACACAGGGACAGCATCAGTCTCTGTACTGTCCTCTACACTGCTCCATAGACTACACAGAGACAGCATCAGTCTCTGTACTGTCCTCTACACTGCTCCATAGACTACACAGGGACAGCATCTCTCTGTACTGTCCTCTACACTGCTCCATAGACTACACAGAGACAGCATCAGTCTCTGTACTGTCCTCTACACTGCTCCACAGACTACACAGGGACAGCATCAGTCTCTGTACTGTCCTCTACACTGCTCCACAGACTACACAGAGACAGCATCAGTCTCTGTACTGTCCTCTACACTGCTCCATAGACTACACAGGGACAGCATCAGTCTCTGTACTGTTCTCTACACTGCTCCACAGACTACACAGGGACAGCATCAGTCTCTGTACTGTCCTCTACACTGCTCCATAGACTACACAGGGACAGCATCAGTCTCTGTACTGTCCTCTACACTGCTCCACAGACTACACAGAGACAGCATCAGTCTCTGTACTGTCCTCTACACTGCTCCATAGACTACACAGGGACAGCATCAGTCTCTGTACTGTCCTCTACACTGCTCCACAGACTACACAGAGACAGCATCAGTCTCTGTACTGTCCTCTACACTGCTCCACAGACTACACAGGGACAGCATCAGTCTCTGTACTGTCCTCTACACTGCTCCATAGACTACACAGGGACAGCATCAGTCTCTGTACTGTCCTCTACACTGCTCCACAGACTACACAGAGACAGCATCAGTCTCTGTACTGTCCTCTACACTGCTCCACAGACTACACAGAGACAGCATCAGTCTCTGTACTGTCCTCTACACTGCTCCACAGACTACACAGGGACAGCATCAGTCTCTGTACTGTCCTCTACACTGCTCCATAGACTACACAGAGACAGCATCAGTCTCTGTACTGTCCTCTACACTGCTCCACAGACTACACAGGGACAGCATCAGTCTCTGTACTGTCCTCTACACTGCTCCACAGACTACACAGGGACAGCATCAGTCTCTGTACTGTCCTCTACACTGCTCCATAGACTACACAGGGACAGCATCAGTCTCTGTACTGTCCTCTACACTGCTCCACAGACCACACAGGGACAGCATCAGAAGCCACGCACCTGCGCACGGCCAGTGTAGATACACCCAAATAATGTTACGCGCTGTTAACGCCTACTGTGGAGATTAGCTGTCAGACGGGGAGGAAAGGAAGTTAAATTACATTTGTTATCACCTGTCTGACAAGGGATTGTTGAGATTGCGTGTCCATAAAGACTTAATTCACAGACAATAAGTACTTTTTTAAAATACCATTGTTGAATTATCCTTGTACTTTCAGCTCAAGTAAATGAACTGGTGGCTCTGATTCCGTACAGCGACCAGCGGCTGCGTCCCCAAAGAACGTGAGTAAACATCACTCTGAGACAAAGAGACGATGTAAACACACACCAGTACTCTCTTGTAGGCAAGGCAAGGCAAGTTTATTTGTATAGCACAATTCATACACAAGGCAACTCAATGTGCTGAACAAGAAAGCATTAAAATCATAAATAATCACAGAACATTAAAAAGAAAGATAAAAATATAAAATCCCTCAGTTGTAGCACAGCTAAACAGCACCGTTTTTAACTTGGTTTTAAACATTGTCAGAGAGGAGGCCTGTCTCACATCTTCAGGAAGATTGTTCCAGATTTTAGCAGCATGAATCTGAAAAGCAGCCTCCCCATGTTTAGTTCTGACTCTGGGCACTAACAGGAGTCCAGTCCCTGTGCTCCTCAGAGTCCCAGCAGGAGTCCAGTCCCTGTGCTCCTCAGAGTCCCAGCAGGAGTCCAGTCCCTGTGCTCCTCAGAGTCCCAGCAGGAGTCCAGTCCCTGTGCTCCTCAGAGTCCCAGCAGGAGTCCAGTCCCTGTGCTCCTCAGAGTCCCCAGCAGGAGTCCAGTCCCTGTGCTCCTCAGAGTCCCAGCAGGAGTCCAGTCCCTGTGCTCCTCAGAGTCCCAGCAGGAGTCCAGTCCCTGTGCTCCTCAGAGTCCGGGCTGGTTCATATGGGACTAACATGTCACTACACTTGTACAGTGTATTATTGTGTATGATTGTGTATTATTGTGTGTTGTAGTAAGCTGTACGTGGTGCTGTCCGTGGTACTCTGCCTCCTGGCCTCCAGTCTGGTAGCCTTCTTCCTGTTCCCTCGGCCTGTCTTGGTGGTGTATGACGGCGTGCACTCCGTCGACGTCCATTTTGACGAAGCCGAACAGATCGTCCTGATGAAGCTGACCGTGAGTCCTTTTCCACAATGACTGCTTTCAACTATTTCTTTTTTCGTAAATATATCATCAACCGGTCCATGGACTATGGGTAGAAACTTTTTTGTTGCTACCTAAACATAAAAATTAAACGTCAACTTAGCTCATGACATTTATATATTTTTAAAGACTAATGTTTTTTTTTGTATTGTCCCCAATCAATAAATGAAATGTAGTTTAGGTTAGCTAGTTTCGTCTGGTCTTACCATGTGTAAACTCTGGTCCATGATCATCTCCTACATGTACGTCTGGTCTTACCATGTGTAAACTCTGGTCCATGGTCATTTCCTACATGTACGTCTGGTCTTACCATGTGTAAACTCTGGTCCATGATCATTTCCTACATGTACGTCTGGTCTTACCATGTGTAAACTCTGGTCCATGGTCATTTCCTACATGTACGTCTGGTCTTACCATGTGTAAACTCTGGTCCATGATCATTTCCTACATGTACGTCTGGGTCTGATCCTAGTGGCTGCAGTTTCCTCGGTTGAATCTCCTCCGACCAATCAGAGAGCGGGGGAGGCGGGTGTTGTCGGTCGGTGTCGGTGACGTCAAGAGTTTGTGCTGAATTTGCTGGTTGTAGTTTGTCGGAGAATGTGATAGTAAAATAATCTGTTCTGGTTCAATCCAAGTATCAAGAAACTGAAGCCGGAGCAACAGGAATGTTTAGTAAATGTCATTGAAGCAAAGATGTTGTGGCTCTACTCCCCACGGGCTCTGTTAGTGGCAAAGGAGATGGCTAAAGCTAGGCTACATGCTAAAGCTAGGCTACATGCTAAAGCTAGGCTAAATGCCTCACTCACTCGGGCGGTAAACTCAGATCCAATGGTTTCAATCTGTAAAAGGAGTTAACCCCTCCCACCTATTAACAGAGTCAATGGAGACAATCCAGACCTCAGTACAAATGAAATGAGTACCATGGTGTGGTAAGACCGGGCTAGTCCAGTAGTTAGTCTGAGAGGACTTTACAAAACCGTTGAATTCACCAACACAGATCAGAGAATCAAACAGATCAAACACAACAGACATAGAACACAAATCGATATTGGTCCGTATGTAGGGAGTTGACCAATGTCCATAAACGTTGTAGAAGGTTCTGGATCATGACCCGTTCTCTCCACAGAGCACTCTGAACTTCAGCAATCCCAACTTCTTCTCCGTGCTGGTGCAGAGCCTCAGCTGCCAGGTCCTGTACATGAAAACTGTGGTGGGCTCCAGTCAGATGAACAACGTGACGACCGTTCAGCCGCTCAGCCAGTCCCAGGTAAGATCAGATACACTTTATTGATCTCACTCAGGAGAAAGGTGCAGGAGATGTGGACTTAGCATTATTTATCAGATATAAAACATGTAAATGATTGACGTGTGTTTGAGTGGCGTGTTCACTGTGCTCAGGTGAACTACACGGTGAATGTGGAGATTGGCAGGACCTCGGCGTACGTGTAGTAAGTGAAAATATCTGGGTTTTTGTTCACACTAAAGGGAACAACAGTCTGACAAAAGGCCGAAAAATAGATTTAAATAAACGGATATATTTTGTTTATTATTATGTTTTTCATGTTTCCAAATCCCTGCTCGGTCCTTTTAGAAGTTGCCAGAACAAAACCGTTTTATAAATTAGTCAAGTTTTCTATAAAGTTTCTGTTTTTTTCACGTAACAAACCTGATCCTTTGAAGGAGCTGAAGTTTGTTACATATTTTCAGATCCACTTTTGATTCACAGATTATTATTAAAACACAGTGATAATTTCATAAAGTAAACAAATTAAATGTAAAACCAGACTATTATTTTTCTCAAGTTTAATTTTTAGAGAAAAATTGACAGAAACCGTTACGTCCGTTACACATTTTTCAAGAGTCATGTGATTTTTTTTGTTTTTAATGATTCCTTTTTTAAAATCAAGTTATTTCCTGATGTTGTTTATGTTAATCTTGTGGGATTTAATCTGCTGCTGTTTCAGACTTTGATTTTTGATTTTATCCACACTATCTCTCTGATCTGTCTGTGTTTGAAATCCTTTTCCTAATCTATGAAAGTCATTTTAGTTTTTGAGTTCTAACCTTTGAAAGTCCAGACACTTTGACCCTTCACTGTGAGCACTGATATTATTTGGTCTTTTGTTTGTTTCAGTACATTCTGCACGATGCCCATTAAAGTCCATAACATTGTGCTCTTCATGCAGTAAGTATCTCTCTCCTGTGGCCTTTCTGTGGCCTTACCTGCAGGTGAAAGCCAGACCCTGTCAGACCTCTGAAGCTAAGCAGGACAGGGCCTGGTTAGTACTGGGATGGGAGACCTCTGGGAACACGAGGTTGGGCTGTAAAGTGCCAACTGTGGCTGTGTCCTTAGGCAAGACACTTCACCCACATTAGTGTGCGTGCGTGCGTGTGTGAAGGGTCTTTGAGTGACCTGAAAAAACGCTTTATATAAAACCAATGCATTTTTATTATAGCTATTATTATTTTGATTTGTGCATCATTCTCAGCGTACATATTGTGTGGAAAATCAGTTTGCACTGGATATTTAGGTTTGCACATGATTGAGTTGTGTTGTAATGTAAAGAGGCTGGATTAAACCAATGCATTTATTATTATTATTATTATTATTATTATTCAATGTCTGCAGAACGTCGGTGAAGACCTCGCACATGGTCAGGACCTCTCAGAACAACCTGGAGTCTTACCCCTACATCGACTGTGGCGCCAACAGCTCCTTCTCGCAGCGCAGCCGGCAGCACTTGGGCCCGTCCTAAATCCTTCCTGCTTTTACAAACACAGCCCAGTCCAGGTCCAGGCCGCCCAGGTCCAGGTCCAGGTCCCACAGCGTCGAATATGAAGCAAACTCCATGGACTGAATTTCAAGACCGTGGGGCTAATGTGTAATGATAATGTGTTTTATTTTGGGGCAGCTTAAGTTTGAGATTTGGGTACAATGCCATCGAGCGGTTTTGACATATTTTTGGTCTGACTTTTGCCCGTCCGTTTGTATCGATGAGAGCTTTCCATGGTCCTGGTTATGAATGCTCTTTTCATTAAGCAGGATTGACTTAACGCCATGGCATTCAGATGACAAAGAGCCAGTCTTACTCCACTGAGGTTTCCACTTTCCTGCGTCCACATGACCACAGGATATTGCTCTAGTGCTGAGGTGGCTTTGCTTTTTTTACCCTCGAGCAGAAATGACGACGACATTTCTATAGAAAACGACAACATTTAACCGTCTATTGGTTGCCTTTTTGAGCCAATCTACTTTAAGCATACTTGAACCTGGATTTGACCTCGTTATGGGTTGAGGTTTGGGCATCGCACTTGGTTTTAAGGTACCTTTACCATCAAGGCATACAGTACAAAAATAAGGGTATTAAAAAAATCACTCCTTGAAGAAAGCAATGTATGTTTAAGGGTTAAAATCAATCAATACCTCGTTGGGGCATCTCAGTTACCCTCAATGCATAGTAAAAAAAAAACAGAGTAAAAAAATACATTGCTTTCGTCAAGAAGTGAATGTTAAAAGGTTAACATTACTTCTGTCATCTTTGCAGCAAACTTCATTAAGTAACTCGAAATGCTGTTTTGCCTAAATATTTATAAACTTAAATTATCCAGGCGATATTTTAACTTAAGCTCAGAACGGGAACTTAATTCTGCCAAGTTATATCTGTGGAGAGGTGAGTTTTCTCGCTGTAAAAAAAAAATTGTAACAAGCAAAGCAATATTTATTGCTAGTATTAAAGGGACCATGTTATCGCTACTATTAAAGGGACCACGACCAATGACAAAATGCGTCTTTTTAAAGCTTATTTTTGAACCATGAAAAACTAAAACTCTTAAAAGGCTTTGAGTCAATCTCTAGTTTTTCAGCGTGACTTTTTCCACAAACTATTGATCAGCTGTTTTTTCAGAAAGAGAAGTGAAAGAGCACTAGCCTCTCTCGGCCAATCAGATTTCAAGCCAAACGGTGCAAAAGGGCTTTTTCTTACAAGAATGACAAAGGTACAATGTTTTTCCACAAGACGAAGACAATGTACGGTCTTCAGATTTAACTTTAAACATGGCTCTTTCATTTGGAATAAATTTGGGTACCCGAGCTTTAAGCGTTTTTAATAAATAGTTAATGTTTGCAGCTAATTATTTACATTTTATATGAATACTTTACTTTCAGGGAGCTGCGTGAGAACATTGCCTTTCGAAGGGATGGTTCTTTCACTTTTGCAGAATTTTAACGGTTTGTAGTGTTGTGTTTTCATAACCAAAAGATTGATAATAAAACTGTTAAACTAATAGTCCTGGTTATGAATGAATGAATGAATGAATATTTCTGGTCAGTTGCTTGCTTAATAACATCACATTCACTGACTATTTTACAACCACAAATAGGATTGGGCTGAAGCAACTTATGTGAGCCCAACCTGACATCACGGCACATACAGGTCATTAGCTACTTAAGAGCGACTAAACACCAAATCAACTTGTTTTTAACTCAAAAACTGCATAAATATATTTATTGTAGTGCTCTCTACGTATCCTGGTCATTTTCTTTTTGACATTTTAGTGCTGATTAGATAAAATCTCACTTTTGAGCCTAAAACGTCTGTGGCGCCCTCTCAACCTTTTCGGTGGTACTACATTTGACTTTGGGCCTGACCTCTCCATTGACTAATTCTGTGTGACGTCAGTTGGTGAGTGTGAGGTCAGTTGGTGTGTGTGACGTCAGTTGATGTGTGTGTGACGTCAGTTGGTGTGTGTGTGAGGTCAGTTGGTGTGTGTGTGACGTCAGTTGGTGTGCGTGTGAGGTCAGTTGGTGTGTGTGACATCAGTTGGTGTGTGTGACATCAGTTGGTGTGTGTGACGTCAGTTGGTGTGTGTGACGTCAGTTGGTGTGTGTGACGTCAGTTTCTGTGTGTGACGTCAGTTGGTGTGTGACGTCAGTTGGTGTGTGACGTCAGTTGGTGTGTGTGACGTCAGTTGGTGAGTGTGTGACGTCAGTTGGTGTGTGTGACGTCAGTTGGTGTGTGTGACGTCAGTTGGTGTGTGTGTGAGGTCAGTTGGTGTGTGTGTGAGGTCAGTTGGTGTGCGTGTGAGGTCAGTTGGTGTGCGTGTGACGTCAGTTGGTGCGCGTGTGACGTCAGTTGGTGAGCGTGTGACGTCAGTTGGTGTGTGTGACATCAGTTGGTGAGCGTGTGACGTCAGTTGGTGTGCGTGTGACGTCAGTTGGTGAGCGTGTGACGTCAGTTGGTGTGCGTGTGACGTCAGTTGGTGAGCGTGTGACGTCAGTTGGTGTGCGTGTGACGTCAGTTGGTGAGTGTGTGACGTCAGTTGGTGTGTGTGTGACGTCAGTTGGTGTGTGTGTGACATCAGTTGGTCTGCGTGACGTCAGTTGGTGTGTGCGTGACGTCAGTTGGTGTGTGCGTGACGTCATTTGGTGTGTGTGACGTCAGTTGGTGTGTGTGACGTCAGTTGGTGTGTTTGACGTCAGTTAGTGAGTGTGTGACGTCTGTTGGTGAGTGTGTGACGTCAGTTGGTGTGTGTGACGTCAGTCGGTGTGTGTGTGATGCCAGTCGGTGTGTGTGACGTCAGTCGGTGTGTGACAAGTGAGCTGTCAATCACAGCCCAGGCCACGCCCAACTCTAAGCCCCCCTTCTTGTCTCTTGGTCCTCCGGCAACGCCCTTTTAAGAGAAAAACTTTCAAATGTTCATGTGGGCGGAGTCAGGGTGGGCACAGGTGTTTAGTCGCTCTTTAAACACATCGACTATGTAAATAAAATAAATACTATTTTAGTAATATTAGGTAGTAAGGTACATGAATTAATTATTTCACATTTTAACAAAGACAGACTCGAATGCAAGTTATTTATTTAATATTTCTTCATTGTTGTATACAAAATATCACTCTTCCAATACTTCCTTTATGACTCATATAGACTTCTATAGCTGCATGTGAAAATATATTACTACAAAACATAATGGCGTGGATACAACACATTTATATATATTATGGCTGTGATGCTAGACAGTCTAGGTTCATGTTCTATAGATGCACAGTCATACAGAAGCAAGTACAAAAATATAACTGAATATATGTGTCTTAATAGTACAATAGTGCTTTGTCTTTGGTAAAGTTGACAAGTGTCGGTTTGGCTTTTCAGGCTCTTGCTCGTGTCAGTCCAAAAACATCTCTTCAAACCACTTTTTTGTTTTCCATATTCTGTTTTTCTGGTGTCTGGACTTACTTCATCTGAACACACATTCTCACACACACAGAGACATATGAATGATCCGAGCTGGTCCTCAAACTAACTCCTGATGGAACCAGTTTAGCTTCAGACACAAACAGTCCATCTTCCAGAGAATCCAGTCCTTCCTGTTCCGTGGTGTTCCGTAAGAGTGAAAGCCACATACATTTATCTGATATACATTACAGAGAGAATACACCATTTACAACAAGGATTCCCAAAGTCTGGACACCCTTACCTATCGACAGATCTGTGACAGCTTTGGTTTTCCTTTTAGATTTAGACCAGGCATGTCAAACTCAGGCTCGTGGGCCAAATCCAGCCCGCGAGACCATTTTTTCTTGGCCCCTGAAATGATTTGTTATTATCACTTTTACAGTAACTTGGGAATACTCTTGAATGCTAAATGGATATTGTGGCATGTTATACTTAATTTTAAAGCTCATTCTCTCAGGAAAGAAACCATATCATTGTTTAGTTTGTTCTAAAATGTGAACTGTGGCTTTGTTGTAGTTGAATCCAAACCCACAAGAAAATTTAACAAAATATAATATCACAAAATATGTAAAAAAGATAGAAGTATTTTTGGCCCCAATCAGCTCTTATATTGTTTTAAAAACTTGGCCCCAGACTAAAATGAGTTTGACACCCCTGATTTAGACAGACACACACAGACAGATAGAGAGAGAGAGACACAGACAGATAGAGAGAGAGAGAGATAGAGAGAGAGAGAGAGAGACAGAGAGAGAGAGAGAGAGAGATAGAGAGAGAGAGACAGAGAAAGAGAGAGAGACAGAGACAGAGAGACACACACTTAATTGCTGGTTATGTGGACAGCCTAAAAATAACGATTACTTTGGCAGCACCGGACCCCACTTTGGGAAGCACTGATTTATATCATTTGTCTGAGATTTCGCATTGGTTTGGTGTTGTCAGAAATCTACATTTAATAGACTTTAAACCAAGTCTTTTTCTTCAGTGGGTAAATCAGAAAAACTATCAGCTTTTGGCATAACGGCAACACAGAAGCAAACAGGTGCATTCATGAACTTCTTTCCCACTTGCTTTCCGGTTTCTATAGCGACCAAGAGGTAATGTATATCTATGAATCTATGTCAAATAAGTGAATCCTGTATGAATCTGAAAAATAAATACAATGAAAAAATAAAATAAAATGAATGGACAGTGAACTATGGGAAATAATCCAGCAAAGCAATCCAATTTAACGACATAATAGCTTATTGCAGTGTGTCCGAAAGTGGGGTTTGCAGCCCCCTGGTGGTCCGCGAGGGTATTGCAGGGGGCTGCAAGAGGTCATAATTTTTTTTTTTATATAATTTTTTTAAAAATATAATTATTGTATGTTAAATTAATGATATTTTGTTTAAAAAAAAAAAATATTTGTGTTCTTCATTCGACTTGAATAATCAAATTGTTATAATTTTTGTATGAGAAAAGGGTGCGTCATTTACATGTTTGTAGCAGAGGCTATTTCTCCCACATAAAATAACAAGAGGAGCCTATTTTTAACGTTGTCTTCTTGGTAATTATTTCGGGGGGGCCGCGCAGACCTGTGAGATTTTTAAGGGAGCCGCACTGTTACTGACTTTGGGAATGGCTGGCTTATTGTATAGTTATTTTGCCACAGAGATTTGTGCCTAAATGGTATAAACTGGTATTTTCTACTGCACAGTTTGAGAAAGTACTTTGCGGCTGACGATAACATATGTCTCCTTTGTTTGACCTGTTTAAATATTATACACACGAGTTTATGAATGTCCGCTTCAGTGGCACACATTTGTCGTTGCTTTGGGTCTATCTCCGGGGAGCGAGCATGACTTTGTTGATGAAGTTGACGATGGCGGTGGCGGGCTGCTCTGGGTCCAGCTCTGCAAACAGGTGGCACACGTTCTCCCCTGGGCTGCCCGGTTTACGAGCCACGAAACCGAAAACTCTGAGGGCAACACAAGGATAACACAGGTATACACTCAGTCCTTGAAGCAACACACGGGATAGACATCCTGCCCTGTTTAGTATATAACTCCTGTCCTATATGTACAGTATATAACTCCTGTCCTATATGTACTGTATATAACTCCTGCTCTATATGTACTGTATATAACTCCTGTCCTATATGTACAGTATATAACTCCTGCTCTATATGTACAGTATATAACTCCTGTCCTATATGTACAGTATATAACTCCTGTCCTATATGTACAGTATATAACTCCTGTCCTATATGTACAGTATATAACTCCTGCTCTATATGTACAGTATATAACTCCTGTCCTATATGTACAGTATATAACTCCTGTCTATATGTACAGTATATAACTCCTGTCTATATGTACAGTATATAACTCCTGTCCTATATGTACAGTATATAACTCCTGCTCTATATGTACAGTATATAACTCCTGTCTATATGTACAGTATATAACTCCTGCTCTATATGTACAGTATATAACTCCTGTCCTATATGTACTGTATATAACTCCTGCTCTATATGTACAGTATATAACTCCTGTCCTATATGTACAGTATATAAGAACCGCCCTCTCCACTTTTTGAACTCTGCTCTTATTGGACGAGCACGTATCACCAGAATGATTGACAATGGGGAGAACCAATCGCCTTAACCCTAACCTTTACCATCTTACACAGACCACCTTAACCCTAACCTTAACCATCTTACTCAGACCACCTTAACCCTAACCTTAACCATCTTACTCAGACCACCTTAACCCTAACCTTAACCATCTTACTCAGACCACCTTAACCCTAACCTTAACCATCTTACTCAGACCACCTTAACCCTGACCTTAACCAACTTACTCAGACCACCTTAACCCTAACCATCTTATTCAGACACCTAAAACCAGTCACTTATTCGGTCCCGATTCAAGTATATGATCTAGTGCCGACCCCTATAAGAGACGTTCTTAAAAGTGTAAATAGAACTAAAGTTGATATTACTACATTTCTCAGATAGATATAGAAGTCCAAAGCCATGCAGTTTCATACCAGCTATACAATGTGTTCTGTTTGGGGTCATTCAGAGACTTACTTAACGGTGGTGTTGTCGGGGTTAGTCCACCTACAGCCAGAGAGAGAACACACAGGCTCAGACACGTGCAGCAGCCACATGCCTCAGAGCATCATAACACACAATCACAAACATGCTGCTAGCCGCTGATGCACTAAGGACACAGGGTTAGTCTGGACTCTCTGCTCCGGCCACATACCGTCTGTCTTTGGGGTCGAGGCTGCTGAAAGTCACGCTGTTGACCGGGTAATGTCTTCGGAAAAACACACTACACAAGAAAAAATCAGACGTATCAGGATATAGTTCAAAATTGCAAATTTGTTGAACTAGCTCTCAAAATCAAACTCTGTCAAGCTAATTTCATACTTTCCTTTATCATTTTTTTCCTGAAAATCTTTTATAAATTGAACAATCTCAGGTGAATTTCATCTTCAGTCATGAGGAGGTGTGTGTTTTATTGTTTACATTTGTCACAGTTCTACCATAATGATATATTCTGTATGTTTGTTCTATGTACAGTGTCATGCGAAAGTATTCGGCCCCCTTGAACCTTTCAACATTTCGCCACATTTCAGGCTTCCAACATAAAGATATAAAATTTCAATTTTTTTGTCAAGAATCAACAACAAGTGGGACACAATCGTGAAGTGGAACGAAATGTATTGGATAATTTAAACTTTTTTAACAAATAAAAAACTGAAAAGTGGGGCGTGCAATATTATTCGGCCCCCTTGCGCTAATACTTTGTAGCGCCACCTTTTGCTGCAATTACAGCTGCAAGTCGCTTGGGGTATGTCTCTATCAGTTTTGCTCATCGAGAGACTGGAATTCTTGCCCATTCTTCCTTGCAAAACAGCTCGAGCTCAGTGAGGTTGGATGGAGAGCGTTTGTGAACAGCAGTCTTCAGCTCTTTCCACAGATTCTTGATTGGATTCAGGTCTGGACTTTGACTTGGCCATTCTAACACCTGGATACGTCTATTTGTGAACCATTCCATTGTAGATTTGGCTTTATGTTTTGGATCATTGTCCTGTTGGAAGATAAATCTCCGTCCCAGTCTCAGGGCTTTTGCAGACTCCAACAGGTTTTCTTCCAGAATGGTCCTGTATTTGGCTCCATCCATCTTCCCATCAATTTTAGCCATCTTCTCTGTCCCTGCTGAAGAAAAGCAGGCCCAAAGCATGATGCTGCCACCACCATGTTTGACAGTGGGGATGGTGTGTTCAGGGTGATGAGCTGTGTTGCTTTTATGCCAAACATATCGTTTTGCATTGTGGCCAAAAAGTTCAATTTTGGTTTCATCTGACCAGAGCACCTTCTTCCACATGTTTGGTGTGTCTCCCAGGTGGCTTGTGGCAAACTTTAAACAAGACTTTTTATGGATATCTTTGAGAAATGGCCACTCTTCCATAAAGGCGAGATTTGTGCAGTGCACGACTGATTGTTGTCCTATGGACAGACTCTCCCACCTCAGCTGTAGTTATCTGCAGTTCATCCAGAGTGATCATGGGCCTCTTGGCTGCATCTCTGATCAGTCTTCTCCTTGTTTGAGATGAAAGTTTGGAGGGACGGCCGGGTCTTGGTAGATTTGCAGTGGTCTGATACTCCTTCCATTTCAATATAATTGCTTGCACAGTGCTCCTTGAGATGTTTAAAGCTTGGGAAATCTTTTTGTATCCAAATCCGGCTTTAAACTTCTCCACAACAGTATCTCGGACCTTCCTTTGTCTTCATGGTTTTCTCTGCGCTTTAAACAGAACCCTGAGACTATCAAAGAGCAGGTGCATTTATACGGAGACTTGATTACACACAGAATTGCAAAGAACAAATATGTGAAAGACATACAGTACACATACAGACATTGATACACACATAAATTGATACCCCCACACATACATTGATACACACATACACCAAGATCTGACTTTTTTACATTGAAAACGCAGTATTATGGTTAGTAAAATACACATTTCGAAATAAGTTGGTTTTGTGTAATTTTATAGTGACCTCTAGTCTAGACTTTCTTTTGAGGAATTAACTTTTCATTTTGAGAAAGTGACTTTTGCAAGTTTTCCACAAAGTTTTGCAGTTTGCACTAATTGTTCTGAGAAACGCACCAAATGTTGTAGTGTCATACCGTCTTTGGCTGTCGGTCAGAGTGATGCCCTGAGAGGTCACTTTGAACTGGACCACGGTGGCAGGAGGCCTGGGCGCCCGGCTCAGGGTGGAGTCTGTTGCCTTGGCGATGGCTTGGGGACCGGTCAACGACTCGGTCTCCACAGAGTTCAGGTAAAGCACATTACAGGCTGTGGAGAAACACATAAACATTTAAAATGAGGGGAATTCTCTTTATATTGAAGTTGTTATTTGCATTCCTCACCTGCTCCTTGTTTGAGAAGGTCAGCTGCAGTGCTGATGTTGGCCACCGGGGGCACCTCCTGAATCTCTCCAGTGAGTTCTGACCGACGGGATGATACACACGATGGATTTAAGGCTGTGTTTTTGTTACTATTACTGAAGTGTGCTGTGTTAGTGAACCAACCTCTCTCTGGGATCTTGAGAGCGCAGGGCAGAGAGATTGGAGTGATGGCGTGTTGGTAAACCAGAGCGGAAAGGCTCCCTGAAATATGTACAAACAATCAGGACTCGGAGTGACAAACCGTGATACAGCATAACTTTACTCAGTTTGTTGTGGATGATTTAATAATAATAATAATAATAATCGCTATAGAAGTAAGTTCACACATACACCACCAGAGGCCGCCCCAGAGTTTGCTGAAAATTTTGATTTACCAAAATATGGTTCATTCTGACACCCTTTGATTTTGACTCCTCGTGGTCCAGTCTCGATGAGAAAGTGTCTGACCAGCTGCTCCAGAGGGTCACTCACTGAAACATTTAATGACGCAAAAAGACATCAGTATAACTTTATAACTTCACATTTTTACATGATGGAAACAGTGTGGGCGGTACCTTTGCTGCTGTGGTTGTTGATGTTAGCCGGGGGCGTGGCCACCTTCAGGGCCAGTCCGTATGCACCCTGGAATGAATTACTGTCCCGAATCAGGAAGGTGCCAGGCTCTTTCTCCTTCAACGCAGCAATAGCTACAAGGAAAAATAAATACATAAATAAGATCCATGTTTCAAAATGTACTCGGAGTTCATTTGCAAAAACAGATATAAGTGTGTTCACGGTAAAGTGTCAATTATAGAATCTGGACTTTCAAAGGTTAGAACTCAAAAACTAAAATTACTTTCATAGTGATTTATAACAGACAGATCAAAGAGACAGTGTGGATAAAATCAAAAGGAAAGATTAATAAATACATTTTAAACGACCAGATCAGACCAGATCCTGGAAAAACTTATAGCTGAGCAGCTCCGCTGCCACCTGCAGGAAAATGATATGTTTGAAGTCTTTCAATCAGGATTCAGAGCTCATCATAGCACTGAAACGGCACTAGTCAAAGTCACAAATGACTTACTACTAGCTGCCGATAATAAGTGTCAGTGCTGGTCCTACTGGACCTTAGTGCTGCATTTGACACAATAGACCACAGCATTCTACTGCAGAGGCTAGAATGTGATATAGGTCTTAGAGGAACAGCCCTTGGCTGGTTTAAATCCTATTTATCAGATCGATATCACTTCGTCAATGTGAATCAGGACTCGTCGCCTTATTCTGGAGTGGAATTCGGTGTGCCGCAGGGTTCGGTACTCGGACCGATTCTTTTTACTCTCTACATGCTGCCACTGGGAAACATTATTAAAAAGCATGGAATTAATTTCCACTGCTATGCAGATGACACACAGCTTTATCTGTCGATGAAGCCTAATCAGACAGATCAGCTAGAAAAGCTCAGTGCCTGCATAAAGGACCTTAAAATGTGGATGACTCTTAACTTCCTACTTCTCAACCCGGAGAAGACAGAAGTGATCCTACTCGGTCCGAAGCGCCTGCGTGACTCCCTCACTAACCAGATGGTTACTCTCGATAATGTCAGTATAATACCCAGTAACACTGTGAGGAATCTTGGAGTCATTTTTGACCAAGAACTCTCCTTCAAGGCTTATATAAGCCAAGCAACTAAAACGGCGTACTTCCACTTACGGAACATCGCTAAAATTAGGAATTTCCTTCCTAAAAGTGACGCGGAAAAACTCATTCACGCGTTTGTCACCTCAAGGCTCGACTACTGTAACGCTTTACTGGCAGCGTGCCCTAAAGCCTCTTTGAAGAGCTTCCAGCTCGTTCAGAATACAGCAGCTAGGATCTTAACAGGTACCAAAAGGAGGGAGCACATAACTCCGGTGTTAAAATCACTCCACTGGCTCCCTGTGGAGTACAGAATAAAGTTTAAAATCCTACTCTTAACATATAAAGCCATAAATGGCTTGGCTCCTTCTTATCTCCAAGACACGTTAGTGTCGTATCAACCAGGTCGAGCGTTGCGCTCACAAAACGCCAGACGTCTGGTGGTCCCTAAGGTCTCAAAGGTCACTGTTGGTGGCAGAGCATTTAGCTACCAAGCTCCTTTACTGTGGAATCAGCTTCCCATTTATGTTAAGGAAGCAGATACGGTCTCCACATTCAAGGCCAGGCTTAAAGCACTTTACTTTAATTTAGCATATAATTAGGTAATATATAATATGTAGTGTATATATTATATATATATGCTGTATTATGTTATATATTATGTTATATATTATTCAATAATGTATTGTGTTATGTTGTATATTATGTTATATATTATGCTGTATGTTATTCTTTATTCAAGGCTAGGTTTAAAACAGTCCTCTTTAGTTTAGCATATGGCTAGGGAAGGTAAGACTCTGGGAAGGTTAAACTCCTCAGAGTGTCAGTCAAGCTGCATAGGGAGTCAGTTTGCTGGGAGAAGTATGGTAACTTGAGCACTATCCTCTCCTCCTTCCTACTTTATCTGTTTAGCATTTTTAGGATTCTGACTGTAGTTTGTTCATTGCTATTCACCCGTTGTCCCATTGTCTGTTTCATGGTACGATGACAGGATCTCTGAGCCTGGCCTCTTCCATCTACACCTGCGGACTGCCCCGCCCGACCCGCCTGGGAGTGCTTCAGTCCTGCACCGGACCTGTCCACGTTCAGCGTCCACTGGTCCACGTTCTGTAGCTAGCTTAGGTCCTGGATCATTAGTCTGTCCGTCCGGAGGAGCGGATCCCTTTCTCATATGGGTCTCCCTCCCTGTGGGTTTCCCTAGTTCTCCTCCAAGGTTTCTCACTTTTTCCCACTGGGTTTTTTAAGAGTTTTTCCTTGTCGATGCAGGAGGGTCTTGTTGGACAGTTAGTGTCCAACAGAAAGGATTGGTGATGATCAGGACACTTTAGCATTCTACAACATGTATGGACATTTTCTTCTGTGTGTGCTTTATATTCTCCATGTGTTTTAACTGTTGATTCTCTGACCTGTGTTGGTGATTTCAATGGTTTTGTTAAGTCCTCTGAGATGACTTCTGTTGTGACCTAGGGCTATACAAGAATAAATTGTATTGTATTGTATTGTGTATCAGCCTCTGATTGGATCATTCTGTGACTCAGGGACAGAGAAAATAAAATGTTCTCAGTCTGAAAAAGAGGCAGATGAACTCCCACAAGATTAGCATAAACAACATCAGTAAAAAATTGATTTAAAAAGGAATCATAAAAAAAAAAAAAAATCATTACTAATTTAAATGACCCTGAAAAACGTGTAACGGACGTGTTAAATTAAATTTGAGAAAAACAAAAACATTGTCTGGTTCCACATTTAATTGGTTTACTATGAAAATCATTTGTTTCTACTCTGTGTAAAAAAAAGAAAATCTGGACTAATTTATAAAACAGTTTTGTTCTGGCAACTTCTAACAGACTGAGGAGAAATTTAGAAACATGAAAAACATTATATATCTTCTGAATATTAAAATCTAATGTTTGGCTTTTTGTCAGACTTTTGCACCTTTAGTGTGAACAAACCCATATCTCCATTTTGAAAAAGTGTCAAAGAGTTACTAAGGGAAATGCATGGTTTCCTGAGTGTCATAACAACAAGACAGATAGAGTATGCTGAAGATAATAATATCATTTGCTTTTTAAATTTCTGGCATGCAAACATTTCCATTACACTCAGCTTTCAACTCACTTTTGGACCTAATGTTTTCATCATAGACTGTAAATATTCATAAACGTAGTCACGCCTATCTCTGGTGTTTTTTAGCTAAAATAATCCACATGTTTCTTATTGGCAGTACGTTTGAAAGGATTTGCTCTACAAGAGGTGAAACATTATTTGTATGGCACTCAAACACACCTGGCTTTAAAAAAAAAAAAACGTTTGCAAATTTTAAGTCTTTCCAATCTTTTTTGTAATGGCACACGTACCTTGTTCTCTGGAGATGCCGGGCTTGTACCAGAACCTGGAGCTGTCCTGAACAAACTTCACGCTGACCCTGGTGTTGTTCTCCGTCTCTGCAGAGCCTTCGTTTTGTCCAGCAGGTGGCACTATTTCCCCTACAGTTGGCGAAAAAGTCACGTGGTGCTGGCTTCCTACCGACTGCCTGGGTCCGTTACTCTGAGGACTGGTCTGGGCCGGTGTGTGCCTCTTCTCCGGCAGGGGGGGCTGGGGGTGGAGCAGTGGGGGCTGTGGGTGGGGCAGCGGTATGGAGATGGTGGAGTAGTTGGAGTGGTACTGCTGCTGGCTGTGGGTCTGGTGGTACGGTCTCCGGTCTAAAGTACCAGGATGGTGCTGGGGTTGGGGGTGGGGGTGAGGTTGGGGGTGAGGGTGATGGGGCGAGACTCCGTGGTTCGGGTGTGGGTGGTGGTCTGAGAGCATGAGTTTGCGTCCTAACGTGGCAAATCCAGGGACGGGACTTTCTGAAACCGGGGAGCCCTCCATGCTGTTGGAATGGTTGGACGTGGGTGAATTTGGGGATTTTTGCGGTTGGCTTTGAGGGTGGGTTTGGACCGCGGCGTCTGTCGGTGACGAGGGGGTGACGTCCGGTGCGGGGGCGGCGTGGACTGGGGAAGGCGCCCGGTTGAGCGGGTTCAGGTCTGTGATGTGGGTTTCTGTCTGTGGAGCTGCTTTTGGACAGTCTGTGGATTGCTGTGTGGGTGTTGAACCCGTGATGGTCTGCTCGCTCGGAGTTGGTCCAGAGCCGTTTTCCAGGATAGTAGCGGTTTCTTGTTGAGGTCCATCCCCACAGTGAAGGTCCTCCTGGGGTCCGGGGCTCTCACAGTCACTGCCGATGATGTCTGTGGTCCGGATCTCAAACTCTCTGCTGCCAGGCCTGGGACTAGAAGAAGACAAACTCTGCTTTATGACGATACTACTACTGCTGCTGCTACTACTACTGCTACTACCACTGCTACTGCTGCTGCTACTACTACTACTGCTACTACTGCTGCTACTACTACTGCTACTACCACTGCTACTGCTGCTGCTACTGCTACTACTGCTACTACTGCTGCTACTACTACTGCTACTACCACTGCTACTGCTGCTGCTGCTGCTACTACTACTACTACTGCTACTACTGCTGCTACTACTACTGCTGCTACTACTGCTGCTGATACTACTGCTGCTGCTACTACTACTACTGCTACTGCTGCTGCTACTACTACCACTGCTACTGCTACTACTGCTGCTGCTACTACTACTACTGCTACTGCTGCTGCTACTACTACCACTGCTACTACTGCTGCTGCTGCTGCTACTGCTACTACTGCTGCTGCTGCTGCTACTGCTACTGCTACTGCTACTACTACTACTGCTACTCTTGCTGCTACTGCTACTACTGCTGCTGCTGCTACTACTGCTGCTGCTGCTACTGCTACTGCTGCTACTACTACTACTGCGACTGCTATTGCTACTACTAATGCTACTACTACTGCTGCTGCTACTACTACTGCGACTGCTACTGCTACTACTACTGCTGCTGCTGCTACTACTACAACTACTACTACTGCTTCTACTACTACAACTACTACTACTGCTACTGCTACTACTACTACTAATAATAATAACAAAGTATTAATAGATCCAAAAAGGAAGGACATTCACATTCATTCATAAATCTAAGCTTTTAGTTAGATTTACACATTTACAATTTGTGTACAACTTGTATATTATTGTTCATTAATGTGCGTTGTCCCGATCAAATAGATAAAACAAATAGTTGTTGGGGTTATTATTTGTTAGGGTTAGGTTTTTAATTGTTTTATTTTAAGTGTTTTATAACTTTATTTGAATTGGTTTTATTCAAAGCTGGCAGATTTGTATGTTTTAATGTCTTACTTGTGTCTGTGCAGCACTTTGGAAACGCGTTTTCTAAAATGTGTTTTATGAATGAAGTGGATTGGATTGGACACAAAGACCTAATTCACGACTCCCACTTTTTAAAACCCACTTTTATCGTCAGCTTTGAACTTCTCATGTGGTATTTTACCGTCTGCTTTGTCTTCCTGTATCTTCTATTCTATCTCATCATTTTGACTTTCAGATTCAGATTCATTTATTTGCCATTTGCAGTAAAACCACATTGGAACACATTTTTAAAAGTCTCCAGTGTGCACAAGACAGGTACAGGAATAAAACAAACAGAGTAAAACATTGTCACTGTGAAATCGATCGACTAAAACAGTTTCAGTACAAATGCAAAAACATAAAAGTGCTCTGTTCAAACTGATGACAGATTGTGGAGAGAAGCTGTTAGCATGTTAGCATGTTAGCATATTGTCCTGCATCTCAGTGAGTGCTAGAGGGAAGAAACTGGAACATGGCTTTTCCAGGAGCCAGAAGACTCATTCATTATTCTAAGAGCTTGGCTTAAAAGTCTGGATTTATTTTGTCTTTTTTTTGTGTGTGACTGTTTTATTGTTTATTATGCTGCTATGACTGTGCAGCGCTTTGTTAACATTGTTTTTAAAAAGTGCTGTACAAAAACGTAAATATATTCACCTCTCCTGGTGGCGTAGTGGGCTGCTGGTGTGGACAGGAGTAGACGGTCCGGACATATCGGAGGGAGTGGAGCAGGCTGGATGGACCTCTCTGTGAACCCTTTTAAATGAACCATGAGAAAGATGGTCCCTCCAGCCAACGCTCTCCCCAGAACTACGTAAGCCATCTGCAAAAGACACGGGGAGGAACATGTGTCAGGGCAGAACATTTGGTAAGATAAGATAAGATAAACAACAAGGCAAAAAATATATATAGTCTGTTCAGGAATATGGCAATCAAAGAAACAGTGGCAATAGCAGTGCAGGTTTTTTAAATATTTTTTGCAGTGCATAATGAGACCCATTTTGTTTCGTGATCCAAATGAAATCATACATTGTGTTTGTGTGCGTATTATGTTTTCCGGTAAGTTTAAAATCACGGTCTATATCCCTCACAGTTGTTGCCATAGTAACCGTAACTGCTGGATCAAATAAACTGTCAGACTGATAGCGCCGGATAACATGGATTTCGAGGTGAATTTTAACATTTTTGGACATGACAAAACCTTTGAAGAATGAGAAGAAGAGGAGAACCAAGAAGAAGAACGACAAAAGCAACGGTTCCGCAAATTTAAGTGTGTAACAAATGTTTATTGACCTAACTGAACTGGCCAAATATGCTTAAAATTCTTGTAAAACTATATTCACTTAAACTTTCTCCCCTTCTCTTTTAAAAACTCTTTTAAAATAGCAACATCCCATTTGGCTACTTTTCTCTTCCTCTTTCTCATCTTCAGTTCTTTTCAGTTTCTCCGATGTTAACTCCGTGGTATTAGCGGATTAAGGGTTAAGGTTCTCGTTTGTTCACACCTCCTCTCTCCAGCCATCCACTCCTCACCTCCTCGTTTACTGCATTTCATCCAGACTTTTCCTGTGCCACAGTTTGTCACAACCTTCTCGGCCCCCACACCTAAGTCCCGCCCACTCATCCCTTAGATCAGACATGTCAAACTCACAAGACCAATTTTAGTGGCCCCTGAAATGATTTTTTATTATCAATATTACATGAAGCTGAGGCATTGTATGAAAATGGGCTTCTATGGCAAGTTAGATTTAAAAAAAGTGTATTTCTGTTCAAAAATGTTATGTTATTAGAAGTGTGCAAATAAACATATCTTCTCAATACTTGGCTTAGTTGGGGTTGAATCCAAATCTACAAGAAAATAATACACAAACTCTTGTTGAATAAGACTTTTGGCCCCAACCAGTTTTCACGTTTATAGATTTGACCCCAAACCCAAATGAGTTTGACACCCCTGCCTTAGATGTTTGCTGTCAACGATAAATACTGTTAAATTGCATTCAGTTGTTATGGCAACGTTTAACCGTAAGTGGAAAAGTCGGGCCATCATTCTATCACACGTCATTTGAAACGTCGTTATTATTTAGGGATCCGAGCAGCGTCTGATTTTAGAGCCTGAATACATCCTGTCTCATGATAGCGTTATCAGGAGCAGGAAGGCGGATGTTGGACGACTCTCGGTCTTACAAAGAGCTTTTAACCTTTATGTGACGATAGGGATCTTGCAGTGAAAAGTTCAGAGTAGCCAACAAAGAACACATCTGATTGTATTCATGTGATAGTTGATTGTGAAAAGGTCTTCTTGACTCACCAGCGTGCGGCTCGGACTGGTACGACTGGTGCTGGGCCTCGGGGCAGTGGTGTGTCCCGTTGACGTGGTGGTTACAATGTCCCGTCATGGAGGAGGCGGGAGGCAGCGGGGACGTGGACTCGGACTGGTACCCGGACGCGTAGCCCCTGCTTTCCGAAGGGGAGGGCTGGTAGGGTGAGCACGGACAGGCCTGCCGCGGCGTCTGGTACCCGCTGCTGCTGCTGTACTTCAGGTCCAGGTGTGAGTGTGCGTGGGAGCGGGACGCCTCGGGGTACGCCGGGTGGCCAGACGGCAACGGGTCAAACGAAAACGCGGGGAGATCATGCGACTGCGGGCCGTACGAGGCCACAGTGGCTCTCCTGTGCCAATACTCCGCCTCTCTATCCCGCTCCCATTCCGGGTCTCTGTCCCAGTGATAAGCCACGTCCCGCACTCGCCTCGGGTCTCGGTCCCAGTGCAAGTCCCTCTGAATCTCCGTCTCCCTTGTCCTCCTAAGCCCCACCTCTCGCTGTGGAAGCTCCGCCTCCCTGTCCCAGTGAAAACTATCGCCGCCCCGCTCCATCCTCAAAGCGTGATACGTCTCCTCTCGGCGCACCGCACAATCTCGACAAGGACAGTTAGCATGCGCCGCGCCGTCCATTAGCATCAGGTCATGGTATGTCGGGCTGATTTTGGAATGACTGTGGTGGCCGTGGGGCTGGTGGTAGTTGGGATATTGATCGTCGGGGCAACATGGACGGTGATGGGAATAGCCATGGTGGTGCGGTGGCAGATCTGGGCCCGGGTAGTACGAATGACGGGACGTTTCGGAGCACGACCTGTGTAAGTAGTGCTGCCCCGTTTGCCTGTCCCAGACCAGATCGGGAGGCGGTAAGGACTGGTGAGTGTGGGCAGAGTAGTGTTGGCATAGGTCCATGTGGGACGTGGGAGGAGAGTTCGCACTGGCGGGGGTGGCGCCGTGATGGCCGTTGGTCCCGGGAGCGCGGTCCAGGCAGTACCCGTTGGGCATGAGCAGGGTTCTATCACAGCCCGGCTCGGCACAGCGCTGGGAGCGGTAACCGTCGCGGCAAGAGCAGGAGCGGCTCAACCGGAGTGTCCCGTTTCTCTCGGATGGGGGCAGGGAGTCTCCGTCGTCCAGTATCGCCGTCTCGCGCTCGCCGTCTCGCCCCTCGATCCCACCCAGAAGTCGCTCTAGCTCCTCCTGCTCCTGGCGTGTGGGCGGTGGAGGGGACATGGGTGCAGGGTCTTCCTGGTGCAGGCAGAACTGGGTCAAATGTCCGGAGTGAGCCGAGAGGCCGGAGTCGGAGCTGTGGGATATGAGATGATGGCTCCGCTCGTCCATGAGGCCCGCTCCCGGACTGCTGCCGTTGGTGGAGGTGAGCGACCCGGACCCCGCCGCTCTGCGCTTCTTGATCTGGGCGTAAAGGCTGCCGTCCACAGGACCTCTGGTGTGGGCGATGTCTGAGGACACAAATGGGCACGTTTTTTGTTATATACAAAAAATACTTTACTCTACAGTTAAAGGAGCAGTATGTAAAAAATGTGGCCAAAAGTGGTACTGCAGCCTCTCCCACTCTCCCTGACTCAGGTTGCCAGATATGCAGACGAATCCAGCTGGGACCATAACAGCTGAATAGACAAGAGTTTTGTCAACAACAAATCTATAACCAACACCTTTTTCACAAAGATAGAAATCCTGGTTTTATTCCTCGTTTTGTCGTTAATGATTTGAGAATCATAACGAGACCTTTTTTAGTTCTGCGCCACATGGTACTTTACCAGTGAGATTAGCGCCACGCGGTGAGTTCTGGCGCCCGGCTCACAGACTTTCTGATTGGTGAACTGTGGAGGGCGGGACATCGAAATGAAAACAATAACAAGATTTAGAGGCTGGAAAAGTAATTTAGAAATTCAAATATCTCTGAACTACTGTTATCAGTTAAAGAAGTATTGGAAAAGAGCATGTTTTATTAATGCCTTTGGACAGATTCTTCTTCTTCTTCTTGGTGCAGTTTTTTTGGCGGGTGGCAGACAACTTAAAGATGCATTTCCGCCACCTACTGTATTGGAGTGTGAACCAGAGCTACTACAGATTAGAGCCCTTTAAAGACCTTATGACGGGTTTAAAAAAAAAAAAATAGTGGATATCAAAATTGCATGACAATGTCAATTTGAAAGAGATTCCGGCAAAAAAAAGCCTATATTTTATAAAAAGAACGTGTTTTTCATGAATTTAAGTTGTCTATGCTCTAACCTGTGTGTGACGTCACAGCGGGTTACGCCCATGCATTGAAAACCATGGATCTATGCCACAGGACTGCCTTTTCTCTCTTCTCTCCACTGATGCCCAACACAATACTGCCCTCTACAGGTGACAATTGCTCACTACACATAAATTGCCGTTTTGAGTGTGAAAAAGTGTCCGAGGTGGGATTTGAACCCCAATATCTGGATTGGCAGTCCATCAACACAACCACTTGACTATCTCAGTGCCAACAAAGTGTTACATTCTAGTAGTTATGTCAGACTCGCTGTACACGGCCTTGTCATCTTGAATATCCGCAAAAAAAGAACGAATACCAAATTGTAAACAGCGTTGAAACGTACCCGTTCTGACGTCACCAAGGGCTGTGAAGTTTTTTCGTTTCTAAGGGCGTTGCTATGGGGTTATTTCGATTTGGGGGGATCAGACAAAAAAAACAACAACTGATTTTGAAACCTTTAGTAGTTCTCTTCTAATATAAAATGGTATTAAAACTGTATTTCTAAATAAATCAAACCCGTCATAAGGTCTTTAATGATGATTTGACATACTACTACTGTGAATTTGGGGTACCTAACTTTCAAACCATAACTTCAATTTGTGCATTTTTGGCCTCTGTCACATCTTTAAATCAGATTTTTCAGACAGAAAAGTGAAAACAGCTCTCAGCCCAAAACGTCAAATACTCACATGTCTTTTTCTAACAAGTATGCAAGATATTATGTATTTTCTAATAAAATGAAGACAGCCTGGTGAGGTCTGATCTGTTCACAAAATGGTAGAGTGCTTTTTCAAGACAAAAAGTACAAAAATATTGTGGCACAAGACCTTTAACAATGACGACTGATTAGAACAGTGTTTTTCAACCTTTTTTGAGCCAAGGCACACTTTTTTCACTGAAAAAATCTTGCGGCACACCTCCAGGAGAAAACGTAAAAATGTATACAGTACTAATGTAAAATATATACTGTACATACTCTGTGTGATATATAAAGTATATCGTATCTTATCTTATAATGTATACAGTATACTCTGTAGCCTATATTCACAATATACAGTTATTCTCATCAAAATGCTTAAGTCCAGGCCTTGACATTAAGCTTTATTTAATATTTCTCGATACAATTAACAAGAGTTTGGGAATAAAGTGGCACTAACTGTGTGGAAAAAAACTAAGAAAATCCACTCTCTGCCCAAATAGTCAAATAATAACTCACACAAAGAACATGCATTGTTAGTGCATGGGAAAAATTTAGGTATCCGAGCTTTAAATTCAGGAGTTTTGGATGAGGGACACGGGAGGTCCTGAACGCGAGTCCATGGTTCTGTCCGGTCCGCATGTCTGTGGTTCTGTCCACTCGACTATGGTCTGCGCTCGGTACCCAGTTCAGAAGTGCGTTCGCGAGAGCTGTTGTACAAAAATTGTACATTTCATAGCAAAGGAAGGTTTCTCACCCATCTTGCTTTGACTAATCCCTGTACGACTGAGAGCTTACACAAACTTGTACATTTCATAGTTAAACCACTACAACACGGCCACAGCTGCCCCGGGGCAGAGCGGAGGATGTTAATCCTGTTCAGAAACGGCATAATTCATTTTCAAAAACGTCTCTATCACTTTCACTTCTCACTCGCCACAAAGCTCTTGTCTCGCTCCCTCCCACATTTGTTGGTCGCATCCAATTTTACCTTTCTCGCCACAATGCTGACCTGTTACAGCCTGTGGTCGCATCCAATTTTTCAGTTTCAAGGTACTTAGCTATCTGCTGCCATCTACTGATTTGAAAAAGTATTACATGGTTACTCCACAGTTCAAAACAAGTCACCGCTCGTCAACAGCGAATGCAGTTATTTTTAGACAAAGTAGACGAATTTCTCACGGCACACCAGACAATATCATACGGCACACTAGTGTGCCGCGGCACAGTGGTTGAAAAACACTGGATTAGAAAATGGTTTGATAGGATTATTCTATAACAGTGATTCTGTGTTGTAATTTCATATTCTAAACAGATCTATAATCTCTAAAATAAAACATTTGAAGTGAAAAGAGTTGGTTACCCTCCAGACTGTCCTGGTAGCGCTCATTGAAGTTCTCATAAGAGTCCCAGCGGACCACAGGGTCTCCGGTGTTGTAGTCCACTGTCACTGCGCTGTCGTTCTTAAGGTGGTCCCGACCTGCTCAAAGTCAATCATCATTAATCAATCTGGGGATTTATAAAGAAATCTCAGTCACAAATCACGTCACCTTTAATCTTCTCTGGTCCCGAGGAGAAGACAAACTCCACTGTGGCGTCAGATGGGAAACGCTCGTCTGGAAACACAATCATTTCACTTATTCAGAATTATAGTAACATTTAGCTTAGCCTTAAAACCGATCCCATAACTTTTTTATTATATCTGATGGAGATTTTTAGCTGATGGATGAAGATTATTTACTGCTTGATACCTGGTTGAACCCAGTTACTTAACCCTTTAACATTCACTTCTTGAATAAAGAAATACGTTTTTTCTGTATTTTTTTGTTTTAACCCCGAGTTCATTTTTTATTATAGGCCTTTTACCAAATGGGCGAGATGCAGTTTGACGGTAAAAGTGCCAAAAAACTGAGACAGATTTCAGTTCCAAGATATATTGACTCAAAAGGGGATCCGCCAAATAGTTGAAGAAACCATAAAAGGGTTAATAAATAACGCAATTGGACCTATTTTTTAAAGGTTTTCTGTGATTCAAGAAGAAAATATGTAATTCAGAGTCAATTTACTTGTTTTATCTATTTGTTTTTCTATTCAATATTTAACCAAGTGGGTCAATTTACAATGCCCTATGGAATAAACAATACAAACTCATTCCTATTCAACATTATATTAAGTACAAATATGTTTTTTTATCAAGATTAGTATCGCATTAGCCTGGTCTTATCCATCCGTACTCTCCGGTCGATCATCATTTCCTGCATGTAATGTCTGGGTCTGGTCCCTGTGTTTGAGATTACAATCAGTTAAATTCCATCCGACCAATCAGAGAGCGAGGGAGGCGGGTGTTGTAGTTAGATGTGGGTGACGTCAAGAGTTTGCAAATGTAATCACTGGCAAAGATTGTGGCGCTACTCCCCACAGGCTCCGTTAGCGGCAAAGGAGATGGCTAAAGCTAGGCTAAATGCTAAATTACATACGCATTACATACTGTACATCACGGTAAACTCAGATCCAAAGGTTTCAATCTGCAAAAGGAGTTAGCCCCTCCCACCTGTTAATGGGGTCAATGGAGCAAATCCAGACCTTAGTACAAAATGTAATTTGTACTATGGTGTGGTACGACCAGGCTAGTATCGTGCTTGAAAAAGGTGAATCAGTGCGTCCCTAGATAGATAGATAAACAGATAGATAAATAGATAGAAAGTATTCAGCCCCCTTGAACCTTTCAACATTTCGCCACATTTCAGGCTTCAAACATAAAGATATAAAAAAATTTTTTTTTGTCATGAATCAACAAAGAGTGGGACACAATCGTGAAGTGGAATGAAATATATTGGATAATTTAAACTTTTTTAACAAACAAAAAACTGAAAAGTGGGGCGTGCAATATTATTCGGCCCCTTTACTTTCAGTGCAGCAAACTCAGTCCAGAAGTTCAGTGAGGATCTTTGAATGATCCAATGTTGTCCTAAATGACTGATGATGATAAATAGAATGCACCTGTGTGTAATCAAGTCTCCGTATAAATGCACCTGCTCTTTGATAGTCTCAGGGTTCTGTTTAAAGCGCAGAGAGAACCATGAAGACAAAGGAACACACCAGGCAGGTCCGAGATACTGTTGTGGAGAAGTTTAAAGCCGGATTTGGATACAAAAAGAATTCCCAAGCTTTAAAGGAATCAAGGAGCACTGTGCAAGCAATTATATTGAAATGGAAGGAGTATCAGACCACTGCAAATCTACCAAGACCCGGCCGTCCCTCCAAACTTTCATCTCAAACAAGGAGAAGACTGATCAGAGATGCAGCCAAGAGGCCCATGATCACTCTGGATGAACTGCAGATAACTACAGCTGAGGTGGGAGAGTCTGTCCATAGGACAACAATCAGTCGTGCACTGCACAAATCTGGCCTTTATGGAAGAGTGGCAAGAAGAAAGCCATTTCTCAAAGATATCCATAAAAAGTCTCGTTTAAAGTTTGCCACAAGCTACCCGGGAGACACGCCAAACATGTGGAAGAAGGTGCTCTGGTCAGATCGAACTTTTTGGCCACAATGCAAAACGATATGTTTGGCGTAAAAGCAACACAGCTCATCACCCTGAACACACCATCCCCACTGTCAAACATGGTGGTGGCAGCATCATGCTTTGGGCCTGCTTTTCTTCAGCAGGGACAGGGAAGATGGCTAAAAATGATGGGAAGATGGATGGAGCCAAATACAGGACCATTCTGGAAGAACACCTGTTGGAGTCTGCAAAAGACCTGAGACTGGGACGGAGATTTATCTTCCAACAGGACAATGATCCAAAACATAAAGCCAAATCTACAATGGAATGGTTCACAAATAGACGTATCCAGGTGTTAGAATGGCCAAGTCAAAGTCCAGACCTGAATCCAATCGAGAATCTGTGGCTGAAGACTGCTGTTCACAAACGCTCTCCATCCAACCTCACTGAGCTCCAGCTATTTTGCGAGGAAGAATGGGCAAGAATCCCAGTCTCTCGATGTGCAAAACTGATAGAGACATACCCCAAGCGACTTGCAGCTGTAATTGCAACAAAAGGTGGCGCTACAAAGTATTAGCGCAAGGGGGCCGAATAATATTGCACGCCCCACTTTTCAGTTTTTTATTTGTTAAAAAAGTTTAAATTATCCAATACATTTTGTTCCACTTCACGATTGTGTCCCACTTGTTGTTGATTCTTGACAAAAAAAATAATTTTTATATCTTTATGTTTGAAGCCTGAAATGTGGCGAAATGTTGAAAGGTTCAACTTTTGCAAGGCACTGTAGATAGATAGATACACTTTAGGTCACGGCAGCAGAGGTGTTACTTTCATATAAAAACACTACATACAGTTGAACATATATCTGGAGTTCACCGCTGGCTTTTTCAGTTGCAAATCTATCCCTGACAAAGACGTCCCATCTAGATTCTTTTTCCATATTTCGAACAAACTCTTAATATGTTCCACAGATGTTTGGAGGACGTCTGCTTAATGCATCGCTCACTGCATCACTCTATTGCTCCTTCAGCTGCAAGGTTTGGGTGGTTTGTAGAAAGTGAAACCAAGAAGGAAATGAGGTAATGAAGGCTTCTATCATGGAGTTAGACTGGAGTCCCGCTGGAGATTGTTACTCTATAAATACAGCACAAATCTATTTCACTGCCAAAACCCCACAGGACTCTCTCCAGGGTTTGTACGGCTTTTGTTGTTTGTTTGAAAAACTACCGAATGCTATTTCTCGAAGTCTAAAGTCCTCATGTTATAATAAAACTCTGAAAAGTTTGAGAAAATCAAGTCTTTTCAAGGATACTTTTCAAATTCAAACACTTTCCGGACAATTGTGCAAAATGTAATGTATTTTCTAAAAAGATGTGGTATAGTACTTTTACAAGACAAAATGGATAAAAAAGTGAGTCCTGCGTCTATGGTCCTGCGTCTATGGTCCTGTGTCTATGGTCCTGCGTCTATGGTCCTGCGTCTATGGTCCTGCGTCTATGGTCCTGCGTCTATGGTCCTGCGTCTATGGTCCTGCGTCTATGGTCCTGCGTCTATGGTCCTGCGTCTATGGTCCTGCGCCTATGGTCCTGCGTCTATGGTCCTGCGCCTATGGTCCTGCGTCTATGGTCCTGCGTCTATGGTCCTGCGTCTATGGTCCTGCGTCTATGGTCCTGCGTCTACGGTCCTGCGTCTACGGTCCTGCGTCTACGGTCCTACGTGTATGGTCCTGCATGTATGGTCCTGTGTCTATGGTCCTGCGTGTATGGTCCTGTGTTTATGGTCCTGCGTGTATGGTCCTGTGTCTATGGTCCTGTGTCTATGGTCCTGCGTGTATGGTCCTGTGTCTATGGTCCAGTGTCTATGGTCCTGCGTGTATGGTCCTGTATCTATGGTCCTGCGTCTATGGTCCTGCGTCTATGGTCCAGTGTCTATGGTCCAGTGTCTATGGTCCTGCGTCTACGGTCCTGCGTCTACGGTCCTGCGTCTACGGTCCTGCGTGTATGGTCCTGTGTTTATGGTCCTAAGTGTATGGTCCTGTGTCTATGGTCCTGTGTCTATGGTCCTGCGTGTATGGTCCTGTGTCTATGGTCCAGTGTCTATGGTATGGAAACTGCTTCACTTCATGCAATAATGAATGTATTTTATTTTCGGTTTAGTTTTTGGACGACACACTTTAAAAGAAGATCACCTTTAACACAACCTTTAACGCCAAAAATAAAAATACTTCTGCTGAACATTTCTTATTCTGTGAAATACATCCATTTGTTTCAAAATGTGCATTTCATTATTTTCTTTGAGACTTTTCTTGAACTTAAAATGGACATTTCCATGGCAACAGAACATGGCGACGTCATGGTGTTTGTCGCAGCGGAACATTCTATCACCACAGCAACCAACATTATGTCGTCGTAACCATGGCTCTGAAAAGTTTATGTGTGTAAGACAGACCAGAGACTTAACCAAACCCGAGGATAATTTGAGGATAAAAGCCCAGATTGACAAAACAAAGCAATCGATACAAAACTGACAAGATGTGGTGTCTTAGAAGAAACAGGAGTAAAAAAGAGATCTACAAAGCCATGGTGGACAATTTGGTTCTTGCAGAAGAATCGAACCAGGCTTTGTTGGCTGAGGTCAAGAGACTGAAGGAGGAAAGGAGTGACCTGGTCAAGGCTCAAGAAGAGGAAACACAGAGACTGGAGGAGCAGGTGACAAAACTGCAGACGGAGAAGTCTTCTCTGGAGAAGGACTGTTTGGATTCCACCAATTTGATCCAGCACCAACTTGACTCCACCCTCCAGGAGAAAACCAGCCTCCATCTCCATCTGCAACAAACCACCGCAGAGCTGCAGGACCTGAAAGAGGCTCATGCCAGGTCTGTGGAGATGAACAAAGAGGTCACCGACTTCTCCACGAACCTGAAGAAGAAGAACCAAGCCTTGTCCACAGAACTACAGTCGGTACAGCAGACTCTGAGGACTTTGGAGAAGCATTCTGAAGAGGACAGGCAACAGAAGGAGTCCATCATCCCAGGTACGGACACAGATCTCTCAATGATTGAAGAAGAAAACATGAACAAATAATAAGTAATGAACTCTTGTCTTCTAGATGCTGAGCATTACATTGAGGAGCTGAAGACCAAGATGCAAGACCAGGAGATGCATCTGAGGAAAGGTATTTATGAGCTGAGGGAAAAACTGCTCAGGTCTCAGAAAGAGATGGAAGAGTTTAGAGAGAACTTTGTCCTGAAAATCTCTGTTATTGCAGATATTGAGGAGGAGATGATGAAACGTAAGGCTCAAGAGGCAGAAACACAAAAACTGACGGAGCAGGTCACACAACTGCAGACGGAGAAATCTGCTCTGGAGAAGAACATTTTGGATTTGACTGCTTTGATCCAGCACCAACTCAACACCACCCTCCAGGAGAAAAACAGCCTTCAACTCTCTCTGCAACAAACCACTGCAGAGCTGCAGACGGCAAAGGACGAGGTTAAGGACCTGAAAGAGGCCTGTGCAAAGTATTTGGCAATGAACAAAGAGGTCACCAACGTCTCTACAATTCTGAAGAAGGAGAAACAGGACTTGTCCACAGCACTGGAGTCCCTAAAAGTGACTCTGAAAAAGGAGAAACAGGACTTGTCCACAGCACTGGAGTCCCTAAAAGTGACTCTGAATAAGGAGAAACAGGACTTGTCCATAGAACTGCAGTCTGTAAAACAGACACTGAGGTGTTCTGAAGAGGACGGGCAACAGAAGGACTCCGTCATTAAAGGTATGGACACAGATCTCTCAAAAGTTGAAGAAGAAAACATGAACACATTAGAAGTAATGAACTCTTGTCTTCTAGATGCTGAACATTACATTGAGGAGCTGAAGACCAAGATGCAAGACCAGGAGATGCATCTGAGGAAAGGTAATTATGAGCTGAAGGAAAGAACTTTGAAGAGAGAACTTTGTCCTGAAAAACTTTGTTATTGCAGATATGGAGGAGGAGCTGAACAAATGTAAGGAGTCAAAGGCAGTGGCAGTAAAGTCACTGAGAAAGGCCCTGGACGAGAACATACGCCTTCATTATGACCTGAAGAACCCCTCCAAGCAGCAGATCCAGGACCCTCAGGAGGACCACGCTCCACACTATCCTCAGAACAAGTGGAGACGCAGTCGCCAAAAGACACACGTCTCCAGACCGAACCAACCGCCACTGGTTACGGTCCCCAAACACTAAGACTATGTTCCCAGTGAACTACCCCACCCTCTATTTTTTTACATTTCTGCTGCACTAGACCAGATTTGCGATACCTGCAAAGTCGAGGTGGTGCCGTGTCAAGACATTCAACACCACAAATGAAACATGTCATTTGATGTCAAAAACTGCCACCCAACAAACAATTGTAGGGAAAAAAATGCTTCTTAGGCCCTGTTTATACTGAGACGCTGCGCAGACGTTTCCAGGCTATTAACAGAAACGACCTGGCTCCTAATGCAAATTTCTCAGCGTTCACATGAGGTTGAAAAACTATGTAGTTCTAGCGTCCGGCCAGTAGTGGGCAGAGAAACTTTACAACACTCACACGACCCCCAGCTCCGTGCCCAGCCCATGGATGTATTATAATAACTGGATAGGGTATTACTAGCTTGTAGCTGAATAACTCACGTGCTCAGGGGATTCTCGCGGTACTGCAGACTGAACCAGACTAAATTCACGTGGGCTACCCAGAATTTTTCCCCATAGAACTCAATGCATATTAAAACAGCTCGACCTCAGCTGACAGAGAACCTACAGCTTTAATAAAGATAGGATTTTGTGGGGATTTTAGTGTCCCTTGTCATCCTGAACTTTTTTTCTTCTTAAATCCCTCGGTTTTGTTTAAATCCACACTTTAGTGCCACAAACTCTGCTCATCTGGCTCTCGCTCTAACTCCCGCTCTGATTGGTCAGAGCGCGGCCGAGCCCCTCTGTGCACGTGCGTGAGACCCGGTGTGAGACCCACACACGCGTGTTTGGCGCAACGCATTATGGGAGATCATCCACTGCGCAGAACCGGGAGGACCAGACGATGCCCAAATACAGGCGAGTTTCCCATAGATCTTTGCGAGTTTCAGGCAACTTCCGCTAATCTTTCAGCCCCCGTGCTGTCACAAAGCGCCACTGAGCACAACCATTCATTTGAATAGGGCGCCATCTTGGATCGCCGGGGCTTGGCCCAGCCCCCCTCTCGGCAGTATACTCACTTCCTGTGCCAGACCCTCAGAACGTACCAACATCATTCTGCATTTTAACAGCAGCTGTGAACATGGAAACTGAACCTAAAGCTTCGCATGGTCTCGTTTGGACGAACAAAGGAGTAGAATTATCCTCTGTGCCGCGCTGGAAGCCCACGAAGCTAGTTAGTTTACCGGCCGCCATTGTTGTTTATGTTTGTTCTCCACTACTGCGCATGTCCAAATTTACGTGCGGGGAGCAGCGCGGAGGTGGGGGTCAGAGCAGAGGGGGATTTCACACCTTTCTTCCTCTCGCGGGTGTGAAAGAGAGCCCCCGCTGTGCAGCGTTTCTGAGCTGTCCCACTCTGCAGGCTGGATCTGAACACTTACGTTTTCACCTGGAACACAATCTTCGTATGAACGGTTGGTAGAAACCGACATTCAACTATAGCGTTTTACTGCCACATTGTCTCCGTGTAAACTCAGCCTAACATTAGCCAGCGGCAAAAACAAAAGCAGCTGCAGCTGGAAGTCCGATACAGCAGGTACTCGACTGGACCAAGACATTTGCGGGCAGTGCAAAAGCCATATCAATAACCGAAGAGGAAATGGAAATGATTGACGACCAGCCATTTTCCACAGCGGAGGACTGAGGGTTTTACATAAAGTATATTTACCAGAAAGTCCTTTGTGCCAGTGGCGCAAAAACACCTCCTAAAACATATTATTTAATAGTGTTCAGAGGTCCAGACAATGAAACAGACAATGGGACAACGGGTGAATAGCAGTGAACAAACTACAGTCAAAATCCTAATAATTCTAAACAGATAAAGAAGGAAGGAGGAGAGGATAGTGTTCTATCTTCTTTCTGTGTCTTCATTGTTGATTCTCTGATCTGTGTTGGTGATTCCAACGGTTTTGTTAAGTCTCTGAGATGATACTGTTGTGATTTAGGGCGATACAAGAATAAATTGTATTGTGATTGTACTGTATTGTCGTGTTGATGCTGATATTTAACCACAGTTGAACCTGACAAAATCTCACACAACAAAAGGCACAGTTAAGCATTTTTAATCTTGGTTGCTTTTTCCAAGGAGAAATGGTTTTTAAAACAGAGATAGAGCAGAATCTCTTGCTCTCTCTGGTTCCAACATCAGATCTAACTCAGACAAGGCTCAAACTTCTTTTTGCCTTCTTGGTCTGCGCTTTGGATCCTTGCAAATCGGGCCGTGATTAAAGCCAAACTGTTATTAAAGATGTTTCTGAATCTTGGAATTTCAAAGGCCACTTCTAAAAACTTTGCTAAAATTGTGAAAAATCTGTCTTCTGTACATTCTATGAGTCCAAACATTTCACTGATTGATACAGATGAATTAAAAAGTATTATTTGATGATTTACTCTATGGATTATAATAATAAAAGGTGATCCATTATTCTATACAGATATAGCCCATCCTACTTTTGACCAGTCGTTTAGATCTTAACGGACATAAAAAACTGAAAAGACAAACTCACCGGCACAAGCCTCGTCCAGCTCTCCTTTCCCAAACCAGAGCTGTGATCCGTGGATGGTGCATGTGTGAAACTGCAGCCTGAAAACGGTGTCTCTGTCTGGAGTGTGAGCCCTGCGGTGGTAGCACTTCACCTGCAGGGGGCAGCAGCACATGTTGTCTATGGTTACAATGAGGATGAACTGGGAGTAAAGCGGCAAAAGTGATTCAAATGTGACAAATATAACAGTGCTGCCATGTTACAGTGGCTGTCATCATTAAAGGGCCCTAATCTGTCATCATTAAAGGGCCTAATTTGTCATAATTAAAGGGACTAATCTGTCATCATTAAAGGGCCTAATTTGTCATCATTAAAGGGCCCTAATCTGTCATCATTAAAGGGCCCTAATCTGTCATCATTAAAGGGCCCTAATCTGTCATCATTAAAGGGCCCTAATCTGTCATCATTAAAGGGCCCTAATTTGTCATCATTAAAGGGCCCAATCTGTCATCATTAAAGGGCCCTAATCTGTCAACATTAAAGGGCCTGATCTGTCATCATTAAAGGGCCCTAATCTGTCATCATTAAAGGGCCCTAATCTCTCATCATTAAAGGGCCCTAATCTGTCATCATTAAAGGGCCCTAATCTGTCATCATTAAAGGGCCCTAATCTGTCCAAAGGCATTAATAAAACCTGCTCTTTTCCAATGTTTCTTTAACTGATAACAATATTTCAGAGATAATTGAATTTCTAAATGATTTTTCCAGCCACTATTTTTTGTTCAGAAAGTCTGTGATCCGGGCGCCAGAACTCACCGCGTGGAGCTAATCTCACTGGTAAAGTACCATGTGGCGCAGAACTAAAAAAGGTCTCGTTATGATTCTCAAATCATTAACGACAAAACAAGGAATAAAACCAGGATTTCTATCTTTGTGAAAAAGGTGTTGGTTATAGATTTGTTGTTGACAAAACTCTTGTCTATTCAGCTGTTATGGTCCCAGCTGGATTCGTCTGCATATCTGGCAACCTGAGTCAGGGAGAGTGGGAGAGGCTGCAGTACCACTTATGGCCAGATACATACATTTTATTTTTTATTTTTGCTGCTGCTGGACGCCTGAATTTCTCCTACAGGGATCAATAATATATCAATCTATCTATCTAAAATAAAAATAAAAAACAAAATATAATAAAAACGTAGCATCTTAGTCAAGTAAATCTTGTCGTCAGGGTTTGAACTGACCAAAATATCTCCCTTCAGCAGCAGAGCCGGCTCCACGTTCATACACAGCCTCCTCCCCCCAGTGCCGTGAAGGTTACTGCAGAGACAAGACGGAACAAGATCAGATACACCCTGGAACAACGTGACACACTCCTGATATACATTTGAAGTGATTTCCGACATTTAACAGTTAGATAAAAATATGGCTCTGTCAAAATCCATATTCACTTGTAGATAAAGCTTTTATTGTATCATACTTCTCCACCCACACCTTTTAAATCAGACAGTAAAATGATTGTTTCACTAATATCCTGTGGGGAATCTACTGTATCTATTCATATCTTTTCTGTCTCTATGCATAGGATCGGGATGTCAAAGTCAAAATACATCAGAGGCCAAAAAAAAACTAATATTCTACAAGCTGAGAGCCAGACTGGTTCAATGTTTATGAAAAAAAATATGAAAATGATTGCATACAGTATAATCAATTGAACCAAGACTTAACACAGTGGTTTATCTAATGATTAAATGAAAGATCCAGTATTTTTGTAGCTCTGTCAGTCATTTATAGCAGGGGTGTTCAAACTTTGTAGTAAGAGGGCCACATTAGTTATCCAGACCTGTCAAAGGGCCAATGACCCTGATTTGGGCGGCACGGTGGCTGAGTGGATAGCACTCTCGCCTCTCAGCAAGAAGGTCCTGGGTTCGAATCCCGGCCGGACCAGGGCCTTTCTGAGTGGAGTTTGCATGTTCTCCCCGTGTCTGCGTAGGTTTCCTCCGGGTACTCCGGTTTCCCCTACCACTAAAAACATGAACAATAGGTCTGGCATGCGCCTCCTGTTCGGCGACCCCGCTTCCATCTTTGTGTGGAGTGAGTGGACAAGTGCCCAAAAAAAATAACAATTCTAAACCGCTTTGTGACTCTGGTCTGTGAAAGGCAGTATATAAATAAAGCTTACTTACTTGATTGGAAAATAGTTTTAACTGGATTCAGGCTGTTTTGAGGCTTTAAAATGTGGTGTGAAATGTGTATAATGATTAGCACAACAGCTACATTAGCACCCTTTATGTTTCTCAGCTTTACAACAAAGCATGACTACATTGGTGGAGCTTAAGTTGGCTGGATCTTGACAGTTACTTAGAGTTGGCGAGGCAGAGGGCCAAATAAAATGACACAGTGGGCCGCATTTGGCTCTCGGGCCTTAGTTTGGACATGCCTGATTCATAGTAAAAATATTGCGCAGGCTCAAAAACAAGAGAAAACACATTTAAAATCCAGTATTTTCTTATGTCTCTGCCGGGCCGGTTCTAAAACTAATCAAGTATCCCGGTGGGCCACGGTGTTTCATTCTTGGGCCGGATCTGGCACTCGGGCCTCAACTTTGCCACTCGTAAGACAGAGATAGGGACTCACTAAATTCCTGCACATAATCTATTGACGCAAGACTTAACACTGTGGACATTGTTTTATCTAATGATTAACTTAAAAAATGCAATTTTTTTGTGGCTCTATCAGTCACTAAAACCCAGTATTTTCTTATGTCTCATCATCCCGGTGGGCCACGGTGTTTCATTCTTGGACCGGATCTGGCACTCGGGCCTCGACTTTGCCACTTGTAAGACAGAGATGGGGACTCACTAAATTCCTGAAGTGTAGACCAACTGCATGGACTGGTAGATCTTCAGGAACGGGAAGTAACCTGGACAAAAACACAGGCAGACAACTCAACATTGTCAGGCGGAGGCGGAAAAATGCGCTGCCCGACTCCCATCAGCAGATTAAAGATAAACAGAGCGATTGTGTGGGCGAAGGCACGAGTCAGCTGCCCAGCGAGGAGCCACATATTTCAGTTTATACATATTTATCAGCGCAGAGAAAGGCAGGGTTTGTCTGTGCAGAGAATGTGTAGAGACGGACCTCCTTCTCCCTGGAAGTTGGGCAGAGACGGAACCAGGACTTGGTGGAGGAAGAGAGGGCTGCTGTTCATTTTGATGGCCCCCGACAGAAGACCTCCAAAGTAATAGATGTATCTACGAGAGAGAATCAATATCAGATTTTTTGCACAGGCACGAAAGATGAAAAATAAAAGAATACAGTGTAAAATACAGACACATGCATGGAAAAAGTAAAATGGTGGAACTTATTGAAACTTGATGTTTAAAGTCGAGGTGTAAAAATGTGTCTTTAGATTAGGAATATAATGTTTTTGGGGTTTTTGAGTGTCATGAAAAGCGGTAATAAAGTAATATGGGTTGGAGGGAGGGAGTTGTTTTGGATGTGGTTTGTAGATAACTTAAAGACATTAACCAACTTTATTGATATTTGACCCAACACAGACAGAGCATAATTTAGTTTTTTCCTTTCTTTTTTTTTTTAGCAATTTCTCAGATGAAATTAGGTAAATTATTGTAATTGCATGACTTTGTTTGTGGCTAGTACATTTCAAATTTGGAAAAAGAATATATGATTCCACATTCTAAGACGAAAAAAGCCAAAAATAATGCATAACATTCAGAACTCAACAGCTCAAAGCAGCTTTCAAGCTGAAAACTTCCATGTTTATACTTTCAAGAGATATGGTATTTTTGGTATCTCGCCTTGTGCATCTTGTTTTTTGGTTCCCACTGGGATTTTTGCCAAAAAAAAGTCAAAAGGACAGAAAATAATCTGGGACAAATACGTTATCATAATTCCTGTGACCCATAATGCCCAGCCTGGTCTTACCATGTGTAAACTCTGGTCCATGATCATTTCCTACATGTACGTCTGGTCTTACCATGTGTAAACTCTGGTCCATGGTCATTTCCTACATGTACGTCTGGTCTTACCATGTGTAAACTCTGGTCCATGATCATTTCCTACATGTACGTCTGGGTCTGATCCTAGTGGCTGCAGTTTCCTCGGTTCAATCCCCTCCGACCAATCAGAGAGCGGGGGAGGCGGGTGTTGTAGGTTGGTGTCGGTGACATCAAGAGTTTGTGCTGAATTTGCTGGTTGTAGTTTGTCGGAGAATTCGATAGTAAAATAATCTGTTCTGGTTCAAATCCAAATCAAGAAACTGAACCCGGAGCAAGAGGAATGTTTAGTAAATGTCATTGCTGGAAAGATGTTGTGGCTCTACTCCCCATGGGCTCCGATAGTGGCAAAGGAGATGGCTAAAGCTAGGCTAAATGCTAAAGCTAGGCTAAATGCTAAATGCCTCACTCACTCAGGCTCATTACATACGTCACAGTAAACTCAGATCCAACCGTTTCAATCTGCAAAAGGAGTTAACCCCTCCCACCTGTTAACGGAGTCAATGGAGACAATCCAGACCTTAGTATGAAATGAAATGAGTACAATGGTGTGGTAAGACCAGGCTAATTTTTATCTTGGGTTGTCTTTTTTGACCAATGATTTGATTTTCTCTGCTACTGGCAAATGTTCCTTGGAGACCATTGTCTTTGGGCTGTACAAAAAAATCATTTATTTGGCTTTTTGATTCATGTGACTTGAATTTACCCAAGATTAAGTAATACGCTGTCATCTGTACCTGTTTTGGGACGGCTGCAGTGAGGAGGACACCTTATCTTCACAGAACTTCCTCATGGCCAGAGTACTGAGCGCCTGGTCCGCCCTGTGAACCAAAACAAACACACTCTTTTATGAAGGCTTTTCCATCACGGGGCCTCTGTGTGTGTTCCACTGCCAGAGGATACAGCTGCTGTGTGACAGGATAGACCAGGATCCTGTGAGACTCTAGTGGACCCAGACTGCAGTGGACCCAGACTGCAGTGGACCCAGACTCCAGTGGACCCAGACTCCAGTGGACCTAGACTCCTGTGGACCCAGACTCCAGTGGACCCAGACTCCAGTGGACCCAGACTCCAGTGGACCCAGACTCCAGTGGACCCAGACTCCAGTGGACCTAGACTCCTGTGGACCCAGACTCCTGTGGACCCAGACTCCAGTGGACCCAGACTCCAGTGGACCCAGACTCCAGTGGACCCAGACTGCAGTGGACCCAGACTGCAGTGGACCCAGACTGCAGTGGGACCCAGACTCCAGTGGACCCAGACTCCTGTGGACCCAGACTCCAGTGGACCCAGACTCCAGTGGACCCAGACTCCAGTGGACCCAGACTGCAGTGGACCCAGACTGCAGTGGACCCAGACTGCAGTGGGACCCAGACTCCAGTGGACCCAGACTGCAGTGGGACCCAGACTGCAGTGGGACCCAGACTGCAGTGGACCCAGACTGCAGTGGACCCAGACTCCAGTGGACCCAGACTCCAGTGGACCTAGACTCCTGTGGACCCAGACTCCTGTGGACCCAGACTCCAGTGGACCCAGACTGCAGTGGACCCAGACTGCAGTGGGACCCAGACTCCAGTGGACCCAGACTGCAGTGGGACCCAGACTGCAGTGGGACCCAGACTGCAGTGGACCCAGACTCCAGTGGACCCAGACTCCAGTGGACCCAGACTCCAGTGGACCTAGACTCCAGTGGACCCAGACTCCAGTGGACCCAGACTCCAGTGGACCTAGACTCCAGTGGACCCAGACTCCTGTGGACCCAGACTCCAGTGGGCCCAGACTCCTGTGGACCCAGACTCTTGTGGACCCAGACTCTTGTGGACCCAGACTCCAGTGGACCCAGACTGCAGTGGACCCAGACTGCAGTGGGACCCAGACTCCAGTGGACCCAGACTGCAGTGGGACCCAGACTGCAGTGGGACCCAGACTGCAGTGGACCCAGACTCCAGTGGACCCAGACTCCAGTGGACCCAGACTCCTGTGGACCCAGACTCCAGTGGACCTAGACTCCAGTGGGCCCAGACTCCTGTGGACCCAGACTCCAGTGGGCCCAGACTGCAGTGGGACCCAGACTCCAGTGGACCCAGACTCCAGTGGACCTAGACTCCAGTGGGCCCAGACTCCTGTGGACCCAGACTCTTGTGGACCCAGACTCTTGTGGACCCAGACTCTTGTGGACCCAGACTCTTGTGGACCCAGACTCTTGTGGACCCAGACTCTTGTGGACCCAGACTCCTGTGGACCCAGACTCCTGTGGACCCAGACTCCTGTGGACCCAGACTCCAAATGGAACCAGACTCCAGTGGACCAAAGACTCCAGTGGACCCAGACTCCAGTGGACCTAGACTCCAGTGGACCCAGATTCCAGTGGACCCAGACTCCAAGTGGACCCAGACTCCAGTGGACCCAGACTCCAGTGGACCCAGACTCCGCAGTGGACCCAGACTCCAAATGGAACCAGACTGGAGTGGACCCAGACTCCAGTGGGCCCAGACTCCAATGGACCCAGACTCCTGTGGACCCAGACTCCAGTGGACCCAGACTCCAGTGGGCCCAGACTCCAGTGGACCCAGATTCCAGTGGACCCAGACTCCAAGTGGACCCAGACTCCAGTGGACCCAGACTCCAGTGGACCCAGACTCCGCAGTGGACCCAGATTCCAGTGGACCCAGACTCCGCAGTGGACCCAGACTCCAGTGGGCCCAGACTCCAATGGACCCAGACTCCTGTGGACCCAGACTCCAATGGACCCAGACTCCTGTGGACCCAGACTCCAGTGGACCCAGACTCCAGTGGACCCAGACTCTTGTGGACCCAGACTCTTGTGGACCCAGACTCTTGTGGACCCAGACTCTTGTGGACCCAGACTCTTGTGGACCCAGACTCTTGTGGACCCAGACTCTTGTGGACCCAGACTCCTGTGGACCCAGACTCCAGTGGACCCAGACTCCAGTGGACCCAGACTGCAGTGGACCCAGACTCCAGTGGACCCAGACTCCAGTGGACCCAGACTCCAGTGGACCCAGACTCCAGTGGACCCAGACTCCAGTGGACCCAGACTCCAGTGGACCCAGACTCCAGTGGACCCAGACTGCAGTGGACCCAGACTGCAGTGGACCCAGACTGCAGTGGACCCAGACTGCAGTGGGACCCAGACTCCAGTGGACCCAGACTGCAGTGGGACCCAGACTGCAGTGGGACCCAGACTGCAGTGGACCCAGACTCCAGTGGACCCAGACTCCAGTGGACCCAGACTCCAGTGGACCTAGACTCCAGTGGACCCAGACTCCTGTGGACCCAGACTCCAGTGGGCCCAGACTCCTGTGGACCCAGACTCTTGTGGACCCAGACTCTTGTGGACCCAGACTCTTGTGGACCCAGACTCTTGTGGACCCAGACTCTTGTGGACCCAGACTCTTGTGGACCCAGACTCTTGTGGACCCAGACTCCTGTGGACCCAGACTCCTGTGGACCCAGACTCCAAATGGAACCAGACTCCAGTGGACCAAGACTCCAGTGGACCCAGACTCCAGTGGACCTAGACTCCAGTGGACCCAGATTCCAGTGGACCCAGACTCCAAGTGGACCCAGACTCCAGTGGACCCAGACTCCAGTGGACCCAGACTCCGCAGTGGACCCAGACTCCAAATGGAACCAGACTGGAGTGGACCCAGACTCCAGTGGGCCCAGACTCCAATGGACCCAGACTCCTGTGGACCCAGACTCCAGTGGACCCAGACTCCAGTGGGCCCAGACTCCAGTGGACCCAGATTCCAGTGGGCCCAGACTCCAGTGGACCCAGATTCCAGTGGACCCAGACTCCAAGTGGACCCAGACTCCAGTGGACCCAGACTCCAGTGGACCCAGACTCCGCAGTGGACCCAGATTCCAGTGGACCCAGACTCCGCAGTGGACCCAGACTCCAGTGGGCCCAGACTCCAATGGACCCAGACTCCTGTGGACCCAGACTCCAATGGACCCAGACTCCTGTGGACCCAGACTCCAGTGGACCCAGACTCCAGTGGGCCCAGACTCCAGTGGACCCAGACTCTTGTGGACCCAGACTCTTGTGGACCCAGACTCTTGTGGACCCAGACTCTTGTGGACCCAGACTCCAGTGGACCCAGACTCCAGTGGACCCAGACTCCAGTGGACCCAGACTCCAGTGGACCCAGACTGCAGTGGACCCAGACTCCAGTGGACCCAGACTCCAGTGGACCCAGACTCCAGTGGACCCAGACTCCAGTGGACCCAGACTCCAGTGGACCCAGACTCCAGTGGACCCAGACTGCAGTGGACCCAGACTGCAGTGGACCCAGACTGCAGTGGGACCCAGACTCCAGTGGACCCAGACTGCAGTGGGACCCAGACTGCAGTGGGACCCAGACTGCAGTGGACCCAGACTCCAGTGGACCCAGACTCCAGTGGACCCAGACTCCAGTGGACCTAGACTCCAGTGGACCCAGACTCCTGTGGACCCAGACTCCAGTGGGCCCAGACTCCTGTGGACCCAGACTCTTGTGGACCCAGACTCTTGTGGACCCAGACTCTTGTGGACCCAGACTCTTGTGGACCCAGACTCTTGTGGACCCAGACTCTTGTGGACCCAGACTCTTGTGGACCCAGACTCCTGTGGACCCAGACTCCTGTGGACCCAGACTCCAAATGGAACCAGACTCCAGTGGACCAAGACTCCAGTGGACCCAGACTCCAGTGGACCTAGACTCCAGTGGACCCAGATTCCAGTGGACCCAGACTCCAAGTGGACCCAGACTCCAGTGGACCCAGACTCCAGTGGACCCAGACTCCGCAGTGGACCCAGACTCCAAATGGAACCAGACTGGAGTGGACCCAGACTCCAGTGGGCCCAGACTCCAATGGACCCAGACTCCTGTGGACCCAGACTCCAGTGGACCCAGACTCCAGTGGGCCCAGACTCCAGTGGACCCAGATTCCAGTGGGCCCAGACTCCAGTGGACCCAGATTCCAGTGGACCCAGACTCCAAGTGGACCCAGACTCCAGTGGACCCAGACTCCAGTGGACCCAGACTCCGCAGTGGACCCAGATTCCAGTGGACCCAGACTCCGCAGTGGACCCAGACTCCAGTGGGCCCAGACTCCAATGGACCCAGACTCCTGTGGACCCAGACTCCAATGGACCCAGACTCCTGTGGACCCAGACTCCAGTGGACCCAGACTCCAGTGGGCCCAGACTCCAGTGGACCCAGACTCTTGTGGACCCAGACTCTTGTGGACCCAGACTCTTGTGGACCCAGACTCTTGTGGACCCAGACTCCTGTGGACCCAGACTCCTGTGGACCCAGACTCCAAATGGAACCAGACTCCAGTGGACCCAGACTCCAGTGGACCCAGACTCCAGTGGGCCCAGACTCCAGTGAACCCAGACTCCAGTGGACCTAGACTCCAGTCGACCCAGATTCCAGTGGACCCAGACTCCAAGTGGACCCAGACTCCAGTGGACCCAGACTCCAGTGGACCCAGACTCCAGTGGACCCAGATTCCAGTGGACCCAGACTCCGCAGTGGACCCAGACTCCAAATGGAACCAGACTGGAGTGGACCCAGACTCCAGTGGGCCCAGACTCCAATGGACCCAGACTCCTGTGGGCCCAGACTCCAATGGACCCAGACTCCTGTGGACCCAGACTCCAATGGACCCAGACTCCTGTGGACCCAGACTCCAGTGGACCCAGACTCCAGTGGGCCCAGACTCCAGTGGACCCAGACTCCAGTGGACCCAGACTCCAGTGGACCCAGACTCCTGTGGACCCAGACTCCAGTGGACCCAGACTCCAGTGGACCCAGACTCCTGTGGACCCAGACTCCTGTGGACCCAGACTCCTGTGGACCCAGACTCCAGTGGACCCAGACTCCAGTGGACCCAGACTCCAGTGGACCCAGACTCCTGTGGACCCAGACTCCAGTGGACCCAGACTCCAGTGGACCCAGACTCCTGTGGACCCAGACTCCAGTGGACCCAGACTCCAGTGGACCCAGACTCCTGTGGACCCAGACTCCAGTGGACCCAGACTCCAGTGGACCCAGACTCCAGTGGACCCACACCATCCATTGCCCCTCAGTTGCACGTTCCCGATGATGGGTGCGAGTGCGTAGGGCGTCCCAATTCTCCAGGGAGGTCTTTGGCCCCGCCCCCTTTGCGCCCCTGATCCACACTTCGCCGTAGCCTGCATTTAAGCGGACTCTGGCGAAGGATATTGCCCATAATTCTTTGCGGTACACACCAAAACGTTGGGAAAAAGCATTTAAGTGTAAGTTTTGAAATACATACAGTATGCTGAATGTGTGTAAATAAGTTTTGCAATGTGATAAGCATAAATGTCTGAATTACGGACATTCTATGCTAACAATTTAATAACTTTTTTTAATGCAAGCTTTCATATAACATTCAATTTAAACTTTAGTACAATAAATGTAGGATGTATAAAAACGTAAAACCAATACATATTTATTTTAATGTGTGTGGAGCAACACTACAAAACTACTACTTTTGTTTCCCACAGGGTCGGACGGAATGAACACACACACACACACACACACACACACACACACACACACACACACACACACACACACACACACACACACACACACACACACACACACACACACCTTGTTGTAACCCTTAAAATATGTATCTCACCACATATTCTTGTTTGCTTGTTTGTTGTATGTATGTTACTTGACAAGAAATATATATACAGTGCCTTGCGAAAGTATTCAGCCCCCTTGAACCTTTCAACATTTCGCCACATTTCAGGCTTCAAACATAAAGATATAAAAAAAATATTTTTTGTCATGAATTAACAACAAGTGGGACACAATCGTGAAGTGGAACAAAATGTATTGGATAATTTACACTTTTTTAACAAATAAAAAACTGAAAAGTGGGGCGTGCAATATTATTCGGCCCCCTTGCGCAAATACTTTGTAGCGCCACCTTTTGCTGCAATTACAGCTGCAAGTCGCTTGGAGTATGTCTCTATCAGTTTTGCACATCGAGAGACTGGAATTCTTGCCCATTCTTCCTTGCAAAACAGCTCGAGCTCAGTGAGGTTGGATGGAGAGCGTTTGTGAACAGCAGTCTTCAGCTCTTTCCACAGATTCTCGATTGGATTCAGGTCTGGACTTTGACTTGGCCATTCTAACACCTGGATACGTCTATTTGTGAACCATTCCATTGTAGATTTGGCTTTATGTTTTGGATCATTGTCCTGTTGGAAGATAAATCTCCGTCCCAGTCTCAGGTCTTTTGCAGACTCCAACAGGTTTTCTTCCAGAATGGTCCTGTATTTGGCTCCATCCATCTTCCCATCAATTTTAGCCATCTTCCCTGTCCCTGCTGAAGAAAAGCAGGCCCAAACCATGATGCTGCCACCACCATGTTTGACAGTGGGGATGGTGTGTTCAGGGTGATGAGCTGTGTTGCTTTTACGCCAAACATATCGTTTTGCATTGTGGCCAAAAAGTTTGATTTTGGTTTCATCTGACCAGAGCACCTTCTTCCACATGTTTGGTGTGTCTCCCAGGTGGCTTGTGGCGAACTTTAAACAAGACTTTTTATGGATATCTTTGAGAAATGGCTTTCTTCTTGCCACTCTTCCATAAAGGCCAGATTTGTGCAGTGCACGACTGATTGTTGTCCTATGGACAGACTCTCCCACCTCAGCTGTAGTTATCTGCAGTTCATCCAGAGTGATCATGGGCCTCTTGGCTGCATCTCTGATCAGTCTTCTCCTTGTTTGAGATGAAAGTTTGGAGGGACGGCCGGGTCTTGGTAGATTTGCAGTGGTCTGATACTCCTTCCATTTCAATATAATTGCTTGCACAGTGCTCCTTGAGATGTTTAAAGCTAAGGAAATCTTTTTGTACCCAAATCCGGCTTTAAACTTCTCCACAACAGTATCTCAGACCTGCCTGGTGTGTTCCTTTGTCTTCATGGTTCTCTCTGCGCTTTTAACAGAACCCTGAGACTATCAAAGAGCAGGTGCATTTATACGGAGACTTGATTACACACAGGTGCATTCTATTTATCATCATCAGTCATTTAGGACAACATTGGATCATTCAAAGATCCTCACTGAACTTCTGGACTGAGTTTGCTGCACTGAAAGTAAAGGGGCCGAATAATACTGCACGCCCCACTTTTCAGTTTTTTATTTGTTAAAAAAAATTATCCAATAAATTTTGTTCCACTTCACGATTGTGTCCCACTTGTTGTTGATTCATGACAAAAAATTTAAATATTATATCTTTATGTTTGAAGCCTGAAATGTGGCGAAATGTTGAAAGGTTCAAGGGGGTCGAATACTTTCGCAAGGTACTGTATATATGTTTTCTCGTTGAAGTGGAAGTGATCTTTAGACACTCACCCTGCTGAAATCTTGCTGTAGTGCATGTAGGCTGCGACGATGACTCCCGTTTTACCTTTGTTACCCTGAAGGAAAGACATGACATCACAAAAGGGGCTAGCGAGGGACGGTGAAATTGTATTTTTGGTCTCCACCTCTCTGGTCTCACTCTCTCTCTGGTCTCTCTCTGGTCTCTCTCTGGTCTCTCTCTGGTCTCTCTCTGGTCTCTCTCTGGTCTCTCTCTGGTCTCTCTCTGGTCCCTCTCTCTGGTCCCTCTCTCTGGTCCCTCTCTCTGGTCCCTCTCTCTGGTCCCTCTCTCTGGTCCCTCTCTCTGGTCCCTCTCTCTCTGGTCACTCTCTCTCTGGTCACTCTCTCTCTGGTCACTCTCTCTCTGGTCTGGTCACTCTCTCTCTGGTCTGGTCACTCTCTCTCTGGTCTGGTCACTCTCTCTCTGGTCCCTCTCTCTGGTCCCTCTCTCTGGTCCCTCTCTCTGGTCCCTCTCTCTGGTCCCTCTCTCTCTGGTCACTCTCTCTCTGGTCACTCTCTCTCTGGTCACTCTCTCTCTGGTCACTCTCTCTCTGGTCACTCTCTCTGGTCTGGTCACTCTCTCTCTGGTCACTCTCTCTCTGGTCTCTCTCTGGTCGGTCTCTCTCTGGACTCTCTCTGGACTCTCTCTGGACTCTCTCTGGACTCTCTCTGGACTCTCTCTGGTCTCTCTCTGGTCACTCTCTGGACTCTCTCTGGACTCTCTCTGGACTCTCTCTGGTCTCTCTCTGGTCACTCTCTGGACTCTCTCTGGACTCTCTCTGGTCTCTCTCTGGTCTCTCTCTGGTCTCTCTCTGGTCACTCTCTGGTCACTCTCTGGTCACTCTCTGGTCACTCTCTGGTCACTCTCTGGTCTCTCTCTGGACTCTCTCTGGACTCTCTCTGGACTCTCTCTGGTCTCTCTCTGGACTCTCTCTGGTCTCTCTCTGGTCTCTCTCTGCGGTTTAAAAACGCACTCAAACTTTCAATCTGACAGCTCTGTGGGCACATTACACCTTTTTCATACAATCATAGAGTGCGGCTATAAACAAGTGAATGCAGGCACAAATTAAAAAGCTCCCTGTGGTGTTTTTCCCTAAACTTCCTGACATTCCAAAGACATTCCAACCCTCTCCTTCCCAACAGGACTCCAGTTCGCTCTGAGCTGCATAAATCGCCCGCTCGGCACAAATTACAGCTTGTTTTGCTCCTAATAGAGTGCCCATTCATGTTTATTCTTCTGATAGCGTGATCCACAGCTGGGAAACTACTGGTGGAGTGGGAATGTTTTTGAAAGCCAAGTCCACCACAGAAGTCTGGTTTAGTATTTAAATCCCCCCCAAACCCTCAAAACAATAAATAAGGAATCCACAAAAGACATGGGAGCCGAGATGCCGTTTTTAGTGGTGATGGTGTGACATGAGTTGGGAAAGCTAATGTTTTTATAACAGTGTATTGTGTGGATGAAATGTATGAATAATAAAAAATATTGATGCATTTTAGATGTGCTCCAGAACCGTCTTTTTTGTCAATAACCATCAGATTAAAGGGGACATAACATTCAGAATTCACAGCGTTTGATCATGAAACAATTGTTGCCACGTGTGTTTGAACTATTTTCTTTCCTGAGTTTGTGACCTGCTGATGATTTGGTAAGGTTGTGTGCTTGTGCATGTTTTTAGTGGTAGGGGGAAACCGAAGCACCCGGAGGAAACCTACGCATACACGGGGAGAACATGCAAACTTCACTCAGAAAGGCCCTGTTCCCACCAGGATTTGAGTAGTGCATGTGCCACCACGGGAAGCGAAAGATTAGCGGAACTCGTCAATATTTAGGCATAGTCTGGTCCTCCCATGATGCTTTGCGCCAAATACGCACAGAGGGGCAGCCTTCTGACCATAGACTGTATACATTAACGGACGTAGTCACGCCTATCTCCGCCGTTCAAATAAATGGGCCAAAAATTGGGCTTTCATGGAGTGATTCAAAATGGCCGCGGGGGTTGGAAAATGTTAAAAAAACTTATCTGCGCATGCGTCAGCTGCACGAGCTCCATTCATTTAAACGAGAGACTTCAAAAATTCACAGTGACTAAACTAGACTGGTCCAGAACACTCAGCATTGACACACATGTGGAACGAAGCTTTGGGCCAAGAAACAACTTTTGGTCCATCCTGTAAAGATGTTTTCCAGAGGTCTGCCAATGCTATATGTTAGCATTGGCTAATTCTTCTTCTGGGTCCACCCCCACAGGCCCGGGGTGTTATTGCAGCATGTCAGCGCACGTTATTTTGGCCACTTTTGAGCTGGGACCCGCCCCCAATGGTTACGACCAATCAGTGCTGCTGATCAGAGCGGAAGTTAGAGTGGGAGACGATCGAGCAGAGTTTGTGGCAGTAAAGTGTGAATTTACGACAAGGGACACTAAAATCCCCACAACATCCGACCTTTATGAAAGCTGTGGGTTCTCTGTCAGGTTCTCTGTCAGCTGAGGTTGAGCTGTTTTAGTTTACATTGAGTTCTATGGGGAACATTTCTGTGTAGCCCACGTGAATTTAGTCTGGTTTAGTCTGCGTGAGTTCTTCAGCTCCAAGCTAGTAACACCCTATCCAGTTTTTATAATTATAGATCCATGAATCCTACATGAAAACAGAACAGAGACATGAAAGGCTGGGGAAACCCTTTGAGCTCTGACCTTGCAGTGCAGGACCACCACATGCTGGGGGTCAGAGGTCAGCCACATCTCCATAGCTTTACAGATGGCACAGATCTTATCCAGCGGCGGGGCGTGCAGGTCGGGCCAGCCAAAGTCATGCACCTGCAGGGACAGATATTCTTGTCATATTTATGTATATATATATGTGATTGATTCATATGTGATACATATATTTCCGGGACTAAAATGAACTTTGAAATCATTTTAATATTTTTTTTGAGCGAGTAAATGGGCATAGAAAAAATAGAAATAAATCATCACAAGCAGGACAAAAGGAATCTCTACGAGGGCAAAACAACTGCATGAAAAAAAATACCCACAATGGAAACACACAGCAAATACCAACAATGGATTATTTTCATAAAGTAATTCATTTCAATGTGAAACCAGACCATTGTTTTTCTTTCTCAAGTTTAATTTTTAGAAATAAAGACGTTCAATACAGTTTTTACGTTTTTAAGTGTATTCCTGATGTTAATGTTAATCTGTGGAGTTCACCTTTGTCTCTGCACTTTTATTTTCTATGTCTCGTAGTCACAGTAAAATGATCCAATCAGAGGCTGATCTGGGTTTTAACATTTCGCTAAAAATGTATTTATCAATTTTTCTTTTTGATTTTATCCACACTATCTCTTTGATCTGTCTGTGTTTGAAATCTTTTTTTTCTAATCAATGAAAGTCATTTTAGTTTTTGAGTTAAAACATTTTAAGGCCCAGATACCTTTTTGGCAGCAGTTTTTTAACCCTTAAAAGACGATGCCATCGCCGACGATGGTGGCGCACATGTTTTACAAATGATGAATTTACTCGCGAACGGTGAACGCTAGCGACTTACTTTTTTTTTATCTCCGTGAAGTAGACATTCCAGCCTTTCCGAAACTGCCTTTGGTTTGTCTCTGCTACATACGGGGGATAAACTACGTGTGTATGAAAGTCAGTCCCCCAAACGGATCTTCAAGCGTGTCCCGTGAGCCAGGCACAGCCGCATGTAAAGTTGTTTACACACACGGGGACTCAGACAAAGATTGTCAGAGAGTGAGATGGCTCACTCCTCTGTGTTTACTTGTTGCAGCATAGGCAGCAGCGCTCAGAGGAACCAGAGGAGTTCGCGTTATTGAGAATAGACAATAAATACAGTAAAATTATATTATGTGTATATAATGTATTTGTATATATAAATTAGATGTTTTTTTTTTTTTTGTCTTAGTTTCTTTTGTTTTACATATTTTACAGCTGTGATACAGAAGCAACCACAGCCACATAGACAAACTGCTTGAGGAAGGGCATCAGGAGTACAGCGTTTTTGGCTTTTATAGAGGAATTTTGTAAAAAGTATAATAGTTACAGATTCAATTTTTTCCCCGTTATCCCCAAGACCCTAAAACACATTTCTATGCAGTGTTAACAGTTGTTTATAGCATTTCATTGTGTTTTTCAATACATTTTTGTGAAATTGATTTTCCGTTTCGATTTTTTCTTTGTCTTCATGACTCCAAATTTTTTATATAATTCATATGACAGCTCTAAAATATAGATATTCTAAAACCCCAGGTTGTAATGAAAAAAAACAAAGTATACTGCTTGACTCTGCATCAAAAAATGACTCTTTTATGAGCAATTATACACAAAGAAAACCAGGCGAGGAAGGTTCTCCAAAATGACCCTAGACCTTGGAGGGTTAACCTACCCTGGCTCCAGTCTACTGCGAGTCCAGTGCTCATTGATATTAAGTAGGGCTGCCAAAATTATCGTGTTAACTCACATTAATTACATGTTTCATTATCGCGTACATTTATTTTTTAACAGGTCTCTGGGAATTCAAGATTTAAAAGAATATGCGCGCCGCAGTAACATGACCCAAGACCATACACGCACTGAACTCTGCATGTTGTGTGTGTGTGTGTGTGTGTGCGTAACCTGTGTGTAAAAATGCAATTAATCGTGGGTTAACTCACCATTACTCTGCAATTAATCACCTAAAACATTTTAATCGTTTGACAGCTCTAATATGAATCCATTTCTAAGTCTTTCGAGATCCGCACCAAAGTCAGAGTCAGTATACGCCTGTGCAGGTCAGAGCAGCAGTGTGTACCTTTGGGTTGATGCGGCTGATGTCATGGCGTCTTTCAGAGAGATTCAGCAACTAAGAAAGGAAAAACAAAACAAAAGTTAGGTTTGCAGGTTTTCCCGACGTTTTGTTCTTAATCCAAATAACTTTATCAAGGGAATGAAAGCTCAGCCACGAGTTGGAGAATAAAACATGATGCCAACATATACACAAATTATACGTTCCCTTTTCCGTAAATCTTAAATACATGCAACCTCTTCATTACCAGGAGTTATATTAGCTTCATGAACGCTAATATTGAGAACTTCTGTGATCCGTCTGTTTCTGGAGGTTCTTTATGAATCCAGACTTTCCAACCCAGCTCTTTGAATAATCAGTGACTCCTCTGGCCACCCTGGAAAAGCCATGTTCCAGCTTCTTCCCTCTGGCAGAAGATATCAATCGCTGACGTGCAGGACATCTGGTTTTGCTAACAGCTTCTTTAAACCAACTGTTAGCACTGATCTTGTTCTTTAGTTTGATGGATTTTACGGAGACAAATGTTTCCTGCGCTTTTCTAGTTTCAGTTTTATCTATACTCTTTTAACATTGTTTATTTCTGTAAATGTCTTGTGCAAACTGGGGACTTTTGCAAATGTATTCCTACCTGGTTTTACGTTACAAAAATAAAGAATCTTCTGACATAAATCTTTCAAACTCCTTACTCTATGATTAATCCTTAGACTAGGATAGACTTGGTTTTTGTTCTGCTGCATGAAAATATAAGTTTTAAATAAACATGATTCTATGATTTCATCAACAAAGCGTTACCTTAACCCTTTAAAACTGAAGCCAAAATACATTATACTGTAAACAACTTCCATGTTAGGTTTTAGAACCAAATCAAACTGAATGTAATTTGAGAGACAGTGGCTCACTTGGTAAGAGCATTGGCCTTTGAGCCTGAAGGTTGTGGGTTCGAGCCCACCACGAGACCTTCTCCACCAACTCCCACTGATGTCTGCTGTCGTTGTGTCCTTGGGCAAGACACTTAACCCACTTTGCCTATAAGGAGCGCAGAAGTGATGTTTGCTGCTTGCCTTAATGTGTATATGTATATGTGTATGTGTATGTGTGTATGTGTGTATATATATGTGTGTATGTGTGTGTATGTGTGTGTATGTGTATGTGTATGTGTGTATGTGTATGTGTATGTGTATGTGTGTATGCGTATGTGTATGTGTGTATGCGTATGTGTGTATGTGTATGTGTGTATGTGTATGTGTATGTGTGTATGTGTATGTGTGTATGTGTGTATATGTGTATGTGTATGTGTGTGTGTATGCATCAAACTGAAATTTCCCCATTGTGGTATGAATAAAAGACCTTCTTCATTTCCCACTTCTACCATTAGATGAGATTGTTGTGTCATTTTATTCCCCTTTAATATTAAATTTATTTCACTTTTGCATCTCTACCTTTTGTATGTCTATTTTCACTAAATAAAAAAAAATAAAAAAAAACATTTCTGGGTTGGGGGAGGGGGTGCAATCAGAGCTGGGTAAAGTGCTGTGCTATTTAGAATTATTTAACATTTTTTTATGGTCATCCAATTGATATTCCCTCCTTGGAACACATGACAAGTAGAAAAAATGACATGGGTCAAACTAAAAAACAAAATGTCAGTTTTTGATTTGTTTATTCAGGGCGTGTCCAAGTCCCAAAAGATCACCCACTTACCGCGGCGTCCACAATTCCTCCTCTTACTTGAGCAACACATCTTTAAATAAACAGGAGCTGGTTGTGAAAGCTCCACTAATTACTGTTTTGTCTGCTCTTACCAGGAACTTGTCCTGGTGTTTGGACTTCAACATGGCCGCCACCTCCTTCAGGTTCAGCCGGTATCTCTGCTCCTCCAGTTTGGGCGGGAAAAACACCGAGATGATCCTCTCGGTGATGTAGGTGAGGTCGAAGTCGTAGTGGCGTTCCATGACTCTCTCCATGACGCGGTCCACGCTGAAGCTCCTGCAGCAGTCGAGGCGGAAAGATAAGTAAAGGTTATAGTAAAGGTTATAGACTCGCGCAAGCTAGCATTAGCATTATTCTGTTGTGTTCCATCAATTGCATTGGTTGGGTTGTTAAGAAAGCTCGTCAGAGAGAGAGCAGAGAGAGAGCAGAGAGAGAGCAGAGAGAGACCAGAGAGAGAGCAGAGAGAGACCAGAGAGAGACCAGAGAGAGACCAGAGAGAGACCAGAGAGAGAGCAGAGAGAGACCAGAGAGAGACCAGAGAGAGACCAGAGAGAGACCAGAGAGAGACCAGAGAGAGACCAGAGAGAGACCAGAGAGAGACCAGAGAAAGACCAGAGAGAGACCAGAGAAAGACCAGAGAAAGACCAGAGAGAGAGCAGAGAGAGAGCAGAGAGAGACCAGAGAGAGACCAGAGAGAGACCAGAGAGAGACCAGAGAGAGACCAGAGAGAGAGCAGAGAGAGACCAGAGAGAGAGAGCAGAGAGAGAGCAGAGAGAGACCAGAGAGAGACCAGAGAGAGACCAGAGAGAGACCAGAGAGAGACCAGAGAGAGACCAGAGAGAGACCAGAGAGAGACCAGAGAGAGACCAGAGAGAGACCAGAGAGAGTCCAGAGAGAGACCAGAGAGAGACCAGAGAGAGACCAGAGAGAGACCAGAGAGAGTCCAGAGAGAGACCAGAGAGAGACCAGAGAGAGACCAGAGAGAGACCAGAGAGAGACCAGAGAGAGACCAGAGAGAGACCAGAGAGAGACCAGAGAGAGAGACCAGAGAGAGAGCAGAGAGAGACCAGAGAGAGACCAGAGAGAGAGCAGAGAGAGACCAGAGAGAGACCAGAGAGAGACCAGAGAGAGAGCAGAGAGAGACCAGAGAGAGACCAGAGAGAGACCAGAGAGAGACCAGAGAGAGACCAGAGAGAGACCAGAGAGAGACCAGAGAGAGACCAGAGACCTGAGAGAGAGCAGAGAGAGACCAGAGAGAGAGACCAGAGAGAGAGAGCAGAGAGAGACCAGAGAGAGACCAGAGAGAGACCAGAGAGAGACCAGAGAGAGACCAGAGAGAGACCAGAGAGAGAGCAGAGAGAGACCAGAGAGAGACCAGAGAGAGACCAGAGAGAGACCAGAGAGAGACCAGAGAGAGACCAGAGAGAGACCAGAGAGAGACCTGAGAGAGAGCAGAGAGAGACCAGAGAGAGACCAAAGAGAGAGACCAGAGAGAGACCAGAGAGAGACCTGAGAGAGAGCAGAGAGAGACCAGAGAGAGACCAGAGAGAGACCAGAGAGAGACCTGAGAGAGAGCAGAGAGAGAGCAGAGAGAGACCAGAGAGACCAAAGAGAGACCAGAGAGAGACCAGAGAGAGACCAGAGAGAGACCTGAGAGAGACCAGAGAGAGACCTGAGAGAGACCAAAGAGAGAGACCAGAGAGAGACCAAAGAGAGAGACCAGAGAGAGACCAGAGAGAGACCTGAGAGAGACCAGAGAGAGACCTGAGAGAGAGCAGAGAGAGACCAAAGAGAGAGAGACGAGGCCTTTACCTCGGCAGGGTGTTCCTCTGTTTGCTGTAGGTCAGAGACTTGGTGGACCCCTGTGACAAAAATACATAATAAAAATCACTGTTTATATTTAAATCCCCATAAGCTACTGAAAAATAAAGAGTAGATATTCTTCCGGGGGTCTATACACTCCATGCCACACAAATGAATATACAATGGATGGAAAAAAGTGTAGGAATATAACAGGCCAATAAATCATACAAAATACACAGGATCATTGTTATGGTGTGGACTTTTTGATTACTTTTCCTTGTTTTATTTTAATATTGGTTCTTCATTGTCTGTTTTCATGTCTGTTCTGTTTAATTGCCTATCCCGCCCTAATTCTTGGGTTTCATATGACGTCAGGGCAGTGGTGCGAATAACAAACGTAGGACAGGACGTGACGTATCCTGGCGGTGCAGTCTGCCGGGTTTATACCATAGACTGTATACATTAACGGACGTAGTCACGCCCATCTCCGCCGTTCTAACTAATGGGCCAAAAATTGGGCTTTCATGGAGTGATTCAAAATGGCCGCGGGGGCTGGAAAATGTGAAAAAACGCATCTGCGCATGTGTCAGCCGGTGCAGCTCCATTCATTTGAACGAGTGACTTCAAAAATTCACAGCGACTAAACTAGACTGGTCCAGAACACTCCCCTCAGAATTGACACACATGTGGAACGGAGCTTTGGGCCAAGAGACAACTTTTGGACCATCCTGTAAAGACGTTTTCCAGAGGTGAGAAGATGCTATGTGTTAGCATTGGCTAATTCTTATTCCGGGTCCACCCCCACAGGCCCGGGGTGGTATTGCAGCATGTCAGCGCACGTCATTTTGGCCACTTTTTAGCCGGGACCCTCCCCCACTGGTTTATACACAGAGATATAGTAGAAGAAGAATGCCATCTTTTCGTGCGGTGTACGCTTGTAGCAACCGCACGAATAGAGAGAACGACAAGAGTTTGTTCATGTTCCAACTGTGGTCTCATATAAAGGAGGACACTTTGAAAAAAATCACTGGAATGAGGCGGGCGAGGTGGATCAAGGCTTTCCCAGATAAGCGCCCCCTGCAGGCCACCCCAATGAAACACAGCAATATCTTCTGTTATAATCTGGTGGACTGTATTTTTTGTATTGATTAAATGAATAATGTAATATTTTTGTAAGGCTCTGTTAGTCATTTCAAGTGTAAAATTTTTTAAAAAGACTCAAAAACAAAATTCCTTCAAATAGAAAACGCACTTCCTGAACATTAAATGAAAAATCCACTCTTTTCTTATGTCTCTGTGCAGCCGGATTTTAATACTAATCCAACATCATCCCGCGGGCCAAGAGAACCAATGTGTGGGCCGGATATAGCCCCCGGGCCTCGACTTTGACACCCATGTTTTATAACAGGGGTGTCAAACTCATTTTGGTCAGGGGCTGATTAAAAAAATAGGAACTGGTCAGGCTGAAACAATAGAATTTTAACTTCTAATGTGTTATTGGGTTAAAATGTTAGAATACATTACATTTGGCGGCCACTAAATATTGTCTTGGATCTGACACCCATGTTTTTTCCATATGGATAATAACAACTATAAGTCCATGTTTTGCTCACCATGTGTTGCATTTGCCGCGACGATGCCGTCCCTCTCCGCTGCTGCAGACAGAGGGAAACGGCAGAGTATTAAAAATAACTCAAACAGCACATGTAGAACAACAGGAAGAGTTCAGCGGGTCAGAGAGGAGTCCAGGAGCGAAGAGGAAGAGCAACAGTTCATTCAACAAACATGGCGGCTTTCTATGGCAACAGGCAGCTCCGGGAGACAAGCCGCAGCTGAGGGCTCGGCTTTCCGGAAACATTCACCAGGAAGGAACCGCACACGGCTGTTTGGGAACACACACACACACACACACACACTTCGGACAAACACGAGAAAGTCTGTGTTCTAGTGTTGAGGAAATGTGTCTCACCATGTCATTGGACGGAGCAGGGATGCAAGCCGAGGTCACCTGGAACACAAAGGCGAATGGGTGATTAAAACAAATACAATTATACGTTTGGAAGTTTGTTTATTTAACATAGGAATGAGTAGGATTTTCATGTCAAGTCATCATTAAAGGGCCCTAATCTGTCATTATTAAAGGGCCCTAATCTGTCATCATTAAAGGGCCCTAATCTGTCATTATTAACCTCCTAAAACCCGCCTCATTTTGGCTTGTGCACAAAAGTTGGGCATACCCAAATGTCTTTGCTTATTTAAAAACACATCTTACATCTCACATGCTTGTGTGATGCATCATTTTAAAGCTAGAGCCTTCTAGTTTATATAAAAAAACACTAAAATAATGTTTGTCATTCCTATTTTCCTCTGCATCCTTTGAAGTTTGGGAAAAAAACCCAATTTTTTTAGCCTCGCCTAACATTTTCAATTTCTAAAGGCCCTAAAAAAGGCATACTTCATTGTAAGTTCACAATATTCAAACCCTGCGGTCATTGTGTTGTTGACAACAACTGTCTGAAGTTTCAGACTTCTAAGTTTTATAGTTTTTATGCAGTTTCTCCTTTTCATCAAGTAGTGCACATTTATATCTTTATAAATATCTTTACTTACATTTAATCATCATAAAAACAATATTTTTTATTATTGATACTTATAAGTTACTAATCTATGTGTGTTTTTTTTTTTAAATATCAAAGTTATTTTTTTATGAGTGTAATTTCATTGCAGCTTCGAGAGCGTCTTTTGGCTGCCATTACGCACAATTGTACAGGCACAACATAAGACAGGACACCATTGTCCCACCCCTTGTTCGAAAGCTTTCCTCATTGGCTACACGGCCATGTCATTCATTCGGCTTTACCACGTCCCCCTCCCTGCCCTGCTAACAACAAACAGAAAGTGGCCGTGCGTAAAAGGGAGTCGCTTGTTTTATTCACAGAGACGCAGCGAACGAAATCAAGCACCTATCTCTTCGGGGATAGTCTCATTGTGTAGCTAACAAGGTGAGGAACACAAGCCTACCCTCTTTGCGGAAATGCAGCTTTGCCTTTCCCCCACAAACAGTGAAAAGCAGCGTCCGTGCTGTTTCAATTTTTTTTTCTTGCTAAAAATAAATGCTCGTTTTTGGATGATTTCTGCACAATGGATTATACTTTGGGAAACACAAGTGGATTTCCGTTTTCCATGGACAGTAATGGAGAGAATAAGCCATAGCAAGCTGGGAGGAGAGCTGATTTATTTATGTAGTACACGGAAAATGGTAAGAAACTTTTACGGAGCCGATTCATTTTGTTCCCATATTATGTGTTATATCTTTTGAATGCAATGTCTGATATTGCTGACACTTGTATATAATTGTAAATACAAAAATAAGCTTTAAAATGACATACAGCTTTTGGGGTTTGGTGTTCAAAATGCATCTGTTATTGCTGGTTAAAAACAAAAACGGCGCGTCGGTTGCTGTAAAGAGGTTAAAGAGTTCTAATCTGTCATCATTAAAGGGCCCAAATTTGTCATTATTAAAGGGCCCTAATCTGTCGTCATTAAAGGGCCCTAATCTGTCATCATTAAAGGGCCCTAATCTGTCATCATTAAAGGGCCCTAATCTGTCATCATTAAAGGGCCCAAATTTGTCATCATTAAAGGGCCCAAATTTGTCATCATTAAAGGGCCCTAATCTGTCATCATTAAAGGGCCCTAATCTGTCATCATTAAAGGGCCCAAATTTGTCATCATTAAAGGGCCCAAATTTGTCATTATTAAAGGGCCCTAATCTGTCGTCATTAAAGGGCCCTAATCTGTCATCATTAAAGGGCCCTAATCTGTCATCATTAAAGGGCCCTAATCTGTCATCATTAAAGGGCCCAAATTTGTCATCATTAAAGGGCCCAAATTTGTCATCATTAAAGGGCCCTAATCTGTCATCATTAAAGGGCCCTAATCTGTCATCATTAAAGGGCCCTAATCTGTCATCATTAAAGGGCCCTAATCTGTCGTCATTAAAGGGCCCTAATCTGTCGTCATTAAAGGGCCCTAATCTGTCATCATTAAAGGGCCCTAATCTGTCGTCATTAAAGGGCCCTAATCTGAAGTCATTGAAGGGCCCTAATCTGTCATAATAATAAACTGCTCTTTTCCAATACTTCTTTAACTGATAACAGTAGTTCAGAGATATTTGAATTTCTAAATTACTTCTACAGCCTCTAAATCTTGTTATTGTTTTCATTTCAATGTCTTGCCCTTTCCCCCGTTTCACCAATCAGAAAGTCTGTGATCCAGGTTGCCAGAACTCACCGCGTAGAGCTAATCTCACTGGTAAAGTACCATGTGGCGCAGAACTAAAAAAGGTCTTGTTATGATTCTCAAATCAAAAATGGGCATTAGTAATCAGAAATAAACATGGTCACATTCTAACTGTTTTGATCATTAGCAGTGACTTTTTCATCATAAATCATTGTTTTTGCTAAACTGGACATAGTTAAGTTCATGGAAAAGTGGATTTATTGAAGTTCAAGAAAATTTGAGCTAAATTTGTCAAGGATTTCTGGGAAAGCCGCCAAGCTCTCTGTGAGGGAGAATTCTGAGGCCAGAATGAGGACGGGCCAAAACAATGGCATGTTTCAGAGCAGCAAAAGGAGAAATAGGTTTAAAAATGTCTTGAGAAAGCTACAAGTGAGAAGTGTGAATACTAATTGGAACGGAAACCTGATGTAAAACTAGGACTGGTCGTAGTTAGGCCCACAGCTGATTCCCTACTGACTATACACACAACTGTTCTTCTGCAACACATTTGGACTGACTTTTATTAGATTAATTATCAATAAAGTACCAACAAATACAAACCACTAATGCAAAAATAGATTAAGATTAAGACATGATTTATTCGTCCGCATCTGTACATGTTAGCAGCAGTATGTTAGCATCTGTAAATGTTAGCAGGAGTATGTTAGCATCTGTACATGTTAGCAGGAGTATGTTAGCATCTGTACATGTTAGCAGGAGTATGTTAGCATCTGTAAATGTTAGCAGGAGTATGTTAGCATCTGTAAATGTTAGCAGCAGTATGTTAGCATCTGTACATGTTAGCAGCAGTATGTTAGCATCTGTACATGTTAGCAGCAGTATGTTAGCATCTGTACATGTTAGCAGCAGTATGTTAGCATCTGTAAATGTTAGCAGGAGTATGTTAGCATCTGTACATGTTAGCAGCAGTATGTTAGCATCTGTACATGTTAGCAGCAGTATGTTAGCATCTGTACATGTTAGCAGCAGTATGTTAGCATCTGTAAATGTTAGCAGGAGTATGTTAGCATCTGTACATGTTAGCAGCAGTATGTTAGCATCTGTACATGTTAGCAGCAGTATGTTAGCATCTGTACATGTTAGCAGCAGTATGTTAGCATCTGTACATGTTAGCAGGAGTATGTTAGCATCTGTACATGTTAGCAGCAGTATGTTAGCATCTGTACATGTTAGCAGGAGTATGTTAGCATCTGTAAATGTTAGCAGGAGTATGTTAGCATCTGTACATGTTAGCAGCAGTATGTTAGCATCTGTAAATGTTAGCAGGAGTATGTTTGTTAGCATCTGTACATGTTAGCAGCAGTATGTTAGCATCTGTAAATGTTAGCAGGAGTATGTTTGTTAGCATCTGTACATGTTAGCAGCAGTATGTTAGCATCTGTAAATGTTAGCAGGAGTATGTTAGCATCTGTACATGTTAGCAGCAGTATGTTAGCATCTGTACATGTTAGCAGCAGTATGTTAGCATCTGTAAATGTTAGCAGCAGTAAGTTAGCATCTGTACATGTTAGCAGCAGTATGTTAGCATCTGTAAATGTTAGCAGGAGTATGTTTGTTAGCATCTGTACATGTTAGCATCTGTACATGTTAGCATCTGTAAATGTTAGCAGGAGTATGTTAGCATCTGTACATGTTAGCAGCAGTATGTTAGCATCTGTAAATGTTAGCAGCAGTAAGTTAGCATCTGTACATGTTAGCAGCAGTATGTTAGCATCTGTACATGTTAGCAGCAGTATGTTAGCATCTGTAAATGTTAGCAGCAGTATGTTAGCATCTGTACATGTTAGCAGCAGTATGTTAGCATCTGTAAATGTTAGCAGGAGTATGTTAGCATCTGTACATGTTAGCAGCAGTAAGTTAGCATCTGTACATGTTATTAGCAGTAAGTTAGCATCTGTAAATGTTAGCAGGAGTATGTTAGCATCTGTACATGTTAGCAGCAGTAAGTTAGCATCTGTACATGTTATTAGCAGCATGTTAGCATATGTACATGTTAGCAGCAATATGTTTACATCTGTAGATACCAGATAGAGCTTTCTGGATTACAATTATTTTCACTGCAGTATAGAACTGGGCAAAATGGTGATTTTTTTTTTCAATTCTGTCTCTGAAGCACGGCTGAATTTAACTGATCCCTGAAGCGTTTGTGGTTTCCAGTAGAAGAAGACACTGTACCTTTCTTTCACTGTCAAATTAAAATATAGTGTTTCATAAATAGATAGCGATTTGGTTTGAGTAACACATTTAATAAACATGCCACTTGCTTAAACCTGTACTTTCCCCAAAATATGCGATAGAGAAGTGCTCAGTATAGTTTACAGCCCTGAAGGCATCTTGCAGTTGTGGAGAAGGATCCTGGGAAAACCACACATTTGGACTGGGACTGACAGAAAATGCCTTTAGTCGCTGTGGTCCTCGGCTTGTGCTGCTCTCCCTGAAGAGCGAGGACCATATAAACCATAATGAATGTGGTTGTATTGTTGGAAAAGCAACCAGAAAATGTCCACATTCTTGATACGAGTCTTTCTATTGTCTCTGTCACCGTTCCAGCATCTGCATATTTGGATTTTGTAACATTAGTTATAAGAACGGATCAATATTGATACTTGTACTGAATATTTTATAGGTTTTTATAGGTGAGCCTTTAATTTGATGTATTACGCGTTTCTCATAATGTTACTTGCACAATAAAAATGCCATTTGCAGATGTTCCACTGGTAAAAGTTGCTAGTATCAGATTTTACAGAATCTTAAAGCCAAAATATCTGTCAGAACTGAAAAGGCTGTAATCTTCCTCCTCTAAACTTCTCTCATTTAGGAAGCCGAAAGCGCCATTTCTCGCCAATAGTTAGTTGCTCAAAGTTAGCTCTTTGCAGACAAAAGCACAATCTACCTGAATGTAACTCCAGGCAGAAGCTTCTCATTCATGACAATGGGAAACTACATAAAATGACCCATTATTGTCAGTGCACAAGAGACATGTTCAAACCATAGACTGTAAATATTAACAGATGTAGTGACTCCTATCTACGGCGTTGGAACTAATGTGACAACACTTTTGCCTTCTGTGGGATTTTTCAAAATGGCCGCGGGGCAGGAAAATGTGGAAAAACACATTTGCGCATGCGTTAGCTGCATTCATTTAACGAGTGCATTCAAAAGTCCACAGCCGCCAAACTAGACTGGTCCAAAAAAAACTACTCCCCTCAGTATTGACAGCATCTGGAACCAAGAGCGACTATTGGACCATCCTGTAAAGACGTTTTAAAGAGGAAAGAAGATGCCATACAAAAGCATTGGGTAATTCTCTATCCGGGTACACCCCCACCGGCGAGGAGTGAGATTGCATTTAATTGAACGCAAATCGTGAATGCTCAGAGAATCCCTCATTTTGTCCTGTTTATGAGGGTTTTTTTCTCTTTATATATTCGTTTTAGTGTCAATTACCATTTGATTTTAAATATTTTTGACAACCCTAATTCTCAGTAACTTTAAAACAGTCGTGAATGAAACCCTCAAACATTGTGATACTTGTAAAGCGTAATATCGTCCAAGATTTTATTGTACATCATTATCAAACCCAGGCATGTCCAAACTCAGGCTCGGGGGCCAATTGCGGCCCTCAGTGTCATTTCATGTGGCCCTCTGCCTCGCTAACCCAAACTAGTCTTTGAGATCATAAACACAAGTTCACTGTGTCATCCATCCAACTTCAGCTCACGTTGACATTATTTGTACAAACTTCACTGGTTTTTGTTTGTGTCACTTCCGTTATTGATGCTAATGTAGCTGGTGAGACGTAAACATGTGTCATTCAGCCAACTTCAGCTCTGCTATAGATCATTTTAGAGCTCAGAACAGCCCGATGCCAGTCAAGGCAGTTTTGACCCCGTGATGTCTGCCCCTGGACTAGTCTGGTGAAACTAAAGTGGCCCTCTAACTAAAAAGTTTGGACACCCCTGATCTAACCTTTAACACGTTGCACACTTCTGTCTTTTTGCACAGTCTGAGTGATTCTATCTGTGCCAAAAGTGACATGTACATTTCTCCAGTGTGAGATCCATGAAGTCAAACTTATCTTATGCTGCGTATTAGTCTGAGACCCAGAGCTCAGACCATGTGAAGTGACTTATTATTACTTTTGGTCAGTGCTGGTCTCCGTGGCTCCTCTCGCTGCCCGCCGGAGGCCCGTCCATGGCCAGCACAAACACACACAGATTCCATGCACTCGGGCCAACAGTGACGCAGCGCCTTCCTGTAGCTGCAGCCTCCGCCCTGCTTTTCCTCCGACTGATCAAACCAACGCATAATCTTTCACACGTTTCATCTGATGGGCTTCTGTTACCGCATGCAAATCCTCACAATCGGACGGTTTATTATGCTTCCCGCCTCTCCCTCTAACCAATATGGTTTCTATGGCTGTCATTTAGATTGGGGATATTTATTGACATTTCCAGGATGTGTTTTGGTTCGAGTGGATCAGAAAAGGGCTTATCTTAGTGAAGCCCTTGCATTTTCTCGATGTATTCGATGACAATGTTAGAAAAAGAAGTTCTGAAGAAGTATGAGGAGGAAAGAGAGTGGTGGGAAAGAGGTGTAGGGTCAGAGAGTGTCTTGTCCTTTGACGGTGTGTGTTGCTAAATTGCTTTTGTAATGTTTTATCAGCCATTTTTGTTCTAACTTGCCTTATCTCTGTGTTTCTGATTGGGTGAGATGGTCGGGAAGTCATTCAGGCCCATTTCAAAACTATCTGTTATTCTGTTCTGTAAAAGGGTGTTGTTCAGGTATAAAGGCAAGGCAAGTATATTTGTAAAGCACAATTCATACACAAGGCAACTCAAAGTGCTGAACAAAACAAAAGATACATCTGATTGGTCGATTATAACTACTACTAAAACAGTAAATGTGCTTCTATCTTGAAAAACCATAAACGAGACTTGGCTCACGTGTTAAATGTCCTTTTACTGCTCCTCCACATGCAAACAATTTCCCGTTTGGGGACAATGGTTTTTGAGTTGAGTTGATTTAACTGATTGCAAACATGTGCACGACATACTGCATGCAAACAGGTCTCAAAAGATTACAGTGAGAAGGTCTTTCCAGTTATATTTAGCATAAAGGAATTTAAATGTTTAGTAAAGTTTTAAAGTATTAAAGTATTAAAGTTTTAGTTTTATTATGTGTGTAGATTTTTTTCGTACCAAGAAATGTGGATGAGCTGAAGTGACCGGCCAAGTGAACCGGACCGATAAATGTGAACCCTTGGTTACGTTGCTACTTCAGCTGAGAGTGGGCTGCAAGTAAGTAAATATGTCACACATTCTACCATCTTTCAGCTCATTTAAGTAAAGTTTCAAGTCTAAACATGAAACTAAAGATTCATGTTCAGACTTTCTTATCCCTAGGCAATAACCAGTGCATTGTCCTATTGTTTGTTTTGCTACAGTCATGTATGAAATGTGCTGTATAAATCTAATCTCCTTCATCTCCAGTCTCTTCTTGTCCTCTCTTTGATGGGCACCAGCGGTGACCCTCACTGGCCTCTTCCAGAATCTCTAGGAGCCTCTAAAGCCTTCTCCGTCCTGCTCCTCTCCGCCTGGACTACAGCCTCTCTCTGCCTGGACTACAGCCTCTCTCTCTGCCTGGACTACAGCCTCTCTCTCTCCGCCTGGACTACAGCCTCTCTCTCCGCCTGGACTACAGCCTCTCTCCGCCTGGACTACAGCCTCTCTCTCTGCCTGGACTACAGCCTCTCTCTCTGCCTGGACTACAGCCTCTCTCTCCGCCTGGACTACAGCCTCTCTCTCCGCCTGGACTACAGCCTCTCTCTCCGCCTGGACTACAGCCTCTCTCTCCGCCTGGACTACAGCCTCTCTCTGCCTGGACTACAGCCTCTCTCTGCCTGGACTACAGCCTCTCTCTCCGCCTGGACTACAGCCTCTCTCTCTGCCTGGACTACAGCCTCTCTCTCTGCCTGGACTACAGCCTCTCTCTCTGCCTGGACTACAGCCTCTCTCTCTGCCTGGACTACAGCCTCTCTCTCTGCCTGGACTACAGCCTCTCTCTGCCTGGACTACAGCCTCTCTCTCTGCCTGGACTACAGCCTCTCTCTCTCCGCCTGGACTACAGCCTCTCTCTCTGCCTGGACTACAGCCTCTCTCCGCCTGGACTACAGCCTCTCTCTCTGCCTGGACTACAGCCTCTCTCTCTGCCTGGACTACAGCCTCTCTCTCCGCCTGGACTACAGCCTCTCTCTCCGCCTGGACTACAGCCTCTCTCTCCGCCTGGACTACAGCCTCTCTCTCCGCCTGGACTACAGCCTCTCTCTCTGCCTGGACTACAGCCTCTCTCTCTGCCTGGACTACAGCCTCTCTCTCCGCCTGGACTACAGCCTCTCTCTCTGCCTGGACTACAGCCTCTCTCTCTGCCTGGACTACAGCCTCTCTCTCTGCCTGGACTACAGCCTCTCTCTCTGCCTGGACTACAGCCTCTCTCTCTGCCTGGACTACAGCCTCTCTCTCTGCCTGGACTACAGCCTCTCTCTCTGCCTGGACTACAGCCTCTCTCTCTGCCTGGACTACAGCATCTCTCTCTGCCTGGACTACAGCCTCTCTCTCTGCCTGGACTACAGCCTCTCTCTCTGCCTGGACTACAGCCTCTCTCTCTGCCTGGACTACAGCCTCTCTCTCTGCCTGGACTACAGCCTCTCTCTCTGCCTGGACTACAGCCTCTCTCTCTGCCTGGACTACAGCATCTCTCTCTGCCTGGACTACAGCCTCTCTCTCTGCCTGGACTACAGCCTCTCTCTCTGCCTGGACTACAGCCTCTCTCTCTGCCTGGACTACAGCCTCTCTCTCTGCCTGGACTACAGCCTCTCTCTCTGCCTGGACTACAGCCTCTCTCTCTGCCTGGACTACAGCCTCTCTCTCCGCCTGGACTACAGCCTCTCTCTCCTCCTGGACTACAGCCTCTCTCTCCTCCTGGACTACAGCCTCTCTCTCCTCCTGGACTACAGCCTCTCTCTCCGCCTGGACTACAGCCTCTCTGCCTGGACTACAGCCTCTCTCTGGATTTTTGCGCTCTTTGATCCATCAAAGGCCAAGCAGGACTGCAGCTAATGGAGCCAGCCCTCGACTCTCAACGCATGGCTTAAGAGCAGAGGCTGAGGGGGCAAACACATGAGCTAGACCCTCTGGTATGTTATTACTGTGAGAACGGCCCCCCGTATTGAAGCGCACATGGGGAAGTGAAGCAGAGAACGTAAGGAATGAGAACGGTTAAGCAATCTGCCCTAAGAATGTCACCTTTTTGTGCAGCTGGTAGAGTAACAAGAAGGATAACATATGAATGAGTTTAGTACCTCTGTAGTAATAGTAATATTTGTTTCACTTGATTGTTACTAAACAAACTATGCTGTTAAGAGTTTGCAAAGTTGTGAAAATATAAATATAAATCATATATTAACTCCAGACACCTGCGTCACACTGTGGCCGTAGGGGATTTTTTGTTCGCTCAGCCAAAAGACTAACTTAGACTTGTATCTTAAAAAAGTGTTTATTGGTGTTTGTATGAAACAATGTAGTCTGGTCTTACCACACCATTGTACTCATTTCATTTGGTACTAAGGTCTGGAGGTGCTTCATTGACTCCGTTAACAGGTGGGAGGGCTTAACTTCTTTTACAGATAGAAAGGATTGGATCTGAGTTTACCATGACGTAGGTATATGCTCCTGAGTGAGTGAGGCATTTAGCCTAGCTTTAGCATTTAGCCTAGCTTTAGCATGTAGCCTAGCTTTAGCCATCTCCTTTGCCACTAACGGAGCCCGTGGGGAGTAGAGAAATCTGATGAATATTCCTCTTGCTCCGGCTTCAGTTTCTTGATATTTGGATTGAACCAGAACAGATTATTTTACTATCGCATTCTCCGACAAACTACACAAAAATTTGGCGCAAACTCTTGACGTCATTGCCACCTCCTTACAACACCCGCCTCCCCTGCTCTCTGATTGGTCGGAGGGGATTCAACTGAGGAAACTGCAGCCACTAGGATCAGACCCAGACGTACATGTAGGAAATGATCATGGACCAGAGTTTACACATGGTAAGACCAGACGTACATGTAGGAAATTATCATGGACCAGAGTTTACACATGGTAAGACCAGACGTACATGTAGGAAATTATCATGGACCAGAGTTTACACATGGTAAGACCAGGCTAACGCTGATAGGATAAGGCCCCAGAATCTAAATCTTTCCCTTCCCCTTGGGTCAACCCTTGGCCACCATTCTTTAAACTCTCTCCGGAGCAGCATTAGGAGGCCGCAGTGATGAAAGCTGCTGCTCATCAGGGCTTTCCAGGATCATTAGACCACAGCAAGCCAGGCAGAAACAACAGCGCACCATTACACATAACAAACACAACTCTATAGCAACCAGAGGAGGCCGAGCCAAGACGGTCTCCAGCTTTTTTGAAAGAGATAAAACAAAAACAAACTGGGCGTGTGTGGGGCCTTTCAAAACATGGGCATTGTAATAATAATAATAACAATAATAATGATAATAATGATAATAACACATGAATAAAGAATCGATTCCATCCGAGAGGAGTTTGCATGTTCTCCCTGTGCCTGCGTAGTTTTCCTCTGGGTACTCCGGTTTCCCCAACCACCTACCTTTGACTCTGGTCTGTGAAAGGCCCTATATAGATAAAGATTACTTTCTTACATACTTCTTTGTGATTAACAGATGCACTTGTTATTTTATTATGATTCACGTTCTTGCTTTTCAAAATGATCCGTTGTTTTTTTTGGCACAGACGGATGGATGGACTATTTTTTAATTTGTACTTTAAATCGCCTTATCACAATTTTACAGTTGCAGGGCGACAGTAGCTCAGTTGCTAGAGCATCTGCCTTTGGGGGTGTGGGTTCAAGTCCATAATGGGACCTACTCCAACTGCTCCCACTCATGTCTACTGTCGTTGTGTCCATGGGCAAGACACTTAACCCCACGTTGCCTAAAGCCCTCGCTGAAAGACCAAGGCTGTGGAACCCCTGATGTAGTAAGTAAGTAAGTAAGTTTTTATTTATATACCGCCTTTTCACTGCAGATCTGAGTCTCAAAGCGGTTTACAATTGTTAATTTTTGGGCATTTGTCTCTCACTCCACACAGAGATGGGAGCGGGGCCAGTACAGGAGGCGCATGCCAGAACTATTGTACATATTTTTAGTGGTAGGGGAAACCAGAGTACCTGGAGGAAACCTACGCAGACACGGGGAGAACATGCAAACTCCACTCAGAAAGGCCCTGGTCCGACCGGGATTCGAACCCAGGACCTTCTTGCTGAGAGGCGAGAGTGCTATCCACTCAGCCACCGTGCCGCCCAGCCACCCCCCCTCCCTCCCGCCAGACCCAGAAATGGACTAATAAAGGGGTAGAAAGACCGAGTTGAAGCTAAAAACCCCAGACTGAAGGAGAAAATAGTAATAAAAATGTAGAAAATGTTGTGTGTGTGTTGTCTCCCGGACAACAGGGCATTTTTTTTAACGTAAAAATCTTTAAAACATGCGGCAGCTAAATTACCCGGAAAAGTCCTGAACATTCCTGTGTGAAGTAAGCACTGACCTCTATGTTGATGCTTTACACCTGTGTTCAAGGGACTGAGGGGCCCCAGACAGGAAGTACCTGGGGGCCCCCAGTGCCTTCACACCAGACTCCACAGGAAGTTTCTACTCATTTTTAAATCAAATGCTAATCATGTTAAAGCTGGGTTACTTAATGTTTTAACCACAAGAAAATGCAAATCTAATAAAATCCATCTAGTTCCTCGTTCCCAAAAGAATTTAAGATAAGATAAACTTTATTGATCTCACAATGGAGAAATTTACACAATTTGGTTCAATAACTTGTTTTCACATGAATTTTTCAGCTTTTTCAGATGGAAAATTTGAAAAAGATTCGGTCTGATTTGTTCAGTAGGAGTATGGGAAAATGTGGCTAAAAGTGGTACTGCAGCCTCTCCCACTCTCCCTGACTCAGGTTGCCAGATATGCAGACGAATCCAGCTGGGACCATAACAGCTGAATAGACAAGAGTTTTGTCAACAACAAATCTATAACCAACACCTTTTTCACAAAGATAGAAATCCTGGTTTTATTCCTTGTTTTGTCGTTAATGATTTGAGAATCATAACGAGACCATTTTTAGTTCTGCGCCACATGGTACTTTACCAGTGAGATTAGCTCCACGCGGTGAGTTCTGGTAACCTGGATCAAGAACTTTCTGATTGGTGAAACGGTAGAGGGCGGGACATCGAAATGAAAACAATAGCAAGATTTAGAGGCTGGAAAAGTAATTTAGAAATTCAAATATCTCTGAACTACTGTTATCAGTTAAAGAAGTATTGGAAAATGTGTTTTATTAATGCCTTTGGACAGATTAGGGCCCTTTAATGATGACAGATTAGGGCCCTTCAATGATGACAGATTAGGGCCCTTTAATGATGACAGATTAGGGCCCTTTAATGATGACAGATTAGGGCCCTTTAATGATGACAGATTAGGGCCCCTTAATGACGACAGATAAGGGCCCTTTAATGACGACAGATTAGGGCCCTTTAATTATGACAGATTAGGGCCCTTTAATGATGACGGATTAGGGCCCTTTAATTATGACAGATTAGGACCCTTTAATGATGACGGATTAGGGCCCTTTAATTATGACAGATTAGGGCTCTTTAATGATGACAGATTAGGGCCCTTTAATGATGACTTTACATGAAAATCTTACATGTTGCTACTTTAAGAGACTCGGACAAACAACATGTAATTTACGAAACAAAAAGTGACGTTATCCCGGCTTTAAATGTGATCAAGGAGATGGAAAAAAGCATCTTATAAAACTTACACAACAGTGGATAGCTTTGCCAACATGACCCTGCGTTTCCTCCATGGGACAATAATGGTTTCCACATATAGACAACAACTCTGCTCAAAGTCCTGTAAGTAAAACCAACATTCTCTATGACTGCTATAATGACACTGTTGCCTCTAGCACATGTTCTATTTTGTCCACAGACAGTTGGGAGGAGGATGGGGCTGAGCAATCACAAGGGGGACGACCCGAGTGGGCTGCTATTCCCTGCTATGGAGCTGCACGTCAACAAAACACACACACACACACACACACACGTTGCAAAATGGAAAAGCAGATCTATGTCAGCAGACTTTCCAAAATACATGTGGGTAAACAAACAAAGCAGTAAACAAAGGCCCAAATGTTTTCTTTGGCCAAGCTCCACCACACTATACTGTACATTTATATAGTATGGGTCTGGTTGTCATGCCTCCCATATACACTGTGCATTGTTTAATGAATAGACCTTTCATTTGGGCTTTGAAATCTTTGAAACAGTGATCTAAAGAAAGAGTCAGAGGACAATGACCTATGAAAGAATCTAAATATAGATTCTCTTACTGAAAACAAGTAAATACTTGGTAAGTTTTATGGACTAAAAATAAGACATTATGGCTTTTATTTTTTTGCTTGAATTTAGTTTGTCATGTCAGATTATTTTCCAGATTGAGAATGAGTTTTTTAAATGCTTGTTTTAAGTATTTTTCTTATTGTTTGGATAAAATAAGTATGTTATGCTATAATTTAAGAAAAGATTTCTCAAAAAAGTTTAAGCAATAAATAAATCATACTTGAAATGTATGTTTTTAAACTAGAATCAAGTCAATTGGGGCTATTTTCTATTGGCAGATATTTTTTCTTATTTCAAGCGGTATTTTACTTATTTTAATACATTTTTTCAAGGGATTTTTTCCAGTGTACCCATTACATTGTCAGATTGCATGACCATGACAGTTCTGTTCTACTTGAGCCTATTCCAGTTGAACTGTATACAACTATCTCCAACCTTTTGGCCAATTAGTGAAGCTGATGTCGGACCACACACACACACCGCAGAAAGGCCTGGTCCTCACTCAGTCTCAGTCTCAGTCCCAGTCCCGGACCCATCACTACTCGTCCCAGGATGACAAGTAGTGATGGGAGATGAAGCCTGAAGCCTCGAAACACACCAAAGCTTTGGAGGTTTCAAAGGTGGCAAAGTACTGTACATACATTCCCACTTTAGCCATATTTAAATACACTATTAACTGAATAAAAGCAACCTATTTTTCAGTTTTATAGGACTTGAAGAAACTCTGTCCCTCAAGTCTTATGCCCAATGCCCATAAAGCGTAGCTAAATGCTTCGGCTAACCTGTCTTAGCTATCTATATTCACCTTTGATAGTGCAAGAGACCATTATGTACAATGTAGTTTTGGCACTATAGTTAACATTAAATGCACTGATTGTTTCTGTGCGACAATCATAGACTGTAAATATGAACTGTCGTAGTCACGGCAATCTCCGCCGTTGTAAGCTAATGTGCCACCACTTTAGCCTTCTATGGGCTTTTTCAAAATGTACGCATGCGTTAGCCGGCACCATAAAAAAATACTCCTCTCAGCATGGACAGCATCTGGAACGTAGCATTGGACCAAGAGTAACTTTTGGACCAAGAGCCACTTTTGGACCATCCTGTAAAGCCATTTTCAAGAGGAAAGAAGACGCCATACAAAAGCATTAGGTAATTCTCCTTCCGGGTACACCCCCACCACCAAGGAGTGATATTGCATCATGTCAGCCCACGCGTTCTTGGACCTTTGGGAGCCGGGAAGAAAAAATGCTCAGATGCATTTATACTTGAGGCCATAGTTTATACATGCCCTATATACAATCTATGGTCAAGTCTGAGGTCAAGTCTATGGTCAAGTCTGAGGTCAAGTTGATGGTCTAGTCTATGGTCTAGTCTATGGTCTAGTCTATGGTCTAGTCTATGGTCAAGTCTATGGTCAAGTCGATGGTCAAGTCGATGGTCAAGTCTATGGTCAAGTCTATGGTCAAGTCTATGGTCAAGTCTGAGGTCAAGTCTATGGTCAAGTCTATGGTCAAGTCTATGGTCAAGTCTGAGGTCAAGTCTATGGTCAAGTCTATGGTCAAGTCGGAGGTCAATTCTATGGTCAAGTCAGAGGTCAAGTCTGAGGTCAATTCTATGGTCAAGTCTATGGTCAAGCCGATGGTCAAGTCTATGGACAAGTCTACGGTCAAACCGATGGTCAAGTCTATGGACAAGTCTATGGACAAGTCTATGGTCAAGTCTATGGTCAAGTCTATGGTCAAGTCTGAGGTCAAGTCTGATGTCAAGTCGATGGTCAAGTATATGGTCAAGTATATGGTCAAGTGTGAGGACAAGTCTATGGTCAAGTCTGAGGTCAAGTCTATGGTCAAGTCTATGGTCAAGTCTATGGTCAAGTCTGAGGACAAGTCGATGGTCAATCAATCAATCAATCAATCAAATCTTTATTTGTAGAGCACATTTAAAACAGCCTAGGCTTACCAAAGTGCTGAACAGACAGCGAGGAAAAAATTATAAAATAAAAACACATAAAATACAGAAATGTATATACAAAAAGAAATTGAAAAATTTGTCTCTGTCTACTTGGTAGTAAAAGCCAAAGAAAAAAGATGCGTTTTAAGCAGGGATTTAAAGTGCTCAGGTGATTGTGCAGTTCTGATGTGCAAAGGTAAAAAGTTCCACAACTTTGGCCCTATAACAGAGAAAGCTCTGTCTCCTCCGGTCTTCAGCCTGGTCCTAGGGACGACAAGAAGGTGCTGATCTGCAGAGCGCAGTGCTCTGGAGGGAAGGTGAGGCTGGAGGAGTTCATATAAATAAGAAGGTGCCATTCTATTAAAACTTTTAAAAACGATAATAAGAATTTTAAAATGAATTCTAAAATATACCGGGAGCCAGTGCAGGGATTGCAAAACAGGAGTGATGTGCTCCCTGCGCTTTGTCCCTGTTAAAAGACGGGCTGCTGCATTTTGCACTCCCTGTAAGCGGCTGAGCTGGGCCTGGTCAATGCCGACATAGGAGATGGTCAAGTCTGAGGACAAGTCTACGGTCAAGTCTATGGTCAAATCTATGGTCAAGTCTATGGTCAAGTCTGAGGACAAGTCTATGGTCAAGTCTGTGGTCAACTTCACTGAAAAACATGCTACAGTAAATGAAATCTGTGTTCGACTGTGATCAGTTAAGATAAAAAGTGTATTTGGAAAGCCCTGCTCAGACTGTCCTGATGAAAGGCTGTGTTTGGGGAGCGGTAATCTGGCCTTCCTCTGCTCCTGTATCCTCTGCTGTTTCCGCTCCAACTATCAGTGCGTGCTTTGCTTCCACCTACAAGCCCACCGCTCATGGTTCTGGTCTCCGCGGTCCGTCCAGCGGATAAGGGCACTGACTGCAGGGTTCCTGTGGACACGAGGGGAGCGTGGGGGACGTGGCTGCTCTGATGTTTCCGACACGCACCATCTGCAGAAGGACTTATCTATTACAAACTGATGCTATGCTGTTCTGACTGGGAAGAGACATATTGAATAATAAACCATAAAACCATAAGTATTCCAACAAAGCATTAAAAGAGTAAGTTTATACATCTACATATGAATATTACCTTAATCTGGAAAATACAAGTAACTAGGGTTGTCAAAAGTATCCAAAAAATCAGACAGTAATTCATTTCAGAGCAATTGTGTAGAGGTTGTACTGACACTAAAACTGTATTTAAACATCAACTGTTTCAGAACTATTATACAATGTGTGGTTCCCTAAAAGTAAAATCTTTGTGTTAAAATCTAGATTATTGACCAAAAGAAACATGATCTCAGTGGAGTTGAAATGTATGTTGAGAAAATGAATTGATAGTGTTGTGACAATACTTAAACAAAATCATGAATTTCCAGCGTACAAAGTTGATCATTGAGCCAGTCCATGGAAACTTGCCATGGACTTTCCTCAGTATAATTCTCACCCTGTAAAGTTAAATGTTCTGGGACTCAAAATCCAAGTGAAACATGAGCGTGATGGCGGACCGGCTCCATGTGAGGGGGTCCCAGCGGAAATACCTCCTCTGTCTAATTACTGCAGCAGACACTCGTCATGGGCTGCAGTCCACTCATCATAATCATGTGTTTAATCCCCCTCCCTCTGTCCCACTGCTCCACGGGGACTGGACAAATTCCACTGGAGATAAACTGTTCTATTAGTGGAGAACACGGCAAATCTTCTGGGACTGCGTTTCTTGTTTGTTTATATTCAGGGTTGGTCTAGCTGGAGGTTGTTGACGTTGTAAGAAGATGGACAATGGTCGTAAAGGCACTTTTGTAATTTACATGGCTTTAATGGACCTGAAATTTTGGGATAAAAAGGTTATAAAAGGGACAATTTTGCCCACTACTAGCAACTGCAGTATGACGCCTGGTCTTACCGCTCCATCGTACTAATTTCATTTCATACTAAGGTCTGGATTTGCTTCATTGACTCCGTTAACAGGTGGGAGGGGTTATCTCCTTTTGCAGATTGAAACCATTGGATCTGAGTTTACTGTGACGTATGTAATGAGCCCGAGTGAGTGAGGGATTTAGCATTTAGTCTAGCTTTAGCTTTTAGCCTAGCTTTATCCATCTCCTTTGCCACTAACGGAGCCCGTGGGGAGTAGAGCCACAACATCTTTGCTTCAATGACGTTTACTAAACATTCCTCTTGCTCCGGCTTCAGTTTCTTGATATTTGGATTGAACCAGAACAGATTATGTTACTATCACATTCTCCGACAAACTACAACCAGCAAATTCAGCACAAACTCTTGACGTCACCGACACCGACCTACAACACCCGCCTCCCCCGCTCTCTGATTGGTCGGAGGAGATTGAACCGAGGAAACTGCAGCCACTAGGATCAGACCCAGACGTACATGTAGGAAATGATCATGAACCAGAGTTTACACATGGTAAGACCAGACGTACATGTAGGAAATGATCATGAACCAGAGTTTACACATGGTAAGACCAGACGTACATGTAGGAAATGATCATGGACCAGAGTTTACACATGGTAAGACCAGACGTACATGTAGGAAATGATCATGGACCAGAGTTTACACATGGTAAGACCAGACGTACATGTAGTTTGTCCCAATGGAAAAAGTCAGACCACAACATGCTGTCGTTATCTTATTAGAAACATGTTAATTTTCAAGCTTCAGACGGAGTGAAGGTGGTCTACTCTTTTTCAGTTTTTTGTCTAAAAAATCTGATCAAAAGATGTGACATACAGTAGGTCAAAAAAATGACAAACGTACCCCAGCTTAACTAATGTCACTGGTTTTATTTTTCCAATATCAAAAACAGTCACATTTATCTATTTCCTTTCCCCACACTGGGCCGGTGCAGACGGGAAACTGATGCTCCAGGATTTGTCACTCATTTATGGTAAAGCCAGCGGTGACACCACAGGATGGCGAGCACATGACACGCTCCAGATGTGGTAAACATGTGTAACTACCCAAAAACACATGTGTAAATACATGTTCAGGGCTGATGCTGGAGGAGTAATGGCTGCCATGTGGTCGAGGTGCCAACGAGAGGACACCTTGAACCCCAGAGCAGGTAATAACAGCTAATCAGCCAAAACACAATCACCACAATACTTTAACAGAACACACCAGCTCAAAGTGTCATTTTTAGGTTCTGTGAAAGATCATGTTCAATAATGAGCTCCTCTCTCTACAGATTCTCAGTCTATTCATGCATGTATGAGTGCGCAATTGGAAGAAGTCCAAGTTACAACCGGCCTTTTCAGATGTTTCAAGTAAAATAAGATTCAGATTGATTTATTTGCCATTTGCAGTAAAACCAGATTGGAAAAACTGTGCAAGACTACCTCTCAGTGTGCACCAGACGACACACACCTTGCCACAGCTCTTGCCACATAATGTATGCAAAGATGATGATTTTCATGACAAAAGAACGCCATACAATTTAAAGTGCGTATTAAAAAAATGTCGGAAGCATTCACACATTTTTAAGACCAAATACGTTTACTTTAAGTTATACAGCCTTCCAGCAATTTCTTTCTTCTGGTAAAAATAATGGACAGCAGGCAAAGTTAACATATTATAAGTAGCCTACTCTTTAACATCACAAGGGGGCGGGTCCCGGCTCAAAGGTCCATGAAAACGTGTGCTTTAGCCGGTGGGGGTGTACCTGGAAAGAGAATTACCCAATGCTTTTGTATGGCTTTTGTTCTTTATAGGAGACCACAGTTGGAACACGGTAGAAATTCTTGTCTTTCTCTCTATTTGTGCGGTTGCTACAAGCGTACACCGCACAAAAAGAGCGGCGTCTTCTTCTTCAGCGCTTCTTCTTCTACTATATCTCCGTGTATAAACCCCTTCTTCTACTATATCTCCGTGTATAAACCCGGCAGACTGCACCGCCAGGATACGTCACGTCCTGTCCTACGTTTGTTATTCGCGCCACTGCCCTGACGTCATCTGAAACCCAAGAGCCTATACTTAATCCCAGAGCCATGATTCTTTTGCCATAACCATCTTGGGTGCATGATAAATGTGCACTGTCCTCACGCCCAGGTCTTATCTGCTCTGCTTCCTGTGGCTCCATCACTATCAGCCTCACATCACAAACTTAATGTACGACTTCCGCCTGTTTGTGTCCCTGGATTCAGGACACAAACACGTCAGTCTCTAGAAATGCAGCTCAATCGCTCACATAGAAATATCTAGAACTCTGCGTCTCTAACTGTGAGTCAAGTGCAAAGTTCAATCCATTTCCAAAACTTTATAAACATAAAAGATGGGATCTAAACCGCAGCCCCTGAGTGCACGTCGGTTTGGATTTTCTTCCGAATACTCACGCCAAATCCAAGTCCAAAATCAAAACTGGATTTACTTGATAAGTAGCTCTTTCCACTTTTTGATGGATTTCGTCAAATGAGATTTTAACGACAAATACTGACCGAGAATGCAGTAATAAACCACATAAGCACATTTACAGCATTAAGAGGACTAGCAAAAGAAGCATTAGGCCGCCACAGATTTTCCTTTGTGTGCCGTTTTATGCATTCAAGCCCTATCAGAGTCTGGTGGTTTGCTTTTCCTGTTTGGTTTGACATGATTGCGGTTATGTTGGTCTGCTGTAATGTCTTAAGATAGCAGCAGTAGCTAAGGAATGGATCATTTTTTGGCATGCATATATAAATTATGCACAAAGGCCATGATCATTGAGCATTTTCTTGGAATTTTTAGGCTAGAGTAATAAAAAGAAAGAACAGAGGATGAGAAGAAGTTTATTTCCTGAAGCCATAAGACTGCAAAACCCGGCCTATCTCTGTCTCTGTTCTGGTACTGTATAATAATTGTTGTCTGTTCTGAATACTGCACTGAACATCTGTTGGAGGTACATAAGAATTTCACGGTATGTAATGTGTATATGGAGGTACATAAGAATTTCACGGTATGTAATATGTATATGGAGGTACATAAGAATTTCACTGTATATAATATGTATATGGAGGTACATAAGAATTTCACTGTATATAATATGTATATGGAGGTACATAAGAATTTCACTGTATATAATATGTATATGGAGGTACATAAGAATTTCACTGTATGTAATGTGTATATGGAGGTCCATAAGAATTTCACTGTATATAATGTGTATATGTGTATTCTCTGATCTGTGTTGGTGATTTTAATGGTTGTATTAAGTCCTTTGAGATGATACTGTTGTGATTTAGGGCTAGACTAGACCAGGCAGTGATGGAGCAGACCTCAGCCAGGCCACATGTCTCCTCCGCTGGCTTGTCCTGGGAGCTGCTGCTGCTGACTCAGGGCGCCCATGGCTCTTTATCGTTCTGTGCATTCATGGCACTATTCTGTATCAATGCGTCTTTGAGAGCAGAGGGCAGTGAGAGCAGCAGACCACATTCCACTGGGGGATACCGACACCAGCGGCCCACCACCACAGCAGCATGTCGGCAAACCCCACTCTCCTCTTATGAAGGGCAAACAAACACAATACAATCTAGTATCATAACATTACTGAGGGGGGACCTTACTTTAGCTGATAAAAACTGAAAATAGACGGAGAAGTAGTAATAGTAGCAGCAGTAGTAGTTGGAGAATAGAATAATATATCACATCTTTTAGTATAACTTGCATGAGGATTCTGCATTGGTGAAGTAATGGAGCCCCGTCACATCCACAAAAGTTTTTTAAAATTATGTTTAATATAGAAGAAATGATAACAATAATAATAGGTATAAACACCATAATTATTGCTCATTTATAAGAAATAAGTAATGTGCCAGTTTCCAAGTTCAAGCAGGAAGGCCTTGAGAGAAAAGCTTGAAAACCACTGATTGGAAAATGATCAGACTTTGAAATAACTCTTTAATATTTACTGATACAGTGGTCCCTCGTTTATCTAAAGAAAAAACTAAGAAAAATGTAAAACCCTCACACACACTTCAGACACTTTTCTAACCACCTGGGCTCACGACTGCTGAAGTGCGATCACAGAGATATCAAACCTGTTGGTCTGAGCGCTACTGTGCGTACACTGGTGGAAAAAAGCAGAACAGAGGGCTGCAGTAGCCTGGTCTTACCATACCATTGTACTAATTTAATTTTGTACAAAGGTCTGGGTTTGATCCATTGACTCCGTTAACAGGTGGGAGGGGTTAACTCCTTTTGTAGATTGAAACGATTGGATCTGAGTTTACCGTGACGTACAGTATGTAATGCTCCAGAGTGAGTGAGGCATTTAGCGTTTAGCCTAGCTTTAGCATGTAGCCTAGCTTTAGCCATCTCCTTTGCCACTAACGGAGCCCGTGGGGAGTAGAGCCACAACATCTTTGCTTGAATGACATTTACTAAACATTCCTCTTGCTCCGGCTTCAGTTTCTTGATATTTGGATTGAACCAGAACAGATTATTTTACTATCGCATTCTCCGACAAACTACAACCAGCAAATTCAGCACAAACTCTTGACGTCACCGACACCAACCTACAACACCCGCCTCCCTCGCTCTCTGATTGGTCGGAGGAGATTCAACCGAGGAAACTGCAGCCACTAGGATCAGACCCAGACGTACATGTAGGAAATGATCATGGACCAGAGTTTACACATGGTAAGACCAGACGTACATGTAGGAAATGATCATGGACCAGAGTTTACAGATGCTAATGCTAGGCTAATATTTCAGAACTCCTCTGAATTTTTGACAGCGGTGAACACAAGCCACATTTTTCTTCTTCTAACTTTAAATTAACGCAACTACTAGCTCACACTACATGAGAAGCGGCACAGAAATATCAAGCGACCTCAGTAATTCCTGCAGAAATGTATGTTGTGCATGAATCTAGCAATAACAGACAGTATGCAACAGAATCAGAACACAGTTTGAGTAAAGCATCCTTACCTTAGCTTCACATTTTCTGTGTGTTGCGGTCTTGCACACTAAAATGAAAGAAACACGGTTCAAAACACATGTTAAAGTTGACATTAGACACACTGCTTTGTATCTGTGAAGTCTTTACCTCTGCAGAAGGAGCCCACATTGTCCACAGTCTGCCGGCACACACAACACTGCCGCTTCTTCTTAAAGCTCTTCTCTTTGAACACGTGGGGCTCTCCTTTACCCGCCTGCACCACACAAACAGGAAAAAAATGACAATGGGAAACCTTATACGTGCTTGGAAGTGCCACTTGCTCACTCCGACATACCCTGCCTTCCACGCTCATGTATCACTCCAAACACGGCGTAACTAAGGCCGCTACTATATAATAAAGTTGGACAATGTTTTTGACGTGGGTGGTACGGGATCATAACCCAGACATGAGCTTAAACTGTCAAGTCGATCCTTTATGTTTGACAGAGCAGACCAAATCCGCAGGTGGCTACATCTCTTGTCGGGAATTGTGTAAGAGTTTTCCAGCAATAATCTGTCTGGTTAAGCTGAACGACTGTGGTAAAATATCAATTTAAAAACGTTCCACACAAGCATACAATTCGTTTTTTAATTCTGCACACGTCCAGCCAAAAGACTGAAATCTGTACGCAAAACGAATCCAAAAACCACACGTGTTTTGTGAGTGTCTAGCTATAATTTTGGCAAGTTTTAAATGAGGAATAACACATGTAACAGGCTAAGTTCGTGTCCCGTCACAAAATTTTAAAAGAGCCTCTGGTTTAAAAGGGTGTAATCGTTCGTAGTTTATTGCTAATTTATCGGTACATATATAATTGTCACAAAATACGACATATTCTTTGATAGCAGGACCATTGTTGACGTGTACTATTTTTTACTTATACGTGTGTAGAAGAAGTGACAGATACAAGAATAATATGGCAAGTTCACAATCAAATAATGACCTAGAAAATTTCTTTCAAAAACATCTTTTCCATAGAGTTGTATTGGCACCAGCGATAGAGTTATGGACCTGCCGTCAATTGCAAGCAGTAAATTTGCCATTCTAGTTTTTAAAGGAGCAGTATGTGGCCAAAAAAATGTGGCTAAAAGTGGTACTGCAGCCTCTCCCACTCTCCCTGACTCAGGTTGCCAGATATGCAGACGAATCCAGCTGGGACCATAACAGCTGAATAGACATGAGTTTTGTCAACAACAAATCTATAACCAACACCTTTTTCACAAAGATAGAAACCCTGGTTTTATTCCTTGTTTTGTCGTTAATGATTTGAGAATCATAACGAGACCTTTTTTAGTTCTGCGCCACATGGTACTTTACCAGTGAGATTAGCTCGATGTGGTGAGTCCTGGCGCCCGGATCACAGACTTTCTGATTGGTGAAACGGTGGAGGGCGGGACATCGAAACGAAAACAACAACAAGAATTTAGGGGCTGGAAAACTAATTTAGAAATTCAAATATCTCTGAACTACTGTTATCAATTAAAGAAGTATTGGAAAAGAACATGTTTTATTAAAGTGATAGTCTGTAACTCTAAATGAATTACAAATTTTAGGAAATGTGTTAAATTGACCTCCTGGCCTCAAATGTTGATATAAAATAAGTCATTTTATTAATTCTAATAATACGGGCAAGTCCCGCCTTCTCTACTCTTAGCTATAGTTCAGAATCCACGATGCCGTCCACGTTAACCAATCGAGTTATGCCAAGGGCTGCGCATGCTCAGTTGTTTGTTTTCGCGGAGCCTCTGAATCAAGCCTCTATTAGGCTCTGGAACAACATGAAAACTGAACAAAGAATTCTGAACATCCGCGCTGAGGTAATCATTTATATACTGAACCTATATCCATAATCAGATCCTCTGCAGATGTGTCCTATAATGTGCAATTCATGATAATAGCACTTCCGGGTTTGCAGCGATAGCTTTTTTTTGTGCATAAAAAAAATATTTTTTTCATTAAAACGTTAACAAATAATTCTAAAAACCTCCGTGCATGTGTATTAATAATGTATATGTATAATGTGTTCTCTGATTAACATTTGAAAGTGTTATGGAAATGTAGGTGTAGACCAATCAGAAAGGAAGGGGGAGGGAGCTTGCGTAGTTTTTTTCAAATTAAGTACCTCTCTCTCTCTTTCTGACAAACTGCAGACAATCACTTTAATGCCTTTGGACGGATTAGGGCCCTTTAATGATGACAGATTAGGGCCCTTTAATGACAGATTAGGGCCCTTTAACGACGACAAATTAGGTCCCTTTAACAACGACAGATTAGGGCCCTTTAATGATGACAGATTAGAGCCCTTTAATGATGACAGATTAGGGCCCTTTAATGATGACAGATTAGGGCCCTTTAATGATGACAGATTAGGGCCCTTTAATGATGACAGATTAGGGCCCTTTAATGATGACAGATTAGGGCCCTTTAATAATGACAGATTAGGGCCCTTTAATGACGACTAGATACAGTGCCTTGCGAAAGTATTGAACCTTTCAACATTTTGCCACATTTCAGGCTTCAAACATAAAGATATAAAATTTTAATTTTTTGTCATGAATCAACAACAAGTGGGACACAATCGTGAAGTGTAATGAAATTTGTTGGATAATTTAAACTTTTTTAACAAATAAAAAACTGAAAAGTGGGGCGTGCAATAATATTCGGCCCCTTTACTTTCAGTGCAGAAAACTCAGTCCAGAAGTTCAGTGAGGATCTTTGAATGATCCAATGTTGTCCTAAATGACTGATGATGATAAATAGAATGCACCTGTGTGTAATCAAGTCTCCGTATAAATGCACCTGCTCTTTGATAGTCTCAGGGTTCTGTTTAGTAAGTAAGTAAGCAAGTAAGTTTTTATTTATATACCGCCTTTTCACTGCAGATCTGAGTCTCAAAGCGGTTTACAATTGTTAATTTTGGGCATTTGTCTCTCACTCCACACAGAGATGGGAGCGGGGCCAGTACAGGAGGCACATGCCAGACCTATTGTACATATTTTTAGTGGTAGGGGAAACCGGAGTACCCGGAGGAAACCTACGCAGACACGGGGAGAACATGCAAACTCCACTCAGAAAGGCCCTGGTCCGACCGGGATTCGAACCCAGGACCTTCTTGCTGAGAGGCGAGAGTGCTATCCACTCAGCCACCGTGCCGCACAGAGAGAACCATGAAGACAAAGGAACACACCAGGCAGGTCCGAGATACTGTTGTGGAGAAGTTTAAAGCCGGATTTGGATACAAAAAGATTTCCCAAGCTTTAAACATCTCAAGGAGCACTGTGCAAGCAATTATATTGAAATGGAAGGAGTATCAGACCACTGCAAATCTACCAAGACCCGGCCGTCCCTCAAAACTTTCATCTCAAACAAGGAGAAGACTGATCAGAGATGCAGCCAAGAGGCCCATGATCACTCTGGATGAACTGCAGATAACTACAGCTTTTTGTATCCAAATCCGGCTTTAAACTTCTCCACAACAGTATCTCGGACCTGCCTGGTGTGTTCCTTTGTCTTCATGGTTCTCTCTGCGCTTTAAACAGAACCCTGAGACTATCAAAGAGCAGGTGCATTTATACGGAGACTTGATTACACACAGGTGCATTCTATTTATCATCATCAGTCATTTAGGACAACATTGGATCATTCAAAGATCCTCACTGAACTTCTGGACTGAGTTTGCTGCACTGAAAGTAAAGGGGCCGAATAATATTGCAAGCCCCGTAGCTCAGTTGGTAGAGCATTGGCCTTAAGGCCAGAAGGTCATGGGTTCAATTCCCACCTCTGCACCTTCTCCACCGACTCCCACTGATGACTGCTGTCGTTGTGTCCTTGGGCAGGACACTTAACCCCACTTTGCCCAACGCCCCCACTGAAAGATCAAGGCTATGCTCACACTCAGAGAGCAGCCGTCCTCCTGTGGACTCACCACCTGCAGAGGGTCAGTGAGGGGCTGGTGCTACAGTATGAGACTTGGGTGGCATCTCTGACTGACCCCCCTGACCCAGAAATGGATTAAAGGGAAGAAAATGGATGGATGGATGGATGGAAATTTTGTTCCACTTCACGATTGTGTCCCACTTGTTGTTGATTCATGACAAAAAATTAAAATTTTATATCTTTATGTTTGAAGACTGAAATGTGGCAAAATGTTGAAAGGTTCAAGGGGGCCGAATACTTTCGCAAGGCACTGTATGAAGATCTTACATATTGCTACTTTAAAACTAGCTCCCGGTCCCGCCCTATTCCTAAAAGCCTTGAAAAGAGACATCAGATTCTATAATTGTGCCTTGTTCTGGTGGTATCTGCTGCTCTTTAATGTGTGGAGTCGCTTTAGTCGTTTGGTGTGGGAGAAGAATTCCCGCCCGTTCCCATTCTTTGTTTCCCAACATGGATCAGGCTGACAGATCCTTGAGCCTGTCGTGACTCAGAAGGCTTTGAACATGAGAAGTCTGAAAACCGATTTGAGTGTTGTTAATTGTCATGCATGCGTACGTAAAGGAAGGAGAAGCACGCCGCAGTGAGAATGTTCTGGCTGCATTTAGTTTAGTTTAGTTCATTCACAATGTCACACAGTATCTAAAAAGTTCATGTGGTATAATGTAAACATACACAAGCTTATGCATTATGGGGCCTTTGCACCACCATCGCCACCACATACAATCTACCAGCCATATTCAGAGGGGGAAGAAAAATCCACAGTGCACCCAGATACATCAGTAATGATAATTTAATATTCATAATCTTAATGATATGGCGCTTTTTTGGACACTCAAAGACACTTATTTTTTTATTTAACCTTTATTTAACCAAGGAAAGTCCCATTGAGATTAAGAACCTCTTTTTCAAGGGAGTCCTGGACAAAAGTTACACACAGATTATAAAACAGTTACATACAATTTCATAATATTACGGATTATAAAAACAGTTACATTTCAATGACACACTTCACATTTAACAACAAAAACATTAAATAATAATAATAATCAAGACAATAATAATAATAATACATAAAATAATGATACATCACATTTCAAGGAAGTACAAGACGTTTTACTGTCATTAATAATAATAATAATAATAATAATGATGATGATGATACTAAGCACATTTCTTGAATTCTAAATATCTATCTGCAAATGTTTGTAGCTGGAGTTTACTTCTAACTTCTGCCAACCAGGAAACCATGGCGTAGAAAGAGAGAGGTCTGCTCTTCC